CCATAAGTCCACAAAGTGGCATAAATGGATTTGCTATTTAAACAACATGGTATAAAACATGAAAATTAGGGTTGCGCTGGTCTGAAAATAGCAACAAATCTCAACAAACACGTCTTGCACCTTATTGTGCTGAGTTTATGATAGGGCCCTTGCACTTTTTAGCACTGTAACACAAACATGAAATACATTTTTGGTACCTTTTGAGTTTGTCTGTGACAGTTTGGTGTTCGGCCAAGCTCAGGGAGTGTTCTAGAGCCAAGCGCACTCTCTGAAACTCTGTCTTCAGCGCACGATGCTCTTTACGCTCCACCTCCAGCTCTTTTTCTAGAGACTGCTTCTCTGCCTCCAACAACATCACCTTTTTGGACACCTTGCACACTGCACACAAACACAGGACTTTTATATTTGTTTCTAAATGAATAATAAGCATGCAGGATATGCTGGAAAAAAGGCGCAAAAGAAAACAAAGGCATGGGCAACACAAAATATGTGGAGTGTCTGCTCCCTAAGATAAAGCATCATTAAGAAAAAAATCTCCTCAATCTAATAAACAGCACTAAGGTACAAATTGAGGGTTTTGCATAATCTCCTGGCTTCTAGATTCTGAAATAAAGACATTAGGATGATCTTATGTCTCCTGCAGAGTGATGGTTCTCAACCTTGAATGTCCCCTGGACTCCATCACATTATGGATTGAATTGTCTGGGCTGTATAATTCAAATTTACTGTAATTCTCTGTTAAGTGAACCAAATTGTGAAATAATTTACCTGTTACAGTTTTTCTCAGTCGCTTTGGTATTTTTCTCAGACCAGAATTGAAATTTGCAAAACAGTAAGTGCATTTCTCAAAACAATGCATACAAATAGTGAAACACCATGGATTACCTGCAAAAGCCAGCCTCTTGCTCAAAATCCTCAGGTAATCTCTCAAAACTACATTTCTTTGTCAATGAAAGAGTCAGTGCCATCAGAATAAAAAGTCCTTGTGTCATTGTGTACAGATAAGACAGTCAAATCATGTTGTCAATATAACAGTGTACACTGGAGGGGTGTAAACAATTTTTGTTGTTGTTGTTGCTTTTTGTACTATAATTTGCTGCCAGATCATGTCATTGTGATACAGAAAGGAAAAGACAGCACTGCATAGCACAAAGAAAAAACAAAACAAAAGTAGAAATGTGAACTTAGGACAATCTCCTTTCAGATGCACCTTCATCAGAAAAAGTCAAGATTCACCTGTGAGAAATGTACCAATTCAGGACAGATTTAGATAAAAAGTCTATTGGAAAGGCATAGAAAATGCATTATGACACATTATTATGACAGCTTGTTCAGCCATTTTGCATGTAAAGACCTATGCTATGAACTAAAGCCTAAATTCGGCAGTGAGACTATTCAGACAGATACCATTATAATCCATTTTGATCAACATGACATAAGCAATTGATAATGTAGGAAACAGCTGAGAATTGCACTTAATCATTTGCATTGAAGTACAAAAGCATTTAGAACTTGTTCAGAGGAATGAGAAACTGCTTTTCTGATGTGCACAAGTGACACAATGATCTGGAGATTGCACAGGTAGTTTAAGAATTTCAATTCTGATCTGAGAAATCAACCAAAGTGACTAAGAAAAACTGTAGTCTAAAATTAGAAAGTAATATAAATGTTTTTAGTAGTGTACTTAAAAAATGGTTAAAAACAAAACAGCAATGTTAACACTAGTGAATATTTTACTATTAGTTTGTTTGATCATGCCGCCTATTCTTTTGCCTCATAGCAATTTTATGTAAAGAAATGTAATGTTTATGTGTTTATAATGAGTTTTAATGTTTATAATAGTGTATATGGATCTATTTTATTTTCAATTTATGTCAAGCCTCCCGTGGACAGGTTGAGAATTAGCATGTCTGCCAAAACACTTAAACAAATGTATTTGGTTTTCCAGTGTAATTGTGATGCCCATGTCAAAATAATTAAAAATAAATACAAAAATAATAAATAAAATAAATAAATAACTGATGTCTGCGCTAGTTTTGCACATTTTCACCAGACACTTTCTTATGATCACTCAATACACACACACACACACACACACACACACACACGCACACACATACAACCCACTATGCATTTATGTAGTGAAGCTTCAGATAGGTGAGTGGCCTTGACAAACCACCTGCAGAAACACTCAGGATTAGTAACACTTTAAAATAATAGCCCATTAGTTAATGTTTGTTAATGTATTCATGAACAACCAATGATTGCTCACTGTTAGTTCATGTAACTCACAGTTCATTACCTATTAACAAGCCCAACTTTGGATTTAAATAATTCATTCGTAAATGATGTACTGTGATGATTAATAAATGCTGTATATGACTGTTCATACATTCTTCATGTTAAAAAATAACAACAACCAACAACATAAACTAATTGACCATTATTTTAAAAACATGTTACCCAGACATTTCATATCTAACATTGGTCAGTCAACTACGTACAGCCTCTTCACACCAAAGATGATGCAATGGCTGCAGGAGGCACAATGATATTACACATTGCTGTTACTTAGTTACCTAGCTGGGAACTATTTTTGCTAATTATTCCACCAGAATGACAGTACAATTCAGCCATATCAGCCTAGAAAATAGCATCTTTTCATCTTCCATCAGTCTTAGTACACAATTCAACCAAGAGTCAACCTTTAAATAGGAAAACTATTGAACTCTTTTAAAATGATGCTAATGGTCTAATCCAATTCAATGATTTATGCTAAGCTAAGCTAAAAGTTCTCCCGGCAACCTCGGGATCGGCTGAATGAATATAAAAATTGCAAAACTCAACTGTTTAACTGTATGTGACTTGTAAAATGAGCCTATTTCCAAAAAAGATGAGTGTTCCTTTAAGATGATTGTGAAACAGGTTTGATTTGCGGCTGCTGTCTGATGAGGCCACATCTACTATCAGACTACACTGCTTAAACTCAGATTAGTTGTTTTTTTAAAAACAAGATTTTTTAAATGCATTAGGAGTTATGAACAGGGCCAGACAGAATCTGCGGACGTTTTTTGCTATTTCTGCAGAGAATTTTGGTAAAAATCTGCGGATTTCTGCGGAATTATTTTAGGAGTATCCAGCGGAGTATCATAACTAACACCTTAATATATGAAATAAAAAGTAATAAATTACTGAATAAAAACTTAATAAATTCAGATTTACAGATTTACTCAAGTTAAAAAAACAGAATTAATAATGGGCTAAAAATCTGCAGAAATCTGCGTAATTCTGCGGAAAATCTGCGGAAATTCTGCGGAATTCTGCGTGCGCAGACTCCATGTGGGCCTAGTTATGAATAAGGTTATAAAGTGTGCTTCTGGGTACCATACCTTCTTGTGCATGTTTGCTGTGAGCTTCTTTAGCTTTGGCATGCTGTAATTCCAATTGCTCTATCAAAACTTGATTCTCCTCCAGCACTAAGCGAGCCTGTTCCTGCAGCTGCCTCCTACACACACACACACACACAACACATACACCTGTGTGAATGAGCAATGCGGCTGACAACAGCGACAAGAGATCCTTCACTGATGAAGATGACAAGCTGACAGTGAACAGCTGGAAACGATAACAGACAAAGACAGAATACAGCATACTGATGCTAGAACTTCTCTAGGACATACACATTCATTCCAGTTAATCTTACTAAGCTCAGTGTTAACACACACAAATGAATTAGCTCAATGAAAGGGCTTAAATAATGACATTGTGAAAAAAGCAGAATTTCTGAAAGTAAAGTTTTCTTTTTCATTTTCATGCTGATTTTCTCATCAAAGGAAGAAAAGACTGATCACTGCATGCATACACAGTACAAACACACAATTTGTATTTTTATCCAGGAAAATTTTTACTGTTTATTCAACGTGCTGAAGCAGACATGGCTTCCATGGCAACCTGGACCTAAAATTTGCCTTAAAAAAAGACAACCTGAAGGAGACGAAAAATAAAAACTCAAGGAACTCAAGAGTGTTCTTGGAAATTATGATGAATTAGATTTTTAATATACTATTCAATGGCATAAATGTTTTTAGTACTGTGAATTCTTTCAAACTAACTTATTTAAGAAGAAAGCTGATCGTTTAGTTGCCATTCTGATTACACTCTCTATGCACAATTACACTGTAAGCTCGCTCTAGTTCATATCATAAGGTCAATTATCCAATGGCAACCATTTGCATTTGTTTGTTTTTCAAGTACACTTCCTACCAAGCCTTGTTGCCTATTCAAGGAACAACAAATAATAACCTGAATTCAATAGACGACCATTTGATATCAGAAGTGTCTTATATGAAAAGCAAAGTCTTCTAGATTACACTTGTTTTACCAAAATAAAATATGATCATGCCTAAATTTCAATTATCTGATTATTACAGTAAAGTCTAACTTTGCTTAGACAAAAGTCGTCACTTAACAGACGTAATGTACAGGATATAATATAAAGTCATGGTGTAGTGGAAAAAGAATTAATATTGTGTATGACTCCTGTGAGCTTGGAGGACTGCAGCCATACATCTCTGCACTGACTCAAATATCTTACTAATAAAGTCATCTGGAATGGCAAAGAAAGCGTTCCTGCAGGACTCCCAGAGTTCATCAAGATTCTTTGGATTATCTTACCCCAGACATGCTCAATAATGTTCATGTCTGGTGACTAGACTGGCCAATACAGAAGCACCATGACCTTCTTTGCTTTTATGTAAAGGCTGAAGTATAAAGAGCACCATCCTGCTGAAGAATTTGCCCTCTCCTATGGTTTGTGATGTAATGGGCAGCACAAATGTCTTAATACCCAAGGCTATTGATGTTGCCATCCACTCTGCAGATCTCTTGCACGCCCCCCATACTGAATGTAACCCGAAACCATAATTTTTCCTTCATCAAACTTGACTGATTTCGGTGAGAATCTTGGGTCCATGCTGGTTCTAATAGGTCTTCTGCCGTATGTGCGATGATTGTGATGCAGTTCAACAGATGATTCATCTGAAAAATCCACTTTCTGCCACTTTTCCAAATGATCAACTAGTGTAGAAGTCAAGTTACTATTTGTTGCTCTAATAACTGGGATAGACGACAATACTTTTGTCAGGTAGTGTATAATTTCACAGGCTAATGCATCGACAGATCACTGTGCTTCATGAACAAGAAGGAACCTAAGGTCAAGTTAAATTCACATTTTGGAAATTCAGAAGCAAGGGCAGTATCACCGCAACCTGAACTTTCATAACGCCTCAGCAGTGTCACAGACTGAACATTTTCATACCACGTCACTTTGCTGAAATAACCTATGAAAAGGGAGCTCAGACAAAAGTATCGAGTGCTCTACATGTTCATATGTTTCAGTAGTCTAACTGTTCTGCATTAAAAATCCTTTTTTTTGGTCTTAAGTAATATAATAATTTTCGGAGATACTGAATTTTGTGTTTTCATTCACTGTAAGCGTTCCTTATGTGTGTGTATGAATGAATATTTTTTGGTTTCCAACCCTACACATCTGATTCATTCTCACTCTTATTCTCATAACTTCAGACCCATGACTGCCAGCCATACACAGACAGAACCATGAGACGCTATCAATTGTGTGATAAGAGCATGGCTAGCGGAGTGAAGCATGCCTCAAGGACAAGATGCCCTGTGTTTGTTATCACCCTCGAGACTATCACAATCCCCTTCGACAAATTCACTTTCAGCTTCCCAAAGTTTCTTGAAATAATATTCACAGAAGGAACGTCAGCACATGTCCGCTGTGATTTTATTCCCAAGTGCACAAAAAAAAACATATGCACACATTTTTACATCACCCAGAAACAAACTTACCATTCTTTGTTGCTGACAGTGCTGCTTTTGCTGACCTGAGTATGAAGTTTCTCATTTTCCTGAATGACCTCCTCTGCACGCACTCTTAGACTCTGTAGTTCTTCCTGTCAAGAGAATTTGTTTTATTTTGCTATGGAAAAACGGATCTCCATAAACTGCTATGATGCTTTAGGTAAGGTTATTGGTATGCATGAACATCCTCAGGGTGCATTTGCAAATGCATTCATCTCAGTCAAAGTTCATCTGAAACTTCAGTAGATCTGCACAAACCAAAAACCATCTCCAATGCTTTTGCAGACTCTCAAAATAATACTCCAGAATGACGCTCCTTTCAGAAGATTACAAGATAAGAGTGACTGACTTTAGTTTTTTAAAGAACTAATAAACCTGCAAAATATTATTACATAAAGCGATAGTTCACCCCAAAACTCTGAGAATTCTGTCATCATTTACTCGCCCTTTACTTAACTGTTTCCTTCTTCTGTGAAACAAGAAAGCTGGAAACCTGTAACCATTGATATGCATAGCATTCGTTTTCCTACTGTGGAAGTCAATGGTTACAGGTTTTCAGCTTCTTCTTTTTTTAATGACCTTCTTTAGTGTTAAACGAAAGAAAGAAACTGATAAAGGTTTGAAACCACTTGAGGGTGAGTAATTTTTGGCTGAACTATCCTTTAAATATCAGAAATGAATGTATTTATTCAACCATTGCCTACAAAATGAGGTGGTAAAAATCATTGTTAATCCCTTTAAAACAAAATGTAACTGAGTGGAAATATCTTTAAATTCATAGCAGGTAGGTATAGCGGGACTACTGGCTGCACTGCAAGTGTGTTAGGAAGAGAGAGACTGAGATTAAGTGAAAATGAGTAGTGCATGTGTATGTGAGAGAGGGAGAGGGGGAGAAATAGGCATAGTCAGAAAGCCTACATAGATCATGTGTTCAGTGCAGTTGTTTTCCCTGCATCATTCTCATATTCTCATTTTTTCTTTATTTTATCAGCTGGTGTGTGGTGTGCAGTCTGGTGCAATATGGCTGCCGTCGCGTCATCCAGGTGGATGCTGCACACTGGTGGTGGATGCTGCACCCGATGTGTAAAGCGCCTTAAGTGCCCAGAAAAGCACTATATAAATTAAATTATTATTATTATTATTATTATTATTATTATTATTATTATTATTATTATTATGTCTAGGCTATAAAGCTAGTTGTAGACTCTCTCGTTGGTCACGTCATCTGTGAATCTTAATAAAATTGGATAACTTCTGGTAAATACCATAATATGTAAAAAATGTGAACTGACTTTCCCTTTTTTACAAAGAAACATATACAAACTCACCTCACAGGACTTGAGGAGTTTGTCTTTGGCATTCAGATGGTCCTCATAGGCCAGAAGCAGAGGTGATAAATATTTCATATCCAGCTAAAGGCAATAAAAAGCTCAGCTATAGCATTAAACAAACCAATTACACATCTGTGAAAGATGAGTGCCATTTTGGTGTCTGCCTCAAATTACAAGTGCAAAAGTTATTTTATATAAAAGAAATGATGATTTTAAAAATAAAATGAAAATATATTATTATAACAATTCCCTGTAACATACATTTGCCGGACACTTTATTAGGTACACCTGTCCAACTGCTCATTAATGCAAATTTCTAATCAGCCAATCACATGACAGCAACTCAATGGATTTAGGAATGTAGACCTGGTCAAGACGATCTGCTGCAGTTTAAACTGAGCATCACAATGGGGAAGAAAGGTAATTTAAGTGACTTTAAACATGGCACGGTTGTTGGTGCCAGATGGGCTAGTCGGAGTATTTCAGAAACTGCTGATCAACTGGAATTTTCACACACATCCATCTCTAGGGTTTTCAAAGAAAAGTCTGAAAAAGAAAAAATATCCAGTGAGCGGCAGTTGATGCCAGAGGTCAGAGGATAATGACCAGACTGGTTTGAGCTGATAGAAAGGCAATAGTAACTCAAATAACCAAACGTTACAACCGAGGAATGCAGAAGATCATCTCTAAATGCACAACATGTCCAACCTTGAGGCAGAAGGGCTACAGCAGCAGAAGACCACACCGGGTGCCACTACTGTCAGCTAAGAATAGGAATTTGAGGCTACAATTTGATTTTTATTGGACAATAGAAGATTGGAAAAACGTTGCCTGGTCTGATGAGTCTTGATTTCTGCAACAACATTCAGATGGTATGGTCAGAATTTGTGAACAAAATGAAAGCATGGATCTATCCTGCCTTGTATCATCTGTTCAGGCTGGTGGTAGTGTAATTTGTACCAACTGAGCATCATGTCATCGCAACAGTCTACCTGAGAATTGTTCCTGACCATGTCCATCCCTTTATGTCCACAGTGTACCCATCTTCTAGTGCTACTTCAAACAGGATAACACTCCATGTCATAAAGTGCTAATCATCTCAGACTTGTTTCTTGAACATGACAATGACTTCACTGTACTCAAATGGTCTCCACAGTCCCCAGACTCAATCCAATAGAGCACCTTTTGTATGTGGTGGAACAGGAGATTCGCATCATGGATGTGCAGCCGACAAATATGCTGCCACTGCGTAATGCTATCATGTCAATATGGACCAAAATCTCTGAGAAATAATTCCAGTACCTTGTTGAATCTATGCCACGAAGGATTAAGGCAGTTCTGAAGGCAAAAAGGGGTCCAAGTAAGTTGTACCTAATAAAGTGGCCGGTAAGTGTATATTATGTAAAAATAGATTTTAAAAATCCAGACCTGTGCGTATTAAATACATACAGTAACAATAAGTGATTTTATTAGATTTGAAACCATTGAAAACATCTTGCTGATAAATAAGTAAATCTAGCAGTTTCAAGGTAAGTAACAAACTTAAAAAAAAATTCAAATGACTTAGTATTTACTTAGTACATTGGTGCTGCAATGCAATGCTTAGGGTGTTTTAAAACATCACCAAATTATTCTAAATTTGCCTTACAGATTTTGTTTATACAAATGTTTTGTTTTTGTAATTTTTTGCTCAGAAAATGTAAACAGCAACATTCCAAAGTCCTGAAAATCATGCTGTATAACCCTTATATTTAAATGCAATTAAAATATAATTAAATACCCACAAATACATTTTTAGTACATTGTTATTTTTTGTGTTAAATAAAAGTGTGATGGTTTTACACTAAATATACTAATTAAAAGTATGTTTATACTTCAGTGGGACTTTAGTACACTTGACAAAAGTATACTAAATACCAGTAAACACTTAAATAAATTTTTAGTGTACTACAATAAAGTACACTACAGAAAAAAACATCCAAAAGAGTTTTATTAGTGTGTTTTTCAAAAGTGTGCTTTAAATGCTTTAAATATAAGTTGATTTTTAGTACACTGTTTACATACTAATCCTAAGTTTAAAATAAGTTAATATATAAAAAAATCTATTAGTAATGTATTGTAGTTGAAGTACATTTTTCCAAAAGTTGTACTTAAGTACACTTAATGTGAATGCAATATTATCACTAACACTTAAATTGATTTTGAGTGTGGTAATTTTAAGTTTACATTAAATTTACTTTATTAAAAATCTATTAGTAATATATTGTAGTAGAAGTATATTTTCCCAAAATACTTTTAATACAGAATTTAGCACACTAATTTTTTTCAATTTGTATATTCTTTTAATATAGTACTATTAAACTTTAAATTAGTCATAAATATATTTAAATGTTTAAAAATAGGGTTCAAGTGTATTTCTAGTTGTAACTAAATATATATTTTTTCAAATCACAGATATAGTATGTTAAAAGCACATTTTAGTTCAATTTCATGGTGGCTCAAAATAGCACAGTTGAGTAAACTTAGATGTATTAAGTTTATCTTAACATATACTTAATACTATCTTTTAGTAAATTAAGTACAAAAATAGTGTGCGAAAATAGAGTACTTTTAGTACATTACTGAAAAGTGTACTAAGTAAACTTAAATAAAGTGCATTTTAGTGCACTTTTTTTTACCTGGGTTATTTAGATTCTTTGATTTCTCTTGACACTCTTTTTGCAACTAGTATTTTGTCCTACAAAAAAAGTGTTCTAACTTAAACTAAATTAATGAACCTTTTACCACATAACAATCTTCATCATGCAAGCAACAAATCAGAAACATTAAGAAATCAACAGAAGAAGCATACACTGAAATCTATAGAATACAATACATACCAGCCACGGAGGTGCAGGTCCTTTCACTGGTAGGCCCTTAAGCTGAGCATTCTGGGAAATCCAAGAAAAGAAAAGCATTTGAGCGTATGCATTATCTCACTTCCTTTATTCCTATAGATATTGTGATGTGACAAAAGGATCACAATTACTGTAATTAGACGGCAACATAATTATAAAGAGCTGTGCCAGTTCTTTGACAGATAACCGAACAGTAGAATAGAAAGGATAAGACACACTTGGAGGCCATTCATGGAGATGTGTTTTTGCAGTAAAAAAAAAAGTGAGATGCAGTGCAGTGAAATGAAAACAAAAGCTATAGAGACTGCAGAGGCATAGTTTGAACAAGTTGAACTTTTTGACGTTGGAACATAATGGAAAAACAGCTCAGTGGAACACACAATTTTTATTTATTTTTTTAAGTTGAACAGAATGTACTATAATGAATACAGGGGTTTCCAGTCATTCAGATTAGCAGCAAAATTGGATTGAAAGTCTGTGACAAGACTAGATAGAGTGTGACAGTGTGTTTTAGAGGGTGTGTGGATATATCCTTTAAAGCAATGAGAGATGAGCCTCTTTTGGACATTGATGCAAGAGGGCAATTCAGAGCTCACAAGTGACATGAGCCAATGACCCCCTCAGGAAAGTCAGACATGCGCACACACACACAGCTCAGAACTAATGTAGCTCAGAGGTTGCTTTAGGACAGGCTGCTATTGTGAGTTGAAGAGACATCTTTTATGAGTGTGACATACAGTAGTCTGCAATCTTTTTTTCTCCAAAGGATATACCTTTGTTTTAAAATGAAGACCATGGCTGATGACTCCTGACGTTCGTTATTGTTACAGGTGAAGTGTGAAAACATTTTGAAACATTAAAAAGGAAAATGACTGTCAAGCTTGCCTTCCCATCTCTGCGTTTCTGTCATTTGAACTGCTCTGGTTTAACCGATGTTATTAAGGACATCACGCAGGTGATGAAGCAATTACTTTGGCTGATTAATCAGTCTGAGATTATAGCTGCAGAATGACAAACAGAATTGGAGAACTACTTTGCTAGTTTTGTTTGATTTGATTTGAACTTATTTATCTTGTTAACAAAACTGAATAGAAAACAAACGTGTCTGATACAAAAAAACAAAAAACAAATAAAACATCAATGATAAAACGCAATAAAGGTTTATTTTCATCATGGTCCTCTGTGGTGGCAAACACACAACAGATGATGTAGTATCTACTATCAAATACTAATTTTAAAACCATCACATTCTTTACATATAAAACATTTAAATGTGCAATATTCTATTTAATCATTATGATTTTTACTTTAAACTATTTTTAAAATCTTAAAACATAAAATAATATATGTTTGCCCATTTTTGAATTTATATCAGCATATATTGTAATTCCTACCTTTTATAATAAAGGTATGTTAAGCTCTGACCATATCAGTCATTAGTTACAGGAATCCAGGGAGGGCCTAAATAACTTAAATCCAATAATTGACATGATGTGTAACCCAATTAAAAATAAAACAATTATTCAATTTTTTCTTCCAAAAATATAATAAATTATTAACAACAAGCTCATACTTTTACAAAAATCTTTAAAGATTCAGCAGGGGGTTTTGACACCTCTACTTTGGAAAAAGTCAGAAAAGTGGGCGTGTCCAGCTCTGTTTAGGGGGGAGTGTCGGAGGAAGAAAAGTGGGATGGTGTGGGAGTGTCTATTTGGGCATGCGCGAGTTTCAGAATTAAAATACACATACATACACACAGGAGAAAGTGACAGTGTTTAACCTACATGGACATTTAGTCGAATTATTTGCCAAATTATTAAATGGTGGACTTTAACTGCAGTTTGGCTCTTTCATTCAGGGAATTTAGTCATGTCCCTTGCGACAAACGAGATATTTGATTCGAGGAACTGCTCTAAGCGTGTATTTTTCATGCCATGTTTGATACCGCACGGCGAATGAGAGAAAAAAAAACCCTCAGCATTTCCCGGAAACTTAGATGCACACGAAAATTTGTAGAATGAAATATGCATATAGGGTATGTCATAATGACTTCATAGCCTATGAAATCCAAGTATGTAATCTTTAGGTGCGTTCGACACAAAGCTCAGCTGCAGCCGGTGATCAACGAGATTAGCCGAGCGCAGGCGGGGCCGGAGTTAAAAACGGAGCCGTCAAGACAGACAGCTGGACACTTCGGGACTCAAAGTTGCTGCAGTCATGATGACCGATCACATGGCGTCATCATATTTTTTTTGTTATTTTTATTTATAACAACAAAACATTTACAAATAAAACAGAATACAGTTTCTACAAACTGTAGTTCCTTTTTAAACAATAAGAGAGAATTATGAATAAAATATATAACAAATGCATGAGAGAAATAAGAGGAAATGAGAGGTTAATATAAACATAAAAATGAACAGGTCTATTAAATACAAAGCAATAAGCATAAATTCTAGGAGTTAAACATCACTCTTTAGGCTAATACTTCTTGTTTGAATGTGCTAAAAAAGGGTTTACATATATGTACATTTATAGATATAAAAATTTCCAATGTAAAAAGCAAAACAAGGTGTTTTGATTTGGTCTTAATAAATGACATTATTTTGAATAATGAATGAATTTTCAAAAATGCATTTTAATCCAAAAAGATTGTGTTGAAAAGAACAAAATGTAAAATAAGTGAGCTATGTAGAAGTTTCCCAGAAAGAGCAGGTAGCCTTTAAACTGCTAGACAGGAAATAAAATATATATTTATATTATAATAATAAAACCATTTTATAATTATTTAATAAAATAGTTCTTTACTTTAATTTGTTAAGAGAGCTTTAGGGGGGCAGGATCAATGATGATGATTTTCTTATTTCAAGTCTGTAAGACCTATTTGAGTTCATATTTAGGTTATTCACTAAAATATATAATTTAAATCGTTCATGGAGATGAATGCAGTAAATAGTCTGTATAAAAAAGTTAAAAATAAACCTGTGCAAACAAGCTAACCTTTATAACCAGATTATTTAACAAAAGATGATTACTGCAGTAAAATATTTGTAGTCTTTTAATAAGCAAGATGTGTGCAGGATAGAGAGGGTGTAAAAAGTGAATTGTTTGTTTTGAAACTTTTGAATCGGAATTTGTCCAATTATAAACCCGAAACACACGTGTTTGTTGTCATGTGGTGAACTCGGCCAATCGTGTAATATCGGTGTTGTCATCAAAGCTCCTGCAGTCGCTCTTCAGAAGCTGCATGGTCTGAGTTTGCCGTCTGATCTCGGAGCGCTGTCGCGGTACTTTGATGCCACATGTGACAGTCACGTGGCGTCGGCGCAGCATCAATCCGGACAAGATTTCTAACCAGAATGCACCGCTTTAAGACAGATTTCGATCGATCTGCGCAGCGCTGCATGAAGTCGAACGCACCTTTTAACATTGGCTAATGTTCATGTCAATACGCAAGGATTGGAACCAGGGGCTATTATATGATTGGCTGAGGTGCCTCATGTGATCCAACTTATCCGTTACACTTTTTCCAATGTTAGATAATTTTATATAAGCTGTGTTTCATTTCAAATGCTGCAACCTCCAAAGGACATGTCATACTCTTTTTATTTTTTTAACATGTGTTTAGATAAGTAAAGTAAAATAAGCCTAATTCATACATTTAATCCGGAGTTTTCTTTTAAAAACGTCCTGCCGTTATCAGCGTGCAATGAATCTTGGGACATTCGAGGCCGCGAAGGACCCACTACTTGTGTACTTCATTACCTGATACTACTTGCAGATTTGGCGTGCTGTCCCAGTAGAGAACCCTGAGCACAGAGATACTTAAGCCCAGGGCTCCTGTCGGGTCATTTAACATAGAAGGGGGTCCAAAATCAGGTAGGTTTAGAGAGTTCCCCTTTTGTAAAGGAGGAAAATGAGGACATGGGGTGATTGGGGAATTCTTCAAAAACTAAGATAAGGCAGGTACGAAAAAAGAGCTATTTATGTAGGCTTGGATTCATCTGATTGGTTTATAGGTAATTGTTGATATGAGACCAGCCATGATTAATCATAGCATGTGATCTTCTGAAAATTAGTTTGTAAATCTTCACTTAATTTTAGGTCATTAAATTTACAGAAAAAGATTCTTAAAAAAAGTTTTCAAAAAGCTTCTTCTTCTAAATCAGTTTAATTTTTAAAGTGCTGTATGACCCTGTGTGCAATGTACTTTTTTTAACACTAATTATAGTAAAAGTAACACTGCTGAGAGACCCCAGATTTAATGACTCAATCACATTGCAGCAGTGTTGCCAGCCACTGTCTTAATCACTCTGTCAGCCTTCCCGCACACGCTTCCTGCGTCCCGCTGCCTCAACACAGCGTTCAGACACATTCAGTGTTACACTGATCCACTTAAGTCTAGAAAGGAAGCAATCAGCAGTACTGTAAAAAGCAGAGGTCGGTGGACAGAGTGAGAGGAAGACAGAGAGAGCCAAGTTTCACACTTGCAGCCTGCAGTTTCTTCTTTAACTAAAGCCTAACTAAAGCTTAACTAAAGCATGTGACAACTGACCAAATTTCCTTAAATTTCAACCTTGCTGAGATGGAAGGAGGGACAGTAGGAGAGAAAGAGCAAAAAAAGAGAGTGAGATCCAGACTACTGACCTGAAACTAAAGTGACAGAGTATATTTAGCCTGCCGATTGTCTCCTCTTTTCCCACCGCTCCCTTCTACCCAACCACACACCAGTGCTCAAATTAAAGTCAGTCTTTTAACAACCAGAGTTCAACAGTCAAGGATGGTGAAATGATCAATCGCTTTAAATGAACAGATCTGATAGTATCATTTTTCAAATTAAAACCATTAACCGAAATCTCAACTGGAATATTTAAGACATAGTCAGAATATTTAAGAGAGAGTTCAATTCTGTGATCAGCGGGATCTCTAATTCATTGTGGTTTGGGACTTTTAGCCCTAGGCTCATCTTTTAATGAAGAGCATGTCTAGAATCTGAATACTGTACAGATGAATGAAGAGCAGATTAATATATTATACTGAAGACTCTGAGCAATCAAGGGAGTCATTCTCTCTGTGAACCCGCGAGTATGACAGGCTCAAAGTTCAGAAAGCCCTCATCAATACAGAATAAGCTCACTCCAACACTTCCTCCTTAATAAAATGACACTAGCAGGACAAATCTGAGATCTTTGATCCTTCAAAGATGGACGCCGAAGAGGTCACAGCGCCCTTGGGCTGTCAAACTCTTCTGAGGCTTGTTAAAGAAGCTCAGTTATGCAATTCCTTGGAGTGCTTTCCACTTAATATTCACTGCATCAAGACTCATAAAAAACTTATGGCAACTCAGCAGTTTAGTTAGAGGGCTCATTTCGACATCATAGCTCGTACATACAAATCCAAACACAGTTAAACAACATTCTACGGCCAGAAGAGTTTAGAGGGTAACTGATAAAAGGAGTATGTTTAGATGAAGGTTAGTCATGAATATTTTCCCAGCTGCCCCTGATCTCAGAGGCCCTAGAAGAAGTAATGCATGCATAAGGCTAGACAAGCTGCACACCAGAGTAGAGCAGCAACCATCTCTGATTCCACGCGCACACACAGATCTCATCTCAACCTCTCACTGGTTAATGCTCCTTTGAAATTGTAATACCCCACAAACTATCATCTCTGCATTAAACAGGAAGTGGGAGATGAAAGGAAGAGCTGCATATCATTACTCTGGCGTCAGCTAATCACACCCCGCATGACTAGAAAAAGGCACAGTGTCAGATAAACTACTGAAATTTTCAGAGCAGTCTTTTTTTTTGAGTTATAAGGACAAATGAATTGTAGTTTCCAGCACTGCTCCTAAATCAGTCAACGCAGATTTGAAGCAATTAACGTCAGTTATCACGCACAGCACCGATCTCTCACATCAAAACAAAAGATCAGGCAAGCGAGACTGCGGATATAATGTTCCGAACATGAGCTCAAACATTTATCATTTCAGAAATGTTTAATTAAGGACTGTGACATTTCTACACAATATATGAAAACAGCACACAGTACTTTGCAAGTACTTAAAAGTGCATTAGTAACTTTCTCCTCGGAGAACTCAAGTAAAGCTAGAAAATGTCTCCAAGAAGACTGAAAGAAGATTGATAGTTGATGGGAGTATTCATTATATCTTTCATTCATCCATTAATTTTTTTTTCGGCTTAGTCCCTTTATTAATCTGGGGTTGCCACAGCAGGATGAACCGCCAACTTATCCAGCATATGTGTTACGAAGCGGATACCCTTCCAGCTGCAATCCATAACTGGAAAACACCCATACGCACTCATTCACACACAGACAATTGTACTCACCCAATTCCCCTATAGCACAATACTTTGGACTGTGGGGGAAACCGGAGCACCCAGAGGAAACCCATGCGAACATAGGGAGAACATGCAAACTCCACACAGAAGCGCCAACTGACCCATCCGAAGTTCAAACCAGCAACCTTCTTGCTGTGAGGCAAATGTGCTACCCACTGCGCCACCGTGCAGCCCATTATGTCATTGAGAATTTTTTTATTCATAAACAAACTTTGAATAATGAATATAAGCAAGCTCAACAATACCCGCTTAAAATATGAAAACAAACCTCACTGGACCTTGCAGAAGTTCAAAATGCATTGAGGCATGCAAGAATGAACCTCATTGGTTGTCACGCATCAAAAAAGCATCAAAAAAGCATGCATAAGCTTCCGTGACCAATTTTGAATGCTGTAAACTCTGTCAGTTTATCAATATTTAAATGTGAATAAAATATGAGCAATAATATCTCTCCCAAAGACATTTTCAGTGCGTGTGACCAACAACCGCATAAGTCCACAAAAATAAAAAATGAGATTACCATGTGACAATAACTGTATGTGTGAACTTTGTATAGAGAAACAGTTTTGGGATATTTTTACATGACCAAGATTCTGCATTTTAAACATTAAAATAGCTTCACACAGAAAAAAACACTTATGTCCACTAAGAAGAATGGAGCTGCCTTGTCTGCTGGCAGCTAGCTCTCTGCAACTCTCACATGGTCACCCACTGAAGCTAAGCAGGGCTGCGCCCGATCAGTACCTGGATGGGAGACCAGATGGGAAAGCTAGGTTGCTGCCAGAAGTGTTGTTAGTAAGGCCAGCAGAGGGCGCCCAACCTGCGGTCTGTGCGGGTCCTAATGCCACAGTATAGTGATGGGGACTCTATACTGCTCAGTGAGCGCTGTCTTTCAGATGAGATGTTAAACTGAGGTCCCGACTCACTGTTGTCGTTAAAAATCCCTTCGAAAAAGAGTAGGGGTTTAACCCAGGCATCCTGGCCAGTTCTGCTCACTGGCCTGTGTCCATCATGGCCTCCTTACCCTCCCCATATCAGAATTGGCTTCATCACTCTGTCTCCTCTCCACCAATCAGCTGGTGTGTGGTCTGGCGCAAAATGGCTGCCAACGCGTCATCCAGGTGGATGCTGCGCACTGGTGGTGGATGAGGAGATTGCCCCCAATGTGTGTAAAGCACTTTGAGTACCCAGAAAAGCGCTATATAAATGTAAGAAATTATTATTATTATTATTATTATTATTATTGTTATCTGCTTACTGTCATGTCCGCTTCGGACAGTAAAAGGCAAATTCTCTGCAAAAAAAGGAAAGCTGACGTAAACGAATGGAAGAATAGAGTAAGGAAGGTGTTACGGAATGCTGGGAAACCATATTTGAATCGAAAAGAAGAACAAGAAACAGGAAAAAAAATCACCGAAAGAGGTTAGTAGAAGAACTGTATATGTGATCTCTCTCTCCCTCTCTGTTTCTCTCTCTCTCTCAACGCACTGAGGAGCACTAAACTGACCCAGCTGAGGCTCGAACCCGCGACCTTCTTGCTGAGAAGCATATTGTGAGATGGCGGAGTGAGAGAACAGTTTTAAGCCAGCACACCTGTATAATTTTCTAAATAAACGACAATATTTAGCTATGATGTATGTCAGCATTTTTTTGCTTTTATTGTTGTATTTATTTTATTTACTACTTATTGTTAATAATTGATAGCTATCGTACTGTACTGTAAGAAGGTCTATGTATTGTACATTGTTCATACTGTATTTTCTCTTTTTAATAATAATAATAATAACAATAATAAACTTGAAAGAAATGCTTAACTTTTAACCTGAAGTTTCTGTTACTGTATTAAAACTAAGCGAAAGAAATCAGATCTTCAGTGGTTTAAAGTGATATGATGAATTAAAGTTATTAAAAAAAGTTTTACTTTTATTCCACACTAACTGGACATATAACGTTCTTCCACATTTGAGAAGTATAAATCACAATAACTTAAGCAATTTAAGTAAGTATAAACACAATAATAGATTTTTAATACTGACCCTAAAAAATGTTATCCCCTGAAAATTGAAAAGCTTATGTTTTCTATCTTCAAGTAAAATAAACATACATACATTTCCCACCCAATACATATGAAAAAAAACATCTTATTACTCAAAATTTGAAAATATGGACTTATATGGTTGATTGTGTCGAGGCCCTATTTATTACAGAATTCATAATTTGGTGTGAACCAACCATTGATACCTCATTAAGACCTGTCTCTAAAATTGGTGTAGAGTAAATTATTTTACCTCGTCTTTGGTGAGAGGACGGAATCGGGCCTGGTATCTGCTAAGCTCCACGTTAAGACGGTGGACAGTCATCTTCAAGCCATCATTCTCATCCACCAGCTCCTGTGCCTGTTGTCTCAGACTCGATAACTCAGAGCCTTCCCCTATACACACAATGACAAATAGTTAAACCAGAACTGATTCAAGCAAAGCCACAAGCAAATGAGCAAAAAAACTCCCACCCAGACATGTACACATATTACATGTGCTTCTCTAACTTTGAGGCACTTCGAGTAGTCTGAAAGAACATGCTTCATAGAGGAATTCTGTCAATTTCTACATGAACAGCTATGAACAAGTGTCATTTTCACCACATCTCAAGCACAATTCATACTGCTGTCTCCTTGGTAACCAGGAAGATTATTTTTTTTGGAAAAAATGTTACAGGGGAATAAACTGTTAGATGTCATGAGAATGACGCCACAGCTGAAGGACAGATAGTTGAACAGTGTCAGAATTATTAGAGTCACTGAATTATTAGCCTTATTATTAGCAGTTTTTTCCCCCAATTTCTGTTTAACAGAGAGAAAAAAAAATTTCAACAAATTTCTAAACATAATAGTTTTAATAAGTCATTTGTAATAACTGATTTATTTTGTCTTAGCCTTAATGGCAGTAAATATTATTTTACTAGATTTTTTTTAAAACACTTCTATACAGCTTTAAGTGATATTTAAAGGCTTAACTAGGTTATTTAGGTTAACTAGGCAAGTTATTGTATAACAATGGTTTGTTCTGTAGACTATCGAAAAAATATAGCTTAAAGGGGCTAATAATTTTAACTTTAAAATGGTTTTTAAAAAATTAAAAACTGCTTTTATTTTAGCGAAATAAAACAAATAAGACTTTCCCCAGTAGAATACATATTATCAGACATACTGTGAAAATTTCCTTGCTCTGTTCAACATCATTTGGGAAATTAAAAAAAAAAAAATTAAAGGAGGGCTAATAATTAATTATATATATATATATATATATATATATATTAGCCTGTGATGTATACACCCTGAAGGTATTTTAGGAATATACAAGTTTCTTCTTTCAGCAGAAATCAGAGTTATTTTTAAAAAGCTACTTGCTCATTCAAGCTCTACAATGGCAACTGGCGGGAGTTTCACTTCAACAGTCCAAAGTAAGTCAATTAAAGTGCATTTATTTATAACATACAATAAATAATACAGTTAATTTCGCTGGCATATGTGACAAATCTCATAAAAATGAGTACCACAGTGGAAAATACACAAAACTCTTCATAAAGTTTTTAAAGATATAGATATCTTTCACTAGATAAGAACATTATTCACCCCACAGGACTGTGTGAGGCACTTTATATTATGGATGGATGAATTTATTGGACTTATTCTGAACTTTTTAAGGGTGCTTTCACACCTGCCTCAAAAAGTTTGGTTGACTTACACTAGAATTTGTTTACCCTTATTATGCATCTGATCGTGTAACCGAGTGTGCACTAAAAGTGGACCAGAAAAGCATACCGAGACCTGCTTGAAGATGTGTTCTTGGTATGCTTTCAAATGTAAATTGGCTACAATTATTACAAGGTCTTCTTCAGAATGCCATATTAAACACTAACTGGTGGGCTTTCATATTTTAACATTACGTGTCTGGATCTGGGACAAGGGTAAAATAAAATCTTAGTATAGAAGGCATTAAAAAAAATCTTGAAATAAGTAATGAAGCCATGCTAAACAGAGGTCACCTTCATATAAAAATAAATGCCTGTAGTTGGAGAAACTTCCATGTACAACACAGAGCTGCCCTTTTATTAGGTAGATCTGTACACTATTGCAAGCAAAAACTATTCAATTATATCATCATTCAGTCATGTCAAGAGTTACCATGTTCAATGAACAGGGAGAACAGTTCAACGAGGAGACAATGTGGTTTATAGTATGTGATTTTAAGCATGGAACAATTGTCTCAAAAACTGTCATCTATCATCATATGTTTTAGTAACTGCTTTGATATACTGTTTATTTATATTGTGTCCTATCAAAAATGATAAAGTAGTACCTAATAAAGAGAAGCAATGCTTACAAAAGTCTTGAAAATAAGCAGTCTTGTTTTAAAAATGAGAGAGAATCTACATTTGTAATGTAGATTTTTTGCCACAGTAGGTGGCCTAAAGGAATAATTGACCCAAAAATTAAAATTCAGTCATAATTCTTTCCTCCTCGTGCTATTCCAAAATATCTCAAGTATATTTTTCTGACTAGAGCTTTCAAACTCGAAACAAAAAAATACACAAAAGCATCACAATTAAATAAAACATTTGTCAAAGTAGTCTGTTTTCTGTTAATGTTAAAGACTTACAACTAATTAGCAGCTGCAGGAAAATACAGATGTACTTAAAGTACAGAAAAATAAAAAATAGTCCGTAATACAAACAGCAAGTTTAAAATTAGGACAGGATGACAAAAATTATTATTATTATTATTATTATTATTATCATTATTATTTATTCGATAATATAAATTCAATTCAATTCAGTAAAAACTATATGGATATGAAATAATATTCAAACCCAAATCCATTAAAGAAAAAAGGTCACATGGGTTTGGAACAGCAAGAGGGCAAGTAATGATGACAGAATTGTAATATCTGGGTAACACAGGATAGGCCCTGTGAGCTCAGTGGGATGTGTAGCACCTGTGGAGTTTCCTCTCTCTCTGTGAGTGTGGCAGAGCTCCTGCTGGAGATGCTTCATGTGCTGACTCTGCTGTAAACATCTCTTCTCCAGCGTCTCTTTCTCCTGGCTGAGAATTTGATTCTGCTCCTTTAGCTCCTTTACAAGTGCGTGCTGCACCTCTAGCGTACTGCGCAAAACTTCACTGTCCTCTGCACCACACAGCACACAGCACACAGAGCAGGGCAAAACACGACAGACACCACAGCAAGAAATCCCGGATCATTACACAAGAATATGAAAAAAGACACACAGGAAAATGTAAAAACAAAGCAGAACACAAGACATGGCAACACTATTCTCACAGCAGTAGCAGCACAGCAAAACAAATCCATCAACGAGTGCAAAAACACGAAAGGCAAGACAGAAAGAAGCACTGACAAGATGGACACGAAGAAATAAAAATGTGACAGAGGAGAATGGAAGATGACTGCTTAATTCACAAATCTTCTTTAAAAGATTAACTATATTAATTTCTCTTTATGTGAAAACATTACAAAATGTTTATGACCATCTGTATAGTCCTAACACACATTATTAAGTCTGATACGTCTATTAAGATTAATCAATACATTTATTCTGTTAGTCTAGCTATTTCAGCCTTATTCCATTAGTACAGATTAACCACTCAGGGGTGCGTTTCTGAAAACTATCGTTTGCCAACTAAGGTTGCAAGTTGTGTCATTAAAAACATACTTTGTTGATTTGGTTTTTCCCAAATTCATTGTTCCAATGAACATTTGCAAACTGCGTCACAAATGACTATGCTTGCAACTACACCTCTGGAGCTGTAGTTAGAAACATAGTTCCTGGCTGGTTTAGTGATCTTCATGTTTACAATTGCACTCCCTTCGCAATGCACTTAGAAAACATTGATGCCATTTGGAACACAGTCGTGGCTCATGGCCTATTATTTAAAAAAAAAAATGAATCTATGTCATCTCTCCAAAGCTTGTGAAAACAAAACAACAATATACTTTAATGGTTTAAATTTATAGTGGATTATTTATTAAGTATCTGTACTGTATATGACATGGGCTTGTTGGTTAGAACAGTTTTGTAGTGGTTTACATGTGTCAAATTGTAAAAGTAGACAAAAATAAACAATATCCTACTAAATAATAATAATTATTATCATCATCATCATTAAAATTATTATTAAAGTATGTTTTTTTTCTAATAAATATTAAATTTTATTTCTTAATAAATAGCACCATTATTTGTTTATTTATATGACTTATATACAAGATAAGAATATGTGTTAGCTGTAAGTGATTTTATGTTTTAGAATAGAATGTAAAGTTCTCAATAATATTTGTAAAGGAAACATTGGTCCTATATGTGCCATTTACATATTTCAATTAATATGGAAAATGAAAACATGTTTTTAAAAACACTAATATGGCTATTTTTTAAATGTGTGTGCATGTAAAACAATATAATTTAAACAAAAACATAATGCGGTTCTTCTCTAAAGAAGTTGTTACTTCACCCCATTCAGAGCATCATTATGGCCGTTTTACCTTATAACTAATGTGGTTCAAATTATGTATCTGCGACAGAGAAACAACGGGTTTTGGGAAACACTTGTCACTACATCGTTTTTTTTCCCAAATGATGCATCTTACTATGATTGTTCAGCCGCAAGTTATGTTGTTGTTTGGGAAACGCACCCCTGTATGGTTCTATTTTTTAAAGCAGCAGAAAAATTGATTAGAGACACAAACTCAATGTGATTACACAACATGCATAACTAAGGAGATCTTGTTTTTAATCTCTAGTTTAAGCCAAGAACTGTCCTGAAAATCATGTCAAATTTGAGGTAATGAGTCGGGTTCCAAGCCAAAAAAAACCCAAATAATTCATTTAGTTGTTTACTGAACATTAATTACAGATGCAATATGGTACGCCAGATCATGTGCTACAATGACTTAATCAAAAATATGAATTGGAAAGACTGAAGAGCTAGGGAAGTCAGATAGTACTGTAAAAATGTAGAGCTGAAGCCCCCTTACCTGAACTTCTGTCTCTCTCATTAACTCTCACTGGACTCTCTTTGTTCGTCCGCGAGCTTTTCCTCTTTGAAGTTTTCAGTGATCTGGGAGAGCTCCAGTCGTCTAGTTCTGAGAAGAACACCAAAAAACATTCAGAAAACAAGACAAGTGAAGTACCAAACCAGTGGTAAATTGATTGGGTGAATGAATAAGTACTTGTAAAATATTATTAAAAAAAGATTTATATTTACTGTAAGTGGGCAAGTAAATGATGTTAAATACATGCAGCACACTTTCCATATAACAAAATAAACATATAGCTAAATTTAAGGCCCAATCCCAATTCTATTTTTGTATCCCTACCCCTTTTCCTTCCCTTGGCCCTTAAAATCGAGTGTGCACTACAGCACCTGCACACGTCATCATAAGTCATCGCAATCTCTTGCTTCATATGAGATCAGACGATCGCAACTGCAGGAGTTATTCTACTTGCTTTATTTTTTGGTATTTATCTTCAGGAAATCACAGAAGGCATATATTATGTTCTCATAACAATATAATATGGCAATAAGATCATAACTATGCTGTGCATCTACACAGGTACCATATTCATCTATGTAAACACACCAAAAACAACATTAACATTATAGCAGACACTGTAAAAAGAGCATTCCCAGCCACTAGACATCACTGACAGGATATGTAAGTGTCATCGAGTGTCAGAATGTTGTGGGACTGCTATACAGGAGTTAAGATTATGGATCATAGATAGCAGGTTTTATTTTCGAGTTTTTTTAGCATGACGGTAAAACATAAACATGGTTATGAATATATTAAAATGTGCTTGTTTGTTGTAAAAATTTGTAATAATAGCAAAAAAATACTAATTTGTTGATCTCCTTACTTCCGGGTGCAGCTATACTGCCGTTATGGGTAGTGTATTCTGGGAAACTTTCTTACCCTTTGGTTTCAAGTGTGGTGCTGAAAAGTCTTTGTTCAAAGGGGTATCTACCCCTTCCCTTTAGGCCTACACCTTCAAGCTAAAGAGAACTACTGTATAATCACAAAAATACACTGAACAGAAGCCTAATCAATGTGTCTTTAATGAGTTCAAAAGAAATCTAAAATCAAAGCCTATTTCCTGAACCCAACAGTCTCCATCTTCTATTATTATGTTCATAAACCTTCCAGTGCAGTTTAGGGGTGTGTGATATTTATTGCCTATGATACTATCTTAATTGGTATTTTAACAATGTGCAAGCTGACATTATCGAGTGCATCATTCACTTGCAAATAAACAAGCAAACACACGTCCTTAGAGTCCAAAAGCATTGCCAGCATAAATGAAGCCAATTAGCATGCAGTCAAAATGACCCTATAATTCATGTTATGAAAGCCCCAAAAACAAGACAAGATGTAGTTAAGAAATAAGAGGCAAGCAGGAGTGCCATTTTTTCAAACAGCATGTGATCGCAATGGAAAATGTAATTGATTTTAGACAACAGCTCAGCCAACATGACGTTACTATTGAGTGAGTTACATTTCAGGCACAATGCTGTGCGTTTTATCTGCCTCACAAAATATATTAATTAATCAAAACTAATGTAGAACATTTGGCACTGAGGTGTTTCCTTCACAAACAAATCTATGAACAAATCATTTGAGTCAATTATGAGTCAATGAACAGACAAAGTATTTACAGTTCGCAGCTTTAAAACCCACTCAGCACGTTTTTGTTTATTAACTGTTAAAGAAAAACTTCAAAAGCTTTATTGAGATTCATTTTTGTTGTCACACATCCCAGCCCAGTTTACTTCAACATCTCCTTTACACCATTAATTTTTCACATCTTTTTGTCAGCCAAAAACACATGGCTGGCAACCAAGCTCATGTTGCATCAGTTGCTTCTCCCTCGAGCTTGCTCTCATATCAGTCACTGAGCTGATCACTTTTGAATCTCACACCCACGGTCTCGCACCTTCCTCTCACCCATTCACAGACAGCTTCAGTAAATCCTTTATTGCTTCTCACCTGCTTCAATCACTTCCTCGGGGTACAGAGAACTTCTTTCTGTTGACACCTCTCTAAGAGCTGTGACATCCCCCCAAAACACTAGCCACATAAACCACATGTGATGCAATAAGAGGCCGAGTTTATACCTAGTATGTGTTCATGTTTGCATCAATCCAATATCAAATGGATGACACCAAAATGCAGTAAGCAGTAAGCAAGAGTCTTTTAACTTTTAACGCATGTTCACTTTCTTCCACAACCAAAAAAACAAAATCCGAACTGAAATGTTTACAAGAAACATGCGAGTTCATGTCAAAACCAGATGAAAATTGCAAAATAACACTGTTGAGCAGGTTCTTAAACCACTGATTAGCCATTGTCCTCGAGTGCTCAACAGATATGACTGTGATTGGCTCTAATGACCATCACTTAATGCTCTTCACTGAGTTTGTGCACAGATACACAAACACGGCATTTGAAAGCCACGTCTATCAGTGGATCCGTCTATGAGAAGATATACAAGCGACCCACTGACAAATCAAGTAATGAATGCAGTTTTTAAATTCTACCATGTTCATATATTGTTTACCAATTTTTGTGAATAGAAAGAAGTGATGATTGTTGTATCCAATCAAAGTCATATCTGTTGAGTAAATGACCAAATTTCGTCACATTGTACTATCATCCCACATGGGGCTATGCAATATGACATTATATTTTGTATGGGCAAAATAAAAAGCGTATTATTTCATATTAGGCTCTATCTTTTTTTTTTGAGAAGTTACTCAATATTTGGTAATACGTTTTCAAAATTTATAATGAGTGCAAAATTACTCATTATGGGGATGAGGACAGAAACAGCATATGAGAAAATTGCAATTTTAAAGGGTCACGAAACACCAAAACACATTTTTTGAGCTGTTGACAGTTGTATATGTGTCCCACACTGCTAAAAACACTATTAGGACACCTATATTTCTCTAAAAAGTGTAAATTGGTTGTTTTTGCGTTATTTCAAGCAAATTCGTACTTCCGGTTTGAAACGAATTTTTGAAGCTGCGTTACGGTCATGACATAATAGCCTGTATTCCAGCGTGCAGACTGGACATCTGTGCCAGAGTATGTCTTATTATGTCTTACAGTGTTATGCATTAATGCATGAGTAAGGCTTGGTTCAAACCAATCAGCGCGCTCTATTGTGCAACTTCATTAATATTCATTACTGTCAGAGTGTTTAGACGACACTCACACCACGTTGTGTTGGCAAAACAAGCGTGAAGTGTTGCTTTTATAGTTTGCTGCAGTTAAGTTTCGTTTCATTTTCTCTCTGTGAGAGCTCAGTCTCACGTGTGGATTAACCGTGTACGCGACGCTCAACAACAATAATTTGCGTGTCTAAGGAGGAACATTGTTTACCTGAGAGCTGTTCTCATCTGCAAACGCTGAGATCCGGATTCGCTTGTAGTCTTCTCTTAATAAAGACGCGGCTCTAGTTGCTGGTGATTGTCCTGTCTCTACAGATTTGGTAAGTGAGCGACCAGTGCTCTTTGTTTATTCAGTTTGATCGTATCGAACTAAGTTAACCATTGCACCGAGTGTAAACATGTTAGCACTACAACCAAACTTTAACCTCGTGTAGGGTTTTCACCGCATTTAGTGACCGGAATAACACACGCGGCTTTCTGACACTACCTGCCGTGTGCATTTAAGTTTCCGGGAAATGCTGAGGGGTTTTTTTCTCTCATTCGCCATGCGGTATCAAACATTGCATGAAAAATACACGCTTAGAGCAGTTCCTCGAATCAAATATCTCGTTTGTCGCGAGGGGCATGAATGAATTCCCTGAATGAAAGAGCCAAACTGCAGTTAAAGTTTACCATTTAATAATTTGGCAAATAATTCGACTACAGATGTCCATGTAAACACCATCACTTTCTACCGTGTGTGTGTGTGTGTATTTTGACTCTGAAACTCGCGCGTGCCCAAATAGACACTCCCACACCATCCCACTTTTCTTCCTCCGACACTCCCCCCTAAACAGAGCTGGACACGCCCACTTTTCTGACTTTTTCCAAAGTAGAGGTGTGAAAACACCCTGCTGAAACGAGGCGGTTTCATGGCCCTTTAAAAGTAGAATTACATTTCACATTTTATTTAGTGGTATTTTAATTTTATCATTAGCTTTTGAAAAGTGTTGTATATTTCATTAATATTTAATTTTAATCAAACATTGTAAATAAAGTGAGAAATATGATACTTGAAAATGTACAAAAAACAGTCCTTTACATGTGGTCTATATAAATATATAAACTATCATTTGATTAAATCTACAGAAAATTTACTATATTGCAATATATATCTTTATTGGGATATGAGATGACATATATCGTGATATGATTTTGTCATATCACGTAGCCCTAATCACACACAAATCATTCTCCATCCATCTGTTATCCTTTGTTCAGTGTTCTATCCTTCCGTGAACTGCATAAATTACATTGGAGAAGTTCTGATAATCAGTCTGTAGACTAATCTAAATGAACTATTCAGTCATGACAGTGGTTTCCAGTAATTTGCATGATGAAGTTCACAAACCAATAATTTGAACTGATTCATTCATAAATAGAACTGATCCAGCTCACTCACTGATCCACTTGAAACTGCATTTACAAAGCCTTCTACAATCTTTTTCAGTTCTGTGCAGAAAAGTTTTTAATGGCAGGAGTAGGCTTATAAATGACAGAATATTTCATTTCTTCACTAACCACAGACTCTCTCCTGTACAATATTAAAATCCACAAATCAGATCTGTCTGAATGTGGGAATTATAAGGTAGACTGCAGTACATGCTAAATTACATCATGTCAAACATCCTTACTGAAGCTATTTTGCTGAACTCTCACAAGGCTTCAAAATTGGATATGGAGCTGAAAACCCCTTACTGTGACTCCAAGTGGAGCTGTATCATCCTTGGTCTTTCTGATCTAGTTTTAATTCCCCTTGATCTGTCTCTGCCTTCGGTCTCTTATTATAAACACAGACCAGATTTTGTCTGCTTTTCTGACATCTTAGCCGCCAAGGTCATCCTCATCATCATCCAGCAAAGTTCTTCCTTCACTGGAAGTCTCTGTTGCTATTAAATGTGACACAGCCTTTGTCTACTGGTGCATAAAAACCTTGGCAGTTGTCCATTGATCACTTTGCAGCAACTGGCCAGACCTGCTGTTTCATGCTCTATTTCAGAGGGTAAATCCATCCTTCCTGCAATCCTCTTCCACTAGGCTAGACTAATGCTGGTTTGCTCTAATCTGCCACTAGACCTCGTGATCGCAAGACATTGCTGCTAATTCCATTATACTAATAAAATGCAAAGTTAAAATATAGGTGCAATTTGCAAATCAGGCATTTTGTCTAAATTTATTCTAAAATTCCTAATTTCGAACTCTGTCCATAAAAATATGTTTTATGATATCACCCCATCCCACCGACCCACAATAAATTGTGTTTATTGAAAGTTGTGTTACAGTATCCTCTATGAGATTTTAAGTTGCCTGGAAAAAAGATTTGCCAATCGAACTCTCTGGAGACACAGGGGACAATTGTTTGACTTTAATACAGTCATGCTCAGTTATCAGCAGACACTAACTGATTCAATTCAAGGTCATACATCGTCTACACCACACTAAAACCACACTAAAACCAACCTACATAAAATCTTTCCTTCTGTCTCACCAATGTGCGATAGATGTAAGAGAGCAGAGGACACGGTTGCACGCGTTTTGGCTCTGTCCCTTACTGAATAGATTCCGGACAAACATATTTGACAGGTAGTCCATGGCTTATAGCAGACCTTTTATACTAGATGCCAAACTTGCCATCTTTGGCTTCTTACAAAATACATCTTCTCTCCTTCAAACAATGCAAGAGTCTTTAAGTGCAAGAGGCAAGGTGGTGGCTAAAAGACTAATGCTGAACAATTGGAAATCACCTTTACTCCCCTGATTCCAGAACTGGATTTCCGACATAATATCTGTTATTCAGATAGAGACTCAGAATTTTAAGGACTTGCTCTATAAGAAAATGTATGGCTATTTGGGCTTAATTTCTTGATTTATTTGACAAATCTATAACTCAAGAGCAATCCAAATCTATAATCTCAAGAGCAGAAAATCACTTTGATGCACTTTTTTGTTGTTGTTCCTTTACATTGTCCTTTGTATGTCTACAGTACGAGCCAACGTTTGTTCTCGTTTTGTATATATGTAAAATTCGCACTTCTTTTCACATGGTAAATTGTCCTGATTTCTTTGGTTAAAACATCATATGGGTTTAAAACTCTAAACATATATTGGCATATCATTAGGGCATCATAAACTCTATAATACAGAGAAAACTGACTGCAATTCAAAAAATTGAAATGCGGTCCAATATCATGCTGGCTACTGCATGATTAAGGACCCCTTTTTCATTTTTTTATTTAATTCACAGTAATGGGTTTCAAAGCTAACAATTCTGTAGCCAACACAGTGTACTATACTATTAAATTCTACTTAATAAATTCTTTTTTTTTTCAGAAATTTCAATGAGGCTCTCAAAATGTATCACCCAATGAACTACCTCAATTGTCTCCAGTATGTTGAAAGCTGTGCATAAATGGATTTGACATCAATTAGATGTTAGCAATGTTCTTAATTTACTATCTGCCAAATTAAACTGAAAAAGAAAAGATGTTTTTTTTTTCAAAGTCTTGAGGATTCCTAAAAAAAAGACTTGCTTTACATGGAAAAAATCAGCACAGGTGACACAAGATTTGCTGCAAAATGTGGCTGATGTAATGGAGGGGAAGTACCTGGAGATGCCATGCTCCTCCGAGAGACTGATCTTGGCTGTGGCAATGATGATGGCTGCTATGGAGACAAAGGGAAGTTAACAGATTAAAAGATTCTCGCTGCAGAATATCAAAGACCACTGACAGAAACAGACTGAATTACTAAGTATATCTAATAGTGAAAACTGCACAGGCGGTTCATCTCCGCTAATGAGCAATTTTCCTCATTAAGAGATGAGATCCTATGGTAAAGGTCTCCAAGCGGTAATAGTAGCCTTCAGATTTGACAATGTGGAGTTATAAGATGCAATGATATGGTCAGTGTGCATGTGAATATGCGTATCTGCATTTTAACCGAGAATAGCTTCATATAGTCTAATTGGGGCGTATGCTTTTGTGTGTGTGTGTGTGTGTGTGTGTGTGTGTGTGTGTGTGTATATATTAGCAGTTAGACCAGAGAGCCACTTACTGAATAGTGAATCAGAATGGCTGTGATGGTCTCTTGTGTCAGAAATAGCTGAGATTATTAATAAACTCTCTCATGTTCTCCTTCCCCCTTCCAGTTTAAACACCTTCCCACTCTCTTTCTCTCATCCTGTCTGATTTTCATTTACACTCCTTCACTGATAACGACCAGTGTCTTGGACTTTCTAAAGGTGTCTTTAACCTAGCCCTTTATGCCAATGCCATTTCTTTCTCTCTTTCCTTGGATAATTTATTAAGCCCTGGGGTAGAATAACCTTTAGTTCAGAGTAGAACCACTCCAGGGTTCAAAATAATTGACATTCACACAGCAGTGTTAGAAAATTAGCTTTAAACCCTGTTTTAACTTAATCAAAATAATGAGTCCAGCTTCTCATTAGGGCTGATGTGAAGAGATTCTCTTACCGTTTGAGCAGCTCCTTCCGGAACAACAGTTTCTTCTGAAATACAAAATGTTAATAATTATAGCCATCAAGCTGCAAAATTAACCAACATTTTAGAGACTCACAAAGTTAATAGAATTGGTATGAGAATAGGATGTAAAATGCTAATATTTTCAACAGAAAGAGAAGCAGTTTGTCATGCATAGTATTTATACTAACATCTATCAGAAACTTTATACATTTTAAAAAGCAGCATTTATACATTACCGGCTTAATTGTATTAATCACAAATGAATCACATGTTAAATTTGACTGAGAAATTAACATAAAAGATAATTTACCATCATTATTATATGAAATTTGGACATTATATTTAATACACAAAAAAGTCAACAAAGGCTATGCTGGGGGTAAAGAGAAGGTCACTGAGTCATTCATTCAACTACTTATTCTTTCACTTTATATAAATGGCCTGTTAAAGGGACATTTTTTAATTTTGTAATCGTATATTCCTCCCAGACTTGTTCCAAATTTGAATTTTTTTACTTCCTTAGTGTTTTTTTTCCTACTATGGATGTCAATAGCTTCCGGTTTTCAACATTCTTGAAAAAATCTACATTTGTGTTCATGAGAAACAAGAAACTTATAAAGGTTTGAGGTTTGGATGCACCGGGATGACAATTCTGGGCCTCAACATAAAATTCTGGATGCATTTGGCCAAAAACTAAATCAAAACTGCTTTGTAATAATTATAATTTTAGTAAACAATATAAGGTAATTTTTCTAAGACTTTTTAAAAGTAAACCAATAACTAAAACTATACAGATTTTAAAAGTTTTTATGGTGCTTTAGTTTTCTTGTCCTTTCTGGCTGGAGAGAGAGTGAAGCCAGCACACTGAAAACACTGGGTAGTATGCCACAGCACAGCATTTTTTCTCATAGAACTCTCTAGAACTCTCAGGTAGTGCAACCAGGTATGGAGCATCTCATCACAGCTCATCATTAAAACAGATAATACATTTATTCAGCAACCCCTAAAGAGGCATAAGGTCTGTTTAAATGTATCTTTTGTTACTTTAGCATGTATATTACACATATGTTTGTAATGAGGCAACAAAGACATGTAGTCTACTGAGTATAGGTTTTAATAATCATTTATGCATTGTGTAATATCACTCAGCTCTTGCTGTGATTTTTCCTGGGTGAAAGACTACAAATAGGAGGTTATTATATTAAGTTCTATATTAAGGCTGATATTAAATCCTGTCTGTGTTTTCAAATACATTAAAACAAGATATAACTCTACATAATAAATTCATCTCTGTCTGTCCCTTTGGTGGAGTATAATTGTAATTTACATTATATTTTATCCACAACACAACAAGACAAACTAGATAACTCTGAGATAGCTCATTCCCCCACCTATCTAAATTTTACCTATATCTACCACTTCAGTTAAAAATATTTTCAATTAACAAAGAATTATGATATACAATTTTTTTTTTTACAGCTGAAGTATAATTATGTTGCATGTTTATTTTGTTCATAACACATCAAACTCTGTGTGTGTGTGTGTGTGTGTGTGTGTGTGTGTGTGTGTGTGTGTGTGTGTGTGTGTGTGTGTGTGTAAGCAGAGCTCATTAGTTTATAGGGACATTTCAAATATGGTCAAAACCATCCATATTTTATTAGGTCAACCAATTATTAGGTTTGGAAATGGACCTGTAAAATTACATCTGGAGAATCTTTGCACTTACCTAAACTACATAAGCTTACCTAAGCTTTCATTTAGATTTCAGAGAACAAATTAAACAATATTTTATTTGTGTATTCTATGGCACATTTAAGCACCACAACTGTTTTCTAGAAATGATAGTGGAGCAACAAGTCAGCATTTAAAAATGATTTCTGAAGGATCATGCAATAACAAAGACTGATAAATATTCAGCATTGAATTTATATATTAATATTTACATTACATATTAACATTAATATTTCAGATTATAGTAGGAAACACTTATTTCAAATTGTAGTAAAATTATTATTATTCCAAACCTTCAGTCTGTAGAGGGGACACAATATCAAATGCAGAGTCTTCAGTCTCTTCATCAACATCTGAATCGATCTCGCTCTGATAAAGAGATTCAATAAGCTAATCAACAATATATATTAATCACATATTATAATCAATAAAAAAATAGGTGTAGAGCTTTGTTTAAACCCAAACGCCATAAGTAGACTACTGAATCAGATTTTAATTAATATTTTTTATGATCTCAGACTAGGTTTTGATTTACAGCAGAATTTAAATGAATCAGCTCCACCTCATGGTGAATACTGGTAAATACATCAAACATACAACAGGACAAAGCACTGCACATACAGACCAAACACACACAACTCTACCTTTTTGTGTTTTAATGGCACAGCATAAACAACATTAATGTCATCAGCTCTGCTCTGTCTCTCAAGGGACTGATACACATGATCTTCATCTCCCTCTAATCCCTCCAACTCATCGATGTCATTTCCTTCATCATCCTCATCATCATCCTCATCAGTGCGTCCTGGGGAAGGCACAGGGGGTCTTCCTGTCACTGAACCTGGCCATCTGTCCCTGAAGTGAGAAAGCAAATGAAGCACTGCAGTGGCTGAATCAAAAATAAAGAGGACATATTTCAGCTGATGACAGGCTGATGCTGTTTAATCCACTATCTTCAACACTTCCTGTCATTGAGAGGCAATCAAGCCAACAATTAAATTTATAAGTGAACCACTTGCCCTCCTGCTGATTCAATAATGTCTATACATTCACAATCAATGAGACTTGCTGTTTTTTTCCTGATTAGAAGTCATTCTGTTGTACTTTTATTTATAACAGTTTATAACAGAACAGCAGGGAGTTTATGATTAAACCAATTTACCTAAAGACACTTAATATCGACAAATATATATATAAAAAAACACAAACAAACAAAATATATGTTTATCTGCATGTCACATGACATGACCATTTACCCTAACTATCGAACTGTATTATAGGGGTGCAACAGTACATTGAAATGGATCAATATGTTGATGACATGACTTATATTATAAAGTATCAATTATTTAAGTAAAATACTGATATGGGCAGCGTGGTGGTGCAGTGGGTAGCGATGTCTTAAGCAAAAAGGTCGCTGGTTCGAGCCTCGGCTGGCTCTGTTGTCATTTCTGTGTAGAGCTTGCATGTTCTTCCTGGGTTCGTTTGGGTTTCCTCCGAGTGCTCCGGTTTCCCCCACAGCCCAAAGACATGCACTATAGGTGAATTGGATAACAAAAAATTGGCCGTATTGTATAACTGTGAATGAGAGGGTTGCAGCTAGAAGGGCATCCACTGTGTAAAACATGTGCTGGAATAGTTGGTGGCTCATTTCACTGTGGCGACTACTGACAAATAAGGGACTAGGCTGAAGGAAGGTGAATGAATGAAATAAAATAAATAAGCAAAAGGTGAAAAAAGTAACGAAGGAGAAATAAATAATACACTTTTCTTAAATGTGTTTTGAATTGGATGCAATTGCTGCTCTGTTGTTTTATTGTGATGAGGCACTTATGCAGACAGTGTATATATAACCCACGCATATAACCATATAACGCATATAACCCACGCGAACACGGGGAGAAGATGCTAACTCCACACAGAAATGCCAACTGGTCAGCCAGGACTTGAACCAGCAACCTTCTTGCTGTGAGGCGACAATGCAAGCCACTGAGCCATTGTGCCGCCTTTAATTGCATTTTTTAAGTGAATTGTTTGCGAATGTGTATTTGTAACAGAGTTCAAATTTATTAGCATATTATTATATATTTTGGTGCACAATGGTTATGAGGTAATAAAAATGTAACTGTTTTTTTTTAATTAGGCGCATAATATCTTAATATCAAGAACTATTCCACAGAATCTAATTAAATAAGAACCATATTGCAATTTCTTTTTTAAGTATTGAAAAATATCATATTGCTGGTTAATAGTACCAATTTCATAAGGTAACACAATGAACCAACCATTATACACCCATAATATTGTGTCCAATTATTTAAATATTATTATAAAATCACTTTATTTTAGGCAGAGTGTTTCTGACTAAAAGGTTCACATATTCCTGGTTTAGGACACTGAAATCAAGTACTATACCTGGTGTAAAGTGCTGTAGCATAGGGCTCAAAGTCAGCTTGGCTGTCTGCACGTGAACAATCACTCTCTGAATAAGATCTTTGGCGTGGAGAAGGAATGGCAACAGTACGACCTGTCAGTGACGAAGACAATATGGCAGCTGCCAAAGCAGACCTGTGATAATCATCAGAGAGATTACAAAATGTACAGTTAAAAAGGTGTAAAGAAATTTTGACAAGCATTCAGGGTTAATGGTGAGTCTATCAACTGTCCCTCAAGAACACAATATACACATAGTGAGAGCCAGAGTGTTTTGTATGGGCTGGGAGATGGTAGGTGGGTATACCTGGGTCTCTCTGGAGAGGGATTGGGGCTTCGTGGAGGAGGGGTGCGGGGAACAGCAGGTCTGGGGGCAATGGTGGCAGCAGGGATCAAACCATGAGCTATATTTCGCTAAACAATCACAAAAGCACACACCATGACAGCGTTTACAACACAAATGCTTCAAAGGATGCACGTCAAAGTACGAACAAACACTGAGGGTTCAATTAATGTACACCGTTAACGTCTCTTTATAGATTGATATGTAGCACAGGCTTTTCTGGCAGCTGAAACAGTTCTTTACAAAATGTAACTTAAAGTCTTATAATTAGGTAATAGAAGACTTACAAATTCCCTCTTCTCTTTTCTCCTAAGGCTGAAGTTGAATTTGGATGACATGTTCCTCAGCCAACCTCCTCGTTGCGGTGAGAGATGTGAGGTTAACATTAAGATTTATAAAAACGGTGCTAAGGACCGCGCATTTCAGAGCTATTGTTGGAGCAAAACTATGCTTCAAGGATGAAACCAGCAGAGTTTAAATGTTATTTTTATACGCAGCCATTGTTTATGATCGAAATCTTCAAAAACAGCTTCAACTCAACTTCACGTAACTAGACGCTTTCCATGAAAACCGATTGAAATATAACGACTGCTCCTATTGGGTCGCCTCTTTTCGCCCAACCAATCATAATGTCGCTTTAATCGTCTTAGCAACGGCATGGTGCCATGTCTGACTGCGGCAGTTGTCCAGCAGAGGGACGCCTAGACCACTCAACTGTAGCGCAGTCTGTGGAAAAGGTGATAGAGGAGAATATAAGAATAAGGATATTATATATTAGATGTAATGCCATTAATGACTAGAACAGTTGCCTAATAAGGTAAGTTTGTTTAGTTTTCAATGAAGAATAACATGTTTAAATGTATGTAAATCGTTTGGCTTTGTAACAGTTTCAAGAATCTCCAAGTAAACAAAATTGAAACATGTTTGAGAACAGGACGCTTGAGAAGATGATCAATCAAATATACTTCAAAAAGTTGCAACAGAACATGCAGGGAAAGTTGTTAAAAGAGATCCGTATCACACATAGTAGACTAGAGGTTTAACATTTATTAATCCTATTATTGTCAGCCTGGTCAGCCTGCCTGAAGTGAAACCTTCTATACTTAGTATCTAATCTTCAAATGACACAGTTTTGTTAAAATACATTTGATGGGGATATTTTATGAACAACCTGGACAGAGATTGGTCCCAACAGGTGGATTATTAGTGGGAAAAATGGTTACAGGTTTAATGAACACGATTACAAAAACAAACAAGTAACAGACAAGTTTTTGGTAATAATAGTTTTATTAATAGACAAAATAATCACATAACAATACTGGTTTATTGTCTGGATTGGGCCTGATACTGATCTATGTTTAGTCCATATTAAATCTTGTAGCTTAGTAGTGTGTTCAATATCCATATTCATTTTTTAAAATGTTAACTGTCATTAAAAGTAATTTTGGTGTACTAGTATTATTTTTAATAGTTTGTGCCAGCTCCTAACTTAACTGCATTTGTAAGTGGGTTAAATCCTGCATGTTTATTATTACAAGAGAAAGTAGGTGTGTGAGTCATACGGTTAGAAATTGCTCTGGTGGAAAATGTTACTGTTAAAAGCAGACTCATATAGGATACATGCGTGCTTCCAGTAAGTTTGAGAATTAAAACAATTGTTGAATAAGTCCTGAGTCAGTGTATTTCTGATTTGCTCTTTTTAATGCTTTCCAGCTGTAGAAGATGCAGAAATATCTTCTCCAACTTTCTCTTTCACACACACAGACGCTCTTAACCACTGTGACATCACTGCTGCCGTTGGGAAGCAATCCCTCCAATAACCCAACCAAAGCCACACCATAAAATCCCCCAGTCTGTGAGTGATTTAAAACCCATTAGTCCACCACACCACCTTCACTGCTCTGATTCACATGTGCAGTTTTATAAAAATGATGCTTTTCCTATCATTCATTGAGTAGACTAAATAGTTTCAATAAAATTCAGAGCTGCAGAACTCTTTCAGTCATTATATAAGAGCATGAAAGCCTTTTTATACACTTTTGATAAGATATTTCTCCTGCACTGCCGTTACTTCGAGTTTCACATGTGAATCTCGGACTCACAAATCTTTGAAAACTAAATGTAAGAGTTTTCAGAGTAGATGACTTCTGAGTTCTGGAAATATACGGTCATATTTCTAATACAAAAGAAGCACAATTTGTTTTTGTTTTTTTAAATAGGCCTTACAAAACTAATACCTCCACATAACCATTGCTTATGCAATGCCACCTTTAAATAGCGTTGGTTTGGTTGATATGATTACACGGTTAGTAAACCACAGTAACATCTTACTCAATAAAAACAACCACAGATTTGACCCTTTAGTTTATTTAAATCAACATTTACATATACAACATAAAAAGTAGGCAACATTTCATCATAGTTTAGACATTTCATCAGATATATCCCACTGGTAATCCACATAAACCGTAGACACAAGAGCAACTAATCTACAAATCTGCTTTATCATGTTAACATCATGTAACAGCAGTAGAATTTAGGGCACTGATGCAGATTCTGGCTGGACTCTGAAGAAAAAGACATTGAATTTCAAAGAATCCTTAGCATGCAAGCAGATTATAAACATTCTGTCAGAACAGTGTTTGTCGTTTTAATTCCAAGTGGCACGTGAAGAAACACAAATGTTAAGGATACATTCACAGACAATAATAAAGTATTTACAAGTGAGGAGCGGAGGCCCATGGTTAAATAAGACTGTCAGTGTAGACTGTGGCATTTTAAAAGCTTTTGTCCTTTTGACGTTTGTAAAAGGCAGTGTTTTCAACAAGCAAATGGTTAAATATTGTCAAAAAAGATTTTAAAAAGCTACACAAAGAAGAATGCACATGGAGTAACAGAAACACATGTAGCCAAAGCAAAATAAACAACAACCCATGATTATATACATCAGGCTTCACGATATAAAACCTACAGTAAATAATTCAAATACTTAAAATGAATACATATGTTTATATAGATATATATTTGTTCTCTTTATTTTGAATATAAATTATTTGATTATCAAATGTGTATAAAAAAAATCTACTTTGTAGACAGTGAAATATTCCAACACTGAAGAAGTGCTAGGTAAAACACGTGAAATAAAAGTTAAATAAAAATTGGTTTCACTAGACTTTCTATTCGTCTTGCTTGAATTTGGCAATACCTTATGTCACGCACACGGCCCATCGTAATATTTCCCTTCAGTGTATGTTAATACTTGAGAAATCCAAACAATAATATATTATTGTTTGTTGTTTATACATTCCAAGTCCATAAGCCGTTCACTATCCTCACCCATGTTCGGTTTTTCTACAGCGATTAACACAGGATTCAGTTTCGTTTTGATGGTGCAAGATCACCACAGTCAGTCTACTAGCCTCAATCTAATTTAAAGAGGATCCCTGTTAATGCAACTAATAAAAAATAAAAAAACTAAAGAAAAATCCTTCATTTAGCCATTCAACACAAGTATAATCAAATATTTTGAGCAGCATACGTGTAGTGTTTTTAATCTGATTCATTGAAAACACCTTTAATTTACAGGTGAGATTTTCTAAGACAGACTATTAAAGGAATAAAAGAATAGCTTACACTTGTTTTTTTTTTTTTTTTTAAGTCCGTGCAAAATAATTTTAATCTCTCTACGAAGCTTTCCCTCTTTTCTGACTCCAGTTTTGTGTGTTTTAGTAGAGGCCGCTTTCGTGATGCGAATTGGAGTAGTTGGCTGAGGGTCTGTTCCAGGGCCTGCTGTAATCTGCATTAGGGAGACTCAGCGTGCTGCTGCTTTTCTTGTTCTTGAGACCAAAGCTGAGGAATGATGGTTTCTTTGCTACCTTGCGAGACTTGGGGTTTTTATCGTCCTCGTCGTGTGCCAGGCAGATCATGGAGTATGTCTTGGACAGGCCGCCGCAGTACGTAGCGCTCTTGGTTGCCTGCAGAGAAAGAAACAGAGGAAGAGGTGAGTAATGATTTGAATGACTAATCAGGTGCGATCAAAATAAACACCCACTGGCTATGTACATACTGAAGCTACATTTGTTTGTCAATTTACATTTAAGTGCTTAATACTGTAGAGAGCAGGGGTGCCCAACTTTTTCTTATGAAGTGCAAAAAAACCCAAACTGTTAATCAGTCTAATTTATAACAGAATTACACTAGTTTTTGCCTTGATTTGCTTGCCTGCATAGTCCTTTATCAGTCTAATGACAGTATTTACATTTTAAAAATCATTAACATTTAATTGAAACCATTTCATTTGTTTGCTTTTTTGTAGCTCAGCAATAAAACGAACAAAAAAGGTTACGTCAAATTAGAAATGATGATCCATAACCACTGTTAAAAGTCACTCGCCTATACCCGCTCATCATACTCTCCTCTCAGATAGGATGGAGGGCCAAATCAAAGGTTACAATGGGCTAACTTTGGCCTTCGGGCCCTACTTTGGGCATCTAAAAGCTAAGTCAGCTGACTTGTTTCCTGGCTGCCATATTTGCCAATTTAAGTTACAATTATAGTAGGCCCTTAGTTATCTTACTACAACACTAAGCTCTAACTAGAAATGCCAACAAAAGTGAAAAACATTGGTCAAAAATATACATTTGCACACAAAATGACAACCAAGAGGCACTTTGGTGTGCAATTTCTGTGTTCAAAATTGCATACTTCCATACCATGTAGTATGTTAAAAACAATGTGAAAGCAGAGTAGTATGTTATTCAAAATGCAGTATACAAGTACTTGGTTGACCTTCTGCTTCCGGTGAGATTCTGAAGTGCTATACTATTCCATGATGCAATGTAAGAGAATTCATAAATGTGAGTGAACCAATGCAACTAAAATTGGGTAGGTCATGTGATAATGAACATGCTTTTCCTATGGCTGTGTAGTAAATCCAAATTAAAATATAGTAGAGAAGGAGATTTCAGATACAGCTCATGTTTCATTATTTGGACAGGAAGAGAAGTTGAATTTTTGCATTTGAACATGCTTTGATGGTTTCTCTGCTCTTAAGGCAGCATCTTAAAGCTCACAGAGTCAGCGACAACCACATTCTACAACTAAATCAACTTTCAAAAAAGACAGGAAGTGACAGCTGTATAAAAAATCTGCAGTGTGTATAGAACCAAAAAATTACATTTATTTAAAATATTCATTTATTTCAAAGTGATTTGATTCTCTTCTGTATGTACAGTGCAAGAAATCACAAGGAACGAGGTCAATCTTGACTTGCTAGTGTTGACATATCATAGTGTAGCTAAGAATAGCAACAAAAAAAAAAAAACAAGCTGATGGAAAAAGACACATTTCAAAATATCACAACCAGCACATGCCTTTTTTATCCAAGGTATTGTGAACTAGCGTTGCTGTGAACTTTTATTTTAGTGTGTTGATGCATTTCCAACAAAAACAAGATATTAAAGAGGTGGTTGTATTTTTGTGCTACTTCTTTTATCGCAGCAAACTAATAATTGTATGAGCGTAACAAAGCAGTCTTCGCACAAACAATTAAACTGACATCCTTACAAAGATTGATTAAGGATCAGTGTTGGGGGAGACGCATTACAAGTAACCTGAGTCACGTAATATTATTACTTTTCTTAGTAAAGAGTAAAGCAACGAATAACTTAAAAAATTAAGTAATAATGTTTTAATTTACTTATAAATGTAATGCGAGGTACCTTTTAGTTTAGTTAATTTGCTTTTAAAAAATAAATTGCTAAAGTTTAATGAATGTTGTCAAGTTGAATCCCACACACAATGATAGAATTCAGGAATGACAGAAATGAAGATGGCAGAGCCTTTCATTTCCGCGATGGAAAAATTCTCATTATTTTGAACACATGGAAGAAAAGGAAAAGAGGATTATCTGAATGGACAGTGATTTTATTTTTTAATAAGACAAAGTACAAAGTAGCAAACACATAACTTTCATTAATCTGTATATGTGGCATGAAGAGCTCTAGGGTCAGAATGTTCTTAGAAGATAACGTTATCTTACATTAAATTTTTAAATGTGTTTTTTAAAGGTAAATTAATGTTATACAGAGCAGAGCTCCTCTAATTAATAAAAAAGAAGAAAAAAAAACTTGCAAATTCAGAAAGAGATCAAGCCACAGCCAGGTCAGAAAAAGTAATGCAAAAGTAACCCAAAAGTAGCGCTACCCATTACTTACCATAAAAAGTAACTAAGTAATACAACTAGTTACATTTTTTGGGGAGTAACTCAATATGGTAATGCGTTACTTTCAAAAGTAATTTCCCCAACACTGTTAAGGATTACCAAAACATTTTCAGTGGATTAACTGGCATAAATGATAGTGTTGACCTCAATGTAAGCTAGTGAATTAAACATTGTACATTTGCTTTAATATTACTTTGGTCATGTTTGTAAAAGCAAAGTCATTTGTTAAACAGAATTCACTCCTGTATTTAAATCCATTAAATCCCTCTTAAATCTTAACAGCGTACATAGCCACAAAGCAATATATAAATACAAGATCTCCTTTACTCTTTCTTACAAATATTTTAAGACTGCAATTCTTTGATAAAAATTCAGTAATGCTGGCAAATATTAAAGTTAAACAACTATTCTATATTTGCATATTCAAAAATGTAAGCTATTCGTGTGATGACAAGACAGAATTTTCAGCAGTCATTACTCCAGTCTTCAGAGTCACAGGATTAAGATTAAAAGCTTTCTGAGCCCCTTTGAATTGCAGTGCAAGTGTACATAGCAACCTTGTTAACAGTAATGCATTGAAAACATTAATAAATATAATTACACTTCAAGATATAAGACAATTCTCAACCAATCAGGGAACAGAATTCAAAGTAGAGCTGCATGATACTGGAAAAATATGCTATATTGTTACTGAGTATTGCATAATACTATAAGCCTGTTTCTTAAGATATATTTTATATAAAATATTTATATTTATCAGTTATGTTTTAAAAAAACATTATCTAACAGTTCTAAAATAAATAGATAAAACATAATTTCATATAAACATAAAATCCAGACAAAAAACCTGTCTTAAGTCTTTAAAACATTATAAATGAGTAAAACCCTCAGCAGACATTCTGGCTCTAATTAGCTGTCGTCATTTTGCTCTCTTGTTATTTTTTATTTTCAGCTCTGGGTTCTCCTTTGGGCCACTCACCAATAGCAGAAAAATAACTAGCAAGGCCCTGTCTGGTTAAATTTATCATACATGCCAGTGATACATACAGTTGAAGTCAGAATTATTGGCCCCCCTTTGTTTTTTATTCTTTTTTTAAATATTTACCAAATTATGTTTAACAGAGCAAGGACATTTTCATAGCATGTCTGAAAATATTTTTCTTCTGGAGAAAGTTTTTTTTGTTTTTTTTTGGCTAGAATAAAAACAGTTTTTAATTTTAAAATAAACATTAAGGTCAAAATGATTAAACCCTATAAGCTATATTTTTTTTCGATATTCTCCAGAACATATCTCCGTTATACAATAACTTGCCTAATTACCCTAACCTGCCTAGTTAACCTAATTAACCTAGTTAAGCCTTTAAATGTCACTTCAAGCTGTATAGAAGTGTCTTGAAAAATATCTAGTTAAATATTATTTACTGTCATCATGGCAAAGATAAAATAAATCAGTTATTAGAAATGAGTTATTAAAACTATTATGTTTAGAAATGTGTTGAAAAAAAATACTCTCTGTTAAACAGAAATTGGGGAAAAAATTTAACAGGGGGGCAAATAATTCTGACAACAACTGTGTATTGCAAATACAATTATATCCAGATAACAGAAACTGAGATGTATTGTGCAGCTCTAATGCAAAGCAAATCATAAGGAAAATGAGATGCGCTACCATTGGTTGGCTGCTGCTGTCCATCATGCTGACAACCCTGATGTTGATGCCCTCTTCATCCACATCCTTTAAAAGCTTCATGACATCACTCACTCCCATCCATTTACAATCGGTGTCACCCACAGCAACAAGGTAATCGCCCTCTTTCAGTCCACCGGCCTGGTGATGAAGAGATAGCGGAGGGTAAAAAGAAAGAAACAAAAGCAAAGAGAAAAAGGTCAGAGGTGTAAATCACGTCCTGCAGGGAGTGGCACTTTGACACTTCAGATATTTACGGTATGAATTTATCAGCACAAGCACACTCTGGTTACTATAGAGAGCAGGCCCTCGCTCAAGTGCTTCAAACAAAAGCAGCAGAGTTCTTTGCGGGAGACACACAGCTGCTTCAGACAGCTTGAGACTCATATGGGCAAAAACAGGTGCAGTGGGTGTGGACATGTGTTTGTGTGTGTTTTGTTTTATTTAATTGCTGTGGTCAAAGATTAAATCGGTCTTTAGCTTCAGGGACGTTTACACGTATAAGGAAGATTCATTGAAACAGGAAGGAGTTATCGCTTCTGATTAATGCCCTGGCACTAAGCGCTTTGTTTGTTGTTTTTATTAAGGTGGCGCGGTATTAATTATTTATGTGCAATAAACCGGAGGTGATGAGTAACATTTACAAGGGCACACTTACAGATCAATATGTCAACAAATGTTTTTCCGTTGTTCTTACAATTTTAGCAATGAGGTGAAAGCAGTGAATTCATTAAATAAACAAATGCAGAGTTGTGCTACGTTAGTAACACAGAGTAACTTTTTAATAGCTTATAAATAGTTTGAATTAGTTTATTACTTTTTCTTTTCTTTCTTTGTTTGTATTTCTTAACAACCAAAAATAAAAACATTCATTAATGATGCCATGTGGTATTTTACTTGCTGTTGTAATATCAATTATATTTTAGTAAACCAACATATGTAGGTACATTACTATTTGAAAGTCTGGCAAGTAAGAGTATGGGCATTTGTTTGTTTTAAAAAATGTTTTGATATTAACTAAGGCTGCATTTATTTGACAAAATAGTAAGGATGTCCAGATCCAATCACGTTATCAGAAATTAGGCTCGATCATGTGGTTTCAGACTCGACTGGAATTAGACGTTACCTCCCAATCAGGAATCGAATATACATGTATGTACATTTTTGAACACTTCTACAGTTTTGCGTAGGCACAGATTTACACCTCGTTCTTGACTTCCGTTAGAAACAGCTACGCGTGTTGAATGACATCACTTAATTGCAGAGATGCTATTAGTTAAATGCTGGGAAAGTAGAACACTGAAGCATGAGTATTTGGTAAAGTCTAGATACTGTAGAATTCAGCTGCGTATACACACATCAATATAGCATCATTTTTGTCACACTGTATAACAATAATTGATATTTTTACAGTACTGTGAGGATTGGGTTTAGGGTTGGGGTGGGGGTAGATAATAAAAAATAAAAAAATTTTGGTAATATAATAAATAACATTAAATAATACTCTCTACAACTACTGTTTTTTACATCACTATGATGGTTGGGTTTATTGTAGGGGTAGACATTAATAAAATACAATTAATGGGAAATTTATTAAATGTTATTAATAATTATCGTTAACTTTCAATCAACCATATTAGTCTAGCAACAGCCCAAGCATGTCTGCAGTCTGAAGGTATTATAAAGTTAATGACGACAACATTGCCATAGCAAACTGTGAGATATGTCAACTTGGGATTGCAGGAGGTGAAGAATTGATGTCATTTATTACTTGACTGTTCAAGCTACCTCACTGAAGTGCTCTGTTTGTTGACAAAGTTGTTGAATGTTAAAAAAAGATGAATTAAATAATGTTTCTTGGCTCTTATTTATTCTATTTGTATGTATTATAGAAGTATCGGATTGGATTTCGGTATCAGTAGATACTCAAAATCAAATAACTTTGACTCAAGGGCAAAAAAAACTGATCAGGATATCCCTACAAAATAGCGAGACTGAAATAATACTATTAGTTAATTTGATTTTTTTAAATATTTTATTTATTTTAATTCATTTTAATTTAATTTTGCAGTTTACTTAATCTTTTTTAGTACTCTTTCTGTATTATTTTAGAAAAGTTAAAATTTTTTAGATCCTTTTATAATTTTAAAAGGTAGATAAAAATGGGGGGAAGAAATTTTTTTTTTTTATTATTTGTCATGGTAAATAAATAATGACCAAAGTTAGATTTTGGCTGAACGTGCCCTTAAAAGGAAGCTGAACATTATTTTGTGTGTTTGTCTGAGTGTGTGAACACTCACTGCAGCGGGACAAAGGGGGTCGAGTGACTGTATCTGAACGGGTGCATCTCCCTTGAGCGTAAACCCGAGGTCTCTGTCCTGCAGTATGAGCCTGATGGTGCGCGGAGCTGTCCACCTCTGCTTCGCTGAAAACACTGACAAAGGCCCCTGCAAAACACAAATACAACAGCAAATCACTATAGCAACTCACCAAAGTCCAAGACACACAGGCTGTTTTTAACTTAAGCCTGCCTGCCACCCTGCTCGCCCTTGGCTATAAATCCAACTCTGCTGGTCATCCAAACATTTGGCTTACTGGTACGCCGACTACACACAGTATATGTGAAAGACTGGTCATATGGTGCAGAACGTTTATTTCATATTGTTATGAAACACTGTCATCTGAGGTGATGATGAACTGTTTAAGGCACCGGTGTTCTCATATGAGAGGCCTCTGCCAAGTCCCATAGGGGCACATGGGTCTTTCAGTTAGAATAACTCATACAAACACTAAAATTAAACCAACAGGGTATTTGTTTAACTTAAACAGAAGTACCAGAGCTAAGATTGGAGGTTATTTGAACAAAAAAATAAAGTACAATAAAAATGAATACAGGGGGAAAAAATTAATTGAAATATTAAGGCAAGAAGCACAAAAGCACTGTTCACACACCTGTTGATTTGAAGATTTTGGCTTTTTGGCTATTAATAAAGTATTAGGAATGTATGTATTTTGTGTTGGCCACTCTTTGTATAACCCTGTGTTACTTTGTGGTTTGCCATCTGTTTATTTCTAATGAGTCTCCTGTTTTTGTTACTGGAAACTAGTTCAGTAAAAAGAAAGAAGAAATGCTTGCATGCGTTTAGTTTTTTTTTCAGAAGAAAGAAAAAAGTAGTTCCTAATGCAAAAGGATTTTTGGACTTTTGGATTTTCTTTTTTCTATACACGATTATGCTGTTGAACTGTTTGCACACCTACCACCAGTGCCGATATACAGCCACATCGCTCTGCTACTCGTGCAATATTGCTCATATATACTTCAAATTTAAACCTATTGCATATGTTCAAATAATACCTCATTTGCATATTTAAAACAACATTTAGAAAACTTATAATACAAAAAAAGTTAGCAAATGTAATCAATGGACTGGGGAATTATGATAAAAATTAGTTTTTGTATTTTGGGAATTATGATAAAAATTAGTTGTTGTATTTTTTTACCCTATTTGTTTGCATTAATGTTGCATTTGGTTGACCCCTTTCTCAGAAAGGTCATTCGATTTAATAAGGACTTGTTAAATAAGCGGGTCATCTGGTACAAGATTTCAGCAGTGATTCTTTGAACTCTCTGAAGGTCGCTCAGACATCTGAAAGCGGTAAAACACAAACATACTCTCCCATAAAACTGACCACATCATAAACTCTGCCTCCATCACCTGAATTACCCTGCTGCCCACAGCCCGAGGGAACGGAACATACACGTCACTGTGGTTCTCCAATGTTCCTGATCCGAACACCAGATTTACAGTTCTAAGAGTCGCAACGGTTCTACCAGTTATACTGAATTTAATCACAGACGAACACTTGGTGTTACAGTTCAACACAAAGAGTGACAGTTAATGACATTTTTGCTAAATAATCAAGGGTTATGATTTAAAGGGTTGATTTATTAGTCCAAGGGTTATTAGTTATTAGTTTAAGGGTTGATTTATTAGTCCAAGGGTTATTAGTTATTAGTTTAAGGGTTGATTTATTAGTCCTGATGTCATATTGACGAAAAATGTCACAATAAAACCCAATGAAACTCCCAATAAGAAGGTTGTAAAAATGATTTATAAACCTGTAAACATGTTTGCATTTCTGCACTTCTGATACCATCATCTCAAAGTTACTGGGTTTTAAGACCAATGTTGTCAACAAGTTTAGTGATGTTAAACTCATGAAAACATTGTGTAGCTATTTTAATTTTTTTAGTCAGAACACAGATTTTCTTAATTAAAGAAACATTTAAGAATATTTTGCTTTTGTTAGTCTCAAAAATATTTTCAACAATAAGCCAAAATACAACTACAAAAAAGTCTTGACATAAACATGACGACAATACTCGAAACTTGATTCCTCATGAAATCAAATGTTTTCAGGAGGAGCCAAGTTTTTAATACACCAGCATATTTACCTTCAGCAAACCACTCAGTATCAGGTAGCCATTGATGTTTGCGGACAAATAGTGTACGATTTTTGAGCAACAGTCGAATAAGGGTTAGAAGTTTGTGCAAAGCTCAGCATGAAGTAAGAAGTTTAGAGAAATGCAATTGTGTACCACCCCAAATTCATATTCAAACAAGGGTTATTAACATTAGTACAGTAAAACAGTGAGTATAATACTGTACAGACTGACCAAACAGAAATGGATAAATAAAGCACAAATGTCATCGCAAACTGATTACAGTTTTTTAACCTGTTTGGCCAGTGTGTACAGGTCAATCAACATGGGTCTGTTCAACAGCACACAAGCTCACGGGACACTTAGATAAGTTATTTTGTGCACTAATAAGCAAATTTGCAAGAGCGTTCATGTGCTGTGAAAAGAGCTCAAAATGTCAGAGTAAAATTAGTAACCCACATACCAGCCGCTGGAAAAGGTCTGTGACTTTCACCTTGGTGGCCGCTGGAATCTCCATCTCAGCTTTCTTTTCCGTTTTAGCTAACAGAGCAAAAAGGAAAACAACGTTAATGCATGTCAAACTAAATTACATAACCGATGCTGATCTCAGCTTCTTTTCTGAGAATCTCAAACAGAACCAATTGCACTGTTCAAACTGAAATGCTTTGGTAAAACTCAATACAGATTACATTTTACATTTAAACTACAGTAAATTTAACCATTTTAAACTTAAACAACAAAAAAAACTACAGTAGAAATGCAGTTTATGCATTGAGCGTAACATCAATTTCTATTAATTCAATCATGTGGGAGATTAAGAGGAGTTTAAACATTTGTTTACATCAGGTAGTAAAATGTTTGACAAATGTCCTAGGACACACCCAGATGCATACATGTTTATAATACATTAGTGTTAATAAAAAGAGCCATGCATGCTATACTTTCCATTCCATGACTTGCAACTATACACATTTATATCCATGAGAATGCAACTGTTCCAAAGTCATCATAAAAACTGGAACATTATTGTATAAATGTGACCAACAAAAGGTGGTTTTTTCAATGCATGAACATACAGCTGAATTAAAAGAACTGCACATTTCAAACTTACAGTAATGCAGTAAAATTAAGCAAATATATATTTTACATTTTGGCTGTGTTGAATTATGATTTTTAAATACGACACAAGTCTAGTGTACATTACTTGACTGACCAATAAACATTTTAACTCTGATTCTGTTCTAATAAAACGGTGGTTCCAATAGTGTCCATCTCTGACTTACAGATAATATCTGGTGCAAGCATGTAGTCTGTGAACTCGTCTTCCTTGTCGTTTTGTTCGAACTTAGTGAGAGAGCGATTGAGGCTAGCACGCAGGATGTCACTCAGGATGTCCAGTTTTTGCAGGTGTCGACAGCGACAATGTGTGCGGATGGCCTCTTCGTGTCCCATGATGGAGCGCTGTAGATGAGCTTTACCTGAGTGTCACAGAGAGAAATTATTATTGTGCTACAGTGGATTATCCCATATTTACATCTGTCTAACAGGTCAAGATGCTGTGTTGAGTAAAGCTATTTTCTTTAAGTACTGTAGTACATTACAATCTTAAACCTACTTTAAAAAAGGGAAAATAACTAGTGCTGGGCAAAAATTGATCACAAGTAATCAAATCCAAAATACAAGTTGTTTTGACATGATTCAAGTGCGCGTATTGTGTGTATTTATTTAGTATATATATATATACACTCCCCAAGCCACTTTGTTTGGTACACCCGTCTAACTGCTCATTAACACAAATTTCTAATTACCCAATCACATGGCAGCAACTCAGTGCATTTACTGTAGGCATGTAGACCTGGTCGAGACTGCTTCAGTTCAAAATGAGCATCAGAATAGGGAAGAAAGGTGACTTTTAAGCAATTATTTTTTTCAATTCCAATTTTTTAAGAATGGTCTTAAAAAAGAAAATATCCAGTGAGCGGCAAGTCTGTGGACGCAAATGCCTTCTTGATGCCAAAGGTCAGAGAATGACCAGACTGGTTTAAGCTAATAGAAAAGTCAACAGTAACTCAAATAACCACTCGTTACAACCGAGGAATGCAGAAGAGCATCTCTGAATGCACAACATGTCCAACCTTCAGGCAAATGGGCTACAGTAGCAGAAGACCACACCGGGTGTCACTCCTGTCAGCTAAGAACAGGAAACCGAGGCTACAATTTGCACAGGCTCACCAAAATTGCACAATAGAAGATTGGAGAAACGTTGCCTGGTCTGATGAGTCTCGATACCTGCTGAGACATTCGGATGGTAGGGTCAGAATTTGGCATCAACAACATTAAAGCATGGATCCATCCTGCCTTCAGACTGGTGGTGGTGGTGTAATGGTGAGGGGAATATTTTCTTGGCACACTTTGGGCCCATTAGTACCAATTGAGCAGTCAACTCCACAGCCTACCTGAGTATTGTTGCTGTCCATGTCCATCCCTTTATGACCACAGCGTACCATTCTGATGGCTACTTCCAGCAGGATAACGCGCCATGTCATAAAGCGTGAATCATCTCAGTCTGGTTTCTTGAACATGACAATGAGTTCACTGTACTCAAATGGCCTTCACAGTCACCAGAGCTTAATCTAATAGAGCACATTTAGGATGTGGTGGAACGGGAGATTCTCATCATGGATGTGCAGCCAAAAGATCTGCAGCAACTCTATGAAGCATTAATGTAATCTCTAAGGAATATTTCAAGTACTTTAATGAATCTATGCTACGAAGGATTAAGGCAGTTCTGAAGACAAAAGGGGGTCAAACCCAGTACGAGTAAGGTGTACCTAATAAAGTGGCCGGTGAGTGTAAATAAACAGGCATGCATATGATTGAAAAATGATTTATATTTAGATATAAAATATATCTTTGTATGATACAAATTAAATATGAACTTAAATATCTATGTAAGAAAGTTGTTATGTATAGTGTTGTTACCATGCATCACATAATACATAATAAATATATATAATACACAAACATATACAACGTAAAACAAACTTTTATCTTAGATGCGATTGATCACGATTAATTTTTGCCCAGCACTACAAGTAACATATCACAGTAATGTGAAAGAATGTAAGTAAAACCTTGAAGACTGTAATATATATTACTTAAAAAAAATAACTTTACCCAACACTGTCTACACATAAGAGCCTCTCACCTATCCTCCGTCTCTCATCCTTGTTCTTCAGGATGTCAAGAGGAGAGCGTCCCTCTGGCATGGCATCATACAGCTGTGAGAGAGCCTTCTCTTGCTTGTCCTCATCATCACTGGGATTCACTACACATACAGTACATCTATATTTAAACACTGCATTGTTTTGTTCAATACAACAGGATCAATGCACTGTACATTCTTGTACATTATAATGCATCCCACCGAGGCCATGCTAAATGTTATGGCATTTACACGTCCCATTGTGTGCGTGTGTGTGTGTGTTCAGTCTGCTGTGTCCAAATGAGCTCATTATCAGACAAAACTGCTTGTCATGGAGATGTTAAAAACACAAGGAGGAGAGGAGGGTGGGGGGTGGCTGTTTGGATAACAACGAAAATGTTACATAATCCTATTTGTTCTGGCAGCGTCTATAAGCAGACTGTCAAAAGTAGACTGAGATACTGAACCGTCTCTGCCTTTCATCTGCCTCCCTATTATCGTCCTCAAAAAAAATAAGCTCCCTGGAATAAATTCCAGCAAATGGCTGATACCCAAATCCTTCTTTACTCTCCCAAGAAAAAAGAAACAGTTTCTATGAACGAGACACAAAGGTAACCTTTCATAGTTCAAGTGGGCTGTCAGCCAATGAGAGGTGGCCAAGAGCTGTGATTGGCTGCTTTACTTACACTGGTGGTCTAGCAGAGCGGTGGACACAAAGTAATGGGCCAAAGAGTTGTAGTGATTGATCTTGAGCTGGGACATGGTGGTCCAGAAAAAGGGCACGTTCTTCGTAATGGGGGTCTCGATCATGGACTGGTGCACTTGAGCGTATGTCTCTGCCACCTGGGAACAGAAAGGAGAGAAGGCTAAATGTTACGACTACTCAAGACAGAGGTGGAACTCTAGGCTGTAAAACAGACACACTTAAATCTTAAAACACAAATGTTTCCTCTTACCAATACAGAGAATAACAGTTAGAATAGTGAGAACATCAAATTAAAACAAAAAACGAGGTTCATTACATTATTTTTTTTGGTTTGGAAAAGTCTCTTATGCTCACCAAAGGTGAATAATTTTAATCAAGTGAAAAAATGCAGTGAAATACTATTTGAATGTTAATAAAACGGTTGAATTATCATTCAGAAACCATTAAAATATGTTGATTTGATGAAACATTAAATAATAACAATATGGAAACATTTGCGCTGCCTAATATTTTTAGCACTGGATTCTTTTGATCAACTAAAAGTTCAAAACCAATGCATTTATTTAAAATATGAATATTTAATCTCATTACAAATGTATTTGCACAATAAAATAACTGATTTCTTAAAAAAAAATACTGACATCTGTAATATAACTGGTAGTATAAGCAGAGTAATAAAAACTAAACCAATAGTACTGCTTAATATTTACAAAAGCACACCATTTTGCCATATAAAATCAATTTCTGTGTTTCAAATTTAAGACTTTTTAAGACCATGAAGAATGAAATTTCAGACTTGTATAGGGCTAAATGCTACAGATTTTTTTTTTAATGGCCCAGCAAAAAAAAAAATCTAATTAATTATTTTTAGCCACATATTTTAAATGTGTCAAAACAAGCAGATCTTAGTCGCATACATAAATTTTCATTCATTCATTTTCTTTTTGGCTTAGTCCAGTAGTTCGCAAACATTTTTCATCAAGTACCACCTCAGAAAAAAATTGTCTCTCCAAGTACCACCAAAATGAGCAGTATTGAAATACAATAGCGTAGTAGGCTCAGTAAAGCAGCTACAACTCTGCACAGTTACAAAAACGTGGCAGATTACCTCAGAAATATAGGCTTTATGTCATATATGGCATATTATATACATCATTTTTTATACATTTTTAAATGTGTGTAGCATGTACATGACATACATCAAACCTCCGCGTACCACTAGAAGGAAGCCTGCGTACCACTAGTCGTACACGTACCACAGTTTGAGAACCACTGGCTTCGTCCATTTATTAATCTGGGATCGTTACAGCGCAATGAACCACCAATTTTTATTCAACATAACATACAAAAAAATCTTTAAAAACTAATTGTTTGCACAACAGACTGTTATAATATTAGTTATGAATAGTTTTGCTAAAGGTTTTATTGAGATGTGTTGTTGGTGACTGGATGCGTGTTGGATTGATTGGGTAGCTTCACTAAAAAAAAGAACATTAAGACCTGTTTAAGACCTACAAGACAATATTTCAGTGAAATTAAGACTTTAAGTCCTAAAATTGTCTTTTTTAAATTTAAGACTTAAGACCCTGCAGATACCCTGTTAAATGTAAACAACGCAAACCTTTCTGCCAATTCATTTTAAGATTTAAATTATTAGATTACATTTACATAAATACACATTTACCTTAAATCTCAACCAATACACTGTAAAACTCAAGTCAACTTTATCAAATGAAATGAGTGTATTTAACTCCAAGTTTACTGAAAAGTAATCCTCCTCATTTGAAAAGAGTTTTGAACTCGGTGTTGAAGGTAATCAGTTAAATAAATATCTCATTACTTCAACTTAAATGGAGAAAGTTTAATGTACTCCTAAAGATTAGCATTTTAACTAAAATCAAACAGAATAAGTGGGCTTAACTTATTGGGTTTTATAGTACTCAGTTGGTTAGAGTTCTCTTCATTTATTGGGTTTTATTGTGCTCAAATTGCCTAATTTGCTCAAATAGAATAAGTTCACAGTACTCATTAGGATTAGTTTTTAAACTTGAATGATTTGTTGCAATCGGTTTTCTCAAATGGTTTGAGTAACCTTAACTTTTTGGGTTTTACAGTGTACCAATATCACCCTTGACCAATAAAATACAGTATAGAAACTTTTAACATTGATTTGATTAAGATATATCGTAAACCTAACTGTAATGTCCCGTTCTAGCCTTTTCTTCAAGCTGAAAACATTAAACAAGTACCTTGGCAGCTTCTTGGGCCATTTTGAGCAGGCAGAAGAACTCATTTCGGATTCCTGGCAGAGTGATCTGCTCAAACAGGCACTCCTGCGCTTGTGCTAGCATCAGCCGGAACAGCATACTCAGCATAGCAGGGCTCATATCATAGCTGGGGGTGTGTGTAAAGGTCTCCTTCAGTAAGTGCAGCACGCCTGCAGCAGAATGAGAACAAAATAAAAAAAAATAGGATAAAATTTAATATCAGAAGGAACAGGACAGGTCAAATGTGATGTGTAGCCTAGGAATACCAAGCATATAGACATAGATTTTCCAAGCACAGAGTTGCTCGAAGTTAATTTTTGTCAAATAATTATGCCAGTTACTGTAAACCTTAACATATTTTTTTTCTTTCCTTAACATGGCATTCCCCACACAATTTTGATATTTTGTTTAAGGACCCTAAAATAATTAAACTATTTGCACAAAAGCACACCACTTTAGGCCACTACTGTATCTCTAACTTTCCCTGTTATATTTGCTTCCAATGTATACATTAAGAAAAGTTGGTAACACCCTAAAATAATGCTCCATTAGATAATGTTTTCACTAACATGAATAACAATGCATTTATTACAGTATTTATTCATCTTGGTTAACATTAATTCATGAAAATAAAATTGTGCATTGTTAATTCATGTTAACACGTAGTGATTACTAATGCTAACAAGCACAACATTGGATTTTAATAATGCATTAGTAAATGATGATTAATAAATGCTGTACAAGATTGTTCATACTTTATATTAGTAAATACATTAAGTAACATTAAATATTGGACTTTTAAAAAGTGTTATGGAAATATTTAGATAAAAATGTCTTAACATTTTTTGGCTCAAGCAAAACAGCACAACCGTTTCCTCTATTTAATGCTTTTCATATGCATGTGAGTTTATAATTAATGACATCAGTATCTCAGGCTAATTTAATGGCAAAAACTGTTTAGAAAATACTACTCAGAAAAAAAGTATAGTAAAAACAGCAAATAAACAAACAATCTATAGGGAAATATGGCTTACAAGACACATGTCGCTCTTTGACCAAAATATGTGGCTCTCCAGCAGTCTCCCTTCAATAGTATTTTGCTATTATTATAATAATAATTATTATTATTATTATAACCGTCACTAGAAATCCAAAAATTTCCAATTGAAAATACAATTACAATTCACTTTTAATGCGTGTGTGTGTGGCGCAGTGAATAAACTTGAATTGCAACACCAATAAAGGGCATACTACCTACATTTCTATGGAAACCTCATGCACGTAACATCAAACAACATTCATGAGTGATGATGGCGAACAGAATAAAATTCTGTAAATTGTCCTTTCTTCATTCATGGACTTATATGTGTTTATTTTTGAGTTGTGCTTGACATAAATTAATATATATTCTAAAACTATGGCTCTTTAAAAAATGCATTTGCTAAAAAATCTTTGATGAAAAAAGGGTTGCAAACCCCTGCTCTGACACATTTTCTGGCAAAATCATACAGAATAACTCAAACAAAATAAACATTTTTGTAAGCACAGAGATCTTACAGATAAAAAAAGACTTGTGGGACAGTGTGTCGATCAATCTCTGTCATAATCACAACTATGAAAAAAGCGACAGAGATTATATTTGTCCCTTCTTTCCGGTGGACATTTACAAAACATTCTGTGATGAAAGGCTGCGGGGTTGGATGTTTTGATAGTTTAAGTAAGACAGCCAAAGCACTCTTTGTGCAGCTGTTATTTTAAGGCAGCTACAAAACCAACACAAGCCACCGAGTTCCCATGAGCTTGTGACAGATCTGCTGTCGAGGGGGAAGAATTACATCATGCTCACTCCACCCCGAAACACAACCAAAACCTGAAAATATGGCCTGATCTCATGAGGCAGGAGTCCATCCACGCTTGGTGACAATTTTAGTCACATTCCCACGCAGTGATGTGTCCCATTACTGATGTATCCCCTTACTGATAAATAACCTACTCAAAAGTTCTCACCTGCAGATTTTTGGAAGGCAGCGATGGCGTCCTCGAGTCCTGCTAGTGTCTGTCTGTCAGCACGAGTGCCAATCTGTGAGTAGAGCGCTGCCATGTTAAAGAGCATGCTGGCTTTCTCCAGGGAGATGTTATTCTGGCACACAGGCATGCCAGTGAAGGAGTCATACCTGTGTAGGAAGAAAAAAAATAACTGTGTTAAACATATTTTCACACAGATGATTCAAAGTCAATGATAATGTTTAATTTACCGTATGTATTATTAGGATTTAACTTAATAGGATAGTTCATCTAAAAATGAAAAATCTGCTATCTTTTTTCTTGACTTTTAACTTGTTCCAAACCGGTTTTAAGTTTCTTCCTTCTCTGAAGACAAAAGAAGACATTTTAAAGAATGCAGACAACTGTCACTCAACTGTCACTCACTGACTTCCACTTTGTTTTCTTTCTTAGTATGGATGTCAATGGTTGCCGGTTTTCTATATTCTTCAAAATATCTGCTTTTGTTCATTAATTTTCTTGTCGACTTAGTCCCTTTATTAATCCGGGTTCGCCACAGCGTAATGAACTGCCAACTTATCCAGCAAGTTTTTACGCAGCGGATGCCCTTCCAGCCGCAACCCATCTCTGGGAAACATCCACACACACACATTCACACACACTTATACACTACGGACAATTTAGCCAACCCAATTCACCTGTACTGCATGTCTTTGGACTGTATGGGAAACCGGAGCACCCGGAGGAAACCCAAACAAAGGCAGGGAGATAATGCAAACTCCACACAGAAACACCAACTGAGCCAAGGTTCTAACCAGCGACCCAGCGACCTTCTTGCTGTGTGGTGACAGCACTACCTACTGCGCCACTGCCTCAGCCTATCTGCTTTTGTGTTGTTCAGAAGAAAGTAACTCAACATGCGTTCAGAACCACATGAGGATGAGTAATCAATGAGTAATGTTTCCACATTTTTCATGCATAAGCTAATATTAACTAACAATGAGCAAACACAATTGTTTCAATATTCATTTAATCTTTGCTAACATTAATATGGACAAATACAGTTCAGTGTTAGCTCATGCTAACTCAAGTGCCTTAAATAACATCAACATTACTAATAGATAGTGAAATTAACATTTAGATGCTTTAGAAATATTTCCACTGTTAGCTCATGTTATGTAATGTTGTTATCTAATGTTAACGAATGGAAACTTATATAAAAAGTGTCATCGCATCATTAATAATTCAGCTTAATCTCTCCAGCTTCTTTATTATTCTTTTATTTATCTAGTCACCTCATTTTGTCTCTAGCGTATGAATGAAACAAAAAGTTATTGTATAAACATACAAACAACAAAGCCAGCTTGACAGCCCAGTTGGACCAGTTGTTTCCAGTTGGCATTTCCTCTAATGTGTTGTCATATTTACAGCTGATACAGAACAGCATAAATCCATTACAAACTTATTATTGCTGGTGTGGGCAAGATGCAACCTACCAGGTGAAAAAAATGCCAATCTGACGTGTAGGGGAGAAGAATCGAGTCTCCAGGAAGGAAAGTTGACTGAAGTAGTTGGCAATCAAGTCTACACCAGAATTGTTGCGACTGGGTGTCCGACAAGCCTGAAACACATTTACTAGCATTATTAAGACCCATTGGTTAGCGCAGAACAATTTTTTATCTAGCATAAATATATTCAATTATTTATTAATCAAAGAAGCATAGCTTTCAAAAACAATTTAGAGAATAGCTTAAAGTCTCAAAACTTTCTAACTTTAACTTAAAGAGATCACACAAAACTAAAAATTCTGTCAACATTTACTCACTCTTCACTAGTTCCAATCCTGTTTGACTTTCTTCTGGTAAACACAAAGGAAGGTATTTTGAAGAAAGCAGGAAACCTGTAACCATTGACTTCAATAGAATCTTTCTTAATATGGAAGTCAATGGTTACAAGTATTTTAGCTTGCCTTAAAATAACTTCTTTTGTGTTCAACAGAAGAAAGAAACTCAAAGGATTAGAACCACTTGAGTGTGAGTAAATTTTCATTTTCACTATCCCTTTAAATGTACTTTACATTTTTTAAATGAACAATTTTTTTATCTAGTATGAATATTCATGCCAACCAATATTGCCAACAAATCAGCCAACATGGCACATTACAAAAAAAATAAATAACACATTAAATAAATAATAAATATGACGTTAAAACCACCAGTAGATGGTGTAAAGTCTACTAGTGTCCCAAAAGACGCACCGTACACTATGTACTGTGTAACATGTCATTCAACATCAGACACTGAAGGCACCACCGTGAAATTAAAGCTTAAAGTCCAGAGGGATGATTATACCTGTCTTAGGTCCATGAGGTCATCGATCTGATTCTGGAAGTTTGAGCCATCTTCACTGTAGTGTTCCAGGATGAAGTCCTGTTCAAATAAATCATTTTTGTACCCATTAATTAATATGCCATACACAAGACGTCACATGATCCCGTATTTGCAGGCCTGTTCGCCTTGTTAAACTTGTCTCTAGAAAAACAGACTTGCAATGGCATACTGTCATAACTTCACCTGTAAAAGAGTATGTTATTACAGTTTGGCTAGAAAACAAAAATCCATCCGATTGATCTCCATCTCTCAACATTCATCTCAACGCCCATATATTTACGAGACAATAAGAGATATTCATCAAGGCTTATTAAAGTTTTATTGAGTCCCTGTTTATTATTCTGTGACCTACTTTCCATTTACACTCAGAAAAGCTTTGAAAGCAACCAGACTGCAGGCCTGATAACTGAGGTAAACAGAGGAGGTGCTGTGAAAGAAACCGACCTTGAGAGGAACAGAGAAATCCACATCTTTTGTCTCCTTCAGTCCCAGGGGAATGAGCGGGATGCTGGATGACTCTCTAAAATGAAGACATAGAGAGAGCAGAATTGACTTTAGAAAAGCCATCATGAGAATACATTCAATATTTCTATAAGAAACAGTAAGACTTCAAGGTTGACTTAGAAAAGCCAGTCCTCCTACTGTCTCTGTGACTCAAAAGTGAGTCATGCTTACATGTCCAACTGTATTTGACCCCTGTCATACATTACTAATACTACAACTATTCTCTGTAATCTTTAATTAGCTCTAAGACTGAATCAGCTGATAATGAAGTAAAGGACGCTTTACCCCTACAAGCCGGTTGACCTACTTGGGTTGTAGAAAAGTAATGACCTGTTGCCTGGGTCACAGGTGCATGAGCAAATCTGCAAACTTAGATTAGCACAATACAATGCAATTGTTTCAGTGGTGTCAATGCTTTTGCTATGGTGCTGCTGTTAGTAATGGGCCATGAGCTGAAAGCAGTCTGGGTGAAGACGGATGGGAGAACACATGAGTGTGAGCTGATGAGAGGCAGTCCTGGGCTGCCCTGATTGCGTCTAGATGACTGATAACAGTTGAGCCCCAGTGCGGTTCTGGGAAATGCTTGCAAGAAATATTGTGGAATCGGAGGAAATGACAAAGCAAATATGCCTGTAAATAAAATCCCGTAGGACATAAACAGGGAATTTAGATTTGTTAACATTGGTTATGTATTGTGTGCCATGCTTTATTTTTTTTATAAAGACAATAATGCTTTTATTAAGCAAGACTGCATTAAAATGATCCATAAAAAAGTGTCATGTTATAAAAGGATTCAAACGTTCTGTTGATCATTGAATCCTGAAAAATACTGTAGCTTTTTTGTTTAAAGTAATAAAACAAGTCATTTTAAATAATGACATTTCACAACATTACCATATTTGTTTTTCTTTCTTAATCAAAGAACTGTTGCTTTTAAAAACAATTTAGAAAATTGCTTAAACACTCAAAACTTTATAGCTTTGACAGTCATGTTCAACAACAGGTAAAGTTCACCCAAAAATGCAAATTCTGTCATCTTTTACTCACTCTTCACTTGTTTCAAACCAGTTTGACTTTCTTTCTTCTGTTGAGCTCAAAATAATGTATTTTGAAGAAAGCTGGAAACCTGTAAATCACTGACTTTCATAGACTCTATATTCATAGAGTCAAAAATATCCTACTAAACAAAAATATCCTACTATGAAAATTAATGGTTACCAGTGTTGGCGAAAGTTACTTTAGAAAGTATGCATTACAATATTGAGTCACTCCACAAAAAAATTACTAATTGCATAAATTAATTTCTTTTTATAGAAAGTAATGCGATACATTACTTTTGAGTTACTTTTCTGACCTGGCTGAGGCTTGATCTCTTTCAGAACTTGCAGGGTATTTTTCTTTTTATGAGCTCTGCATTTAATGCCACCCTGTATAACCCACACCTACATTTACCTTTAAAAAAATTTAATAAAAAAGTAGAATAATGTTACCTTCAGAGAACTTCCTGATACTATACATGCAGTGTATACAGATTAATGAAAGTTAAAAGCAATGTGTTTGCTACTTTTGTATTTTTGACTAAATTAGTTCCTTAAATCCCTTTCCATTGAGACTCTAATCCCTTTTTTACCATGTTTTCAAAATAATGAGAATACTTCCATCAAAGAAATGTAAAGCTCTATCTTTTTATTTTTTCTTTGTCTGTTCCTGCAGGGAGCTTATTTTCTCATTGTGTGCGATTCAACGCGATTACACTAATTTTAATAACTATTTTTAAAAGCATATTAAGTAATCCAAAAAGTAAGTCAAGTTACATTTTTAAAAATGTAACTCAAATACTATTACAATTTTTTTTAAGTAATGCGTTACTTGTTACTCAGAAAAGTAATACTATTACGTAACTCTCGTTACTTGTAATGCGTTACCCCCGATACTGATGGTTACAGGTTTTCAGCCTGCTTTAAAATAACTTTATTTTTTGTTTTACAGAAAAAAGAAACTCATAAAGGATTAGAATGACTTGAGTGAGTATGTTTTAATTTTTGGGTGAACCATCACTTTAAATGTACTTCACATGTTTTAATGAACTGGCACTAATTAACATTAAACATTAAAAAAACATTATTAGGGAGCAAGCATACGTTTATGAATAAGAAAGAAATTTACTGTTAATCATTATACAGTTTATTAAATAATGTTAAATTAAAGCACAGTCAAATTAAAGTACGACTAAATTAAACAAACTATGAACAAACAGAGAAAATAAAATTTTATTCATCTACAGTGGTCAGCATAATTTACAGCCCATTTTGAAAATGCATATTTGTATTAATTTCTCAGTGAATATAGGCAATGTATTTTAGTGCATTTAAACAAAACAGGTTTATTAAACAGATGTATTTAGAAAAATAATATTTTAGTCACCAAACATATTTAGAAATTGAAAAATAATACAATTAAAACATGATCAAAAAACGTGATCAAAACATTTCATCAAATTTGTTCTAAAACTATTAAACAACAACCATTCTTATGACAATTTTTTTTTCAATTGTTTAAATCAACTTCAAATGTTCACTACAGTAATACTATTCTCCTACTGGAAACAACATTAGATCATAACAACATGACTTCCATGTTGTGAGTCTAACACCAAAGCACTCATCACAACATTATGCTGTAGCATCCACCACGTTCTTCAGTGCAGTGTGTAATGAGAACTTCAAAGAATGCAAGCCAATCACAGAGCAGAGAACATCCACAGCAGCGAGACACTGAGAACAGAGGACAGGTTTTGTTTCTGTACGCTCTTCAGGCCATGAGAAAAGTTTGTTTCAAAACCAGACAGAGAGGAAAAGAGGGGGGTGCAGGCCAGGGGCATAAAAGAAATGAAAGAATGTGGTTCTGTCCTTACACACAGACACACACACACATATAAAAACAGTAAGCTGGCAACCAGGTGCAATGGAGAATAGTACATTGTGTGTAGCAACAGGAAGACCTTGTTCTGTTTAAATATCTGTGCATGAAACACATGTGATAACACTACGCCAATGGGCATGTGTCTGTTCTCACGTTATCACACTTAAGTGATAGCCATAGTTTGTTTAAGAGGACAAATAAAGAAGGTTTGTAGAAATCTGAAACAAGTAAATAAACATTTGCAGTGCTGAACAAAATCGAAACCAGAGGTCTCATTTATAAACGTTGCATTTGCACAAAACAGGGGTGGAAGTGTGTGTACAGTAGGGCTAAACAATATATCGATATCGCAATGTCCAAGGCTGCAATACTCTCATCACAGGGATTTGCAATGTAGTTGGGATTATGGCTGACCAGACATTACCGTTCACAACGTCACATCAGAATTTTACCTTTTAGCCTGTGACTGAATTGAGCTAATTTAAGCTATTTGGTCACAATAAACTTAACATTTGTAGCTTAAAGATTATTGTACATTATGTAATTATTTACTCAAAGTGATTCGGTGTTGTTATTATTATTACTATTATTATTACTATTTGTAGTAGTAGCAGTAGTAGTAACTGCGTTCACACCGAAAGCGGCGAGAGTGTCAAAGATCATTCTGGCCTCCCTGGCGACAAAGGTGTCTGCCTTCAAAATTCACTACATTGATCTCGTATATAAAGGAGCCATTGCAGCATATCATATCAGTTACATCCCCGCATAAAACATGCTTTCTAGAGTGAAGATGTTGCACACTTATTATCAAATTCATTTAACAAAGGAAGATCGAGTTGCATGTGGTGTGTTTGCTCCACTTAATTTTCCAATATGTGTCCATATGTCTGAAATATCCTGAAGCAACAATACTGTTTTGTATTGTCGCATGAGATTCCCACCTTTTAAAGCTAAAAAATATATTTAACATCAATGCACATCAGTAACTCGCCAGTAACTTTTTAATGTACGTTTCTGTAAGATAACATTGCATATAATTAGAAATCAGGCGACCGCAATAATCAAACACTTGGGACCACCTGTGTTCGAAACCAAAGTTTACAGTTACTGTGTTCTCTGGACTCCTCTCAATTGGTGGATTGATTGATTGATTCTCAATTGCTTGCTGCAGAACTGCTTGTCATTTTGTAATTAATTTTATGCAGATGGCCTTTTCTACCTACAGAATTATCTCAATTGATCTAAAATAATGAATTCCTAAGCTATTCAAGTCATTTGGTGAAATTGCATTTATATATAGCAGTAAAGTATAATTTTGCAATGTCAATTAAAAAAAATAAAAACTTGAAAGGAGAATGTACGCAGCTGTAAGTGAAATCTAAGCGAAACAACTTACCTTAAATTCTTAATTGATCCACTTTAAATCCTCATATATGAGCCATAATCACTAATAAATCAATGAATTTTTATTTTCCTGGTCTACATCCACTTTTAGGAAGGTTTCTATGCAAATTTTATAAATCAGACCCCAGAGCTTCTAGAGAAAAAGCAAGCCTTTCAAAGTCAGAGAACACAACCATAAAAACACAAACAAATACAGTACGAAGTCCAAAACTGACACGTCAACCGCTTTGCTATAACCTTTTATACCACTTCAGAATAAAAATACTGTAATAATAAGTAAGCAATAAAACTGGGATTAATAAAGGATCAAATTTGCGATATGGCAAAAATGCAATCTTGATAATTAACACTAACAATAAATATTTTGATATAAGTTGTTTATATAATGCTTCCAGCCTTGACCAAAGCCACTAAAATTAGAGGGTTCGTTGAGTAACATTTAAAAATATTATTAATTAACAAAAACAGATTACACATTACTCAGATTTTTACAGATTTCTGCTGTGTTATTAGATCAATATAGAGTACAAATGTCTATCGTTATCAACATCAAATTTATTGTGATTCGATATGATATTGTTTATCCGTCCAGCCATAGTTTCTTTATATACTGGAGAATACACTTTTATTCACTCCATAGAATTTCATTATATAAAAAAAATAAATAAATTTATACATAAAAATAAATATTTATAAAAAAAATTCTTTTTCTATCTATCTATCTATCTATCTATCTATTTATATATATAAAATACACACACACACACACACACACACACACACACACACATATATGTATATATATATATATATATATATATATATATATATATATATATATATATATATATATATATATATATATATATATATATATATATAAATATGAAGAAACAACAAAAAATTATAAACTAAAAATAATATAAACATAAAAATAGATAAATATAAAAAATCTAAAATGAATAAATAAAAATATGTGAACTATACATGAACAATGAATCAGAATTACAAATTTTGGATTAACTATACCTACTAACTATACCACACTTATACCTAAAAACCAAAAAATAAACAAAATGTCAGTCTCTCATGTTTACAGCTTTTAAGTAAGCTGTAATTGCGTATGTAGGTCAGGGGTTCAGAATCAGGTGCAGATGTCTGCAGGAGGTTTTTCTGGTTTACTACCAACCCTCCAGGCAAAGGGGATAAACACTCTTTCATTAGTGTTTGGCCCAGAGGAACAAACCAGAGGTGGTAGTAAGCCTCAACGTGTTATGAAGCAAATCCTGATGAAGAACTAGGCCAACACAGCTCAGTTAAGCAAGGGTTTGAGCTGAAAATATGGCTGAGCTTTTGCACAATGTTATTCACATCAGGACAGACAGTGAAGGATGCCAACAACACTCAAGCGTGTATACGTGAACACACACACACACATTCACCCTCACTGCGGTCTGAGAGGCAAACGAGGGCTTAGAGAGGATTTAAAGAGGACAAGAATCTAACCGTAACCAAGGAAACACTCTCAAGGCCTGCAAACTAAACACAACACATCCACAGCGTGACGATCACAAAAGCATGACTGCGGTCCCCTTTCAATCTTTTCATTTGAAAGGATCCCAAAAGGATCACTTAAACGTCCTTGAATAAAGATGACATGTTTTTCCTCCATCTTGCCTTCAGTCATAAGATATGTCTATTCCAAGCAATGACATTTTTCATGAAACAAAAAAAAAAATGCATACATATATATAAATGTAATGAATACCGTGATGATAATGTGATGACATACCATAGAAAATGCATCAAAAACTCAAATTAAAAAGCTAAAGGAAAACACATTCTCGCATTTTCTTTTGCCATGTGAATGAGGACACACGTTGCATGTGTGTGAAGGGAGGATGAGCCTGACAATTCACTAGAATCATCAACCTGTCAAACCACCCATTCAAAAACTTGTCTGACCAGTTTTGTATAGAGTTGCTTTCTATTGGGAATCCGATTAACCCAAGTTGATGTAGATGACTGACCAATCAACTGATAAACTGATGACCAATAAACTGATAAAAATTTTTTTTTTTTTTAAATCAACTGATAGGGGAATTTACAGGAAAGTTGAATCATTAGCTACGTTTCCATCCACCTAGTTTTATGCGCACTTTGGACATGCACATATTTTTTTTTTTTTTGGAAAAAAATTAATAAATAAATAAATCAATTGATGGAAACGCCAAGATGCGCATCAATTTTGGAAATGCACATAAAAAACATGTGCATAACGGATTAGGATAAAAGATGCACATAAACTGCAATGGAAACACTTTTACAGAACAAATTCCAGTATGCTCATTAAAAAAGATTTTGTTATAAGAGATCATGTGATGGCAAAAATGTGTGTGAATGGACAAACCAGCAGGCTGAGCACATTATAAAAAAATCTGAAATGTTGTTCAGGTCATTCTAAAATGCTTTAACCATCTCTCTATTATGTTATTATAATATTAATGACCTGCAGAATCAAACGCCACCACATATTCACTGTGTCAGGATTGTCTTCTAAGGTGCAAGTCATTTATATAATGAAGAAAAGATTCACGCAGCTTCTCTTATCACAACAAACTCAGTTTTTACTGTTGATATTTGGCGCCAGATAATCAGGAAGTGACGGTTTTGTTCACTTTGATTCATTGGATGGAAACGCTGCTTTATTTGCACATCTTTTATGTGATTATCCAGTTTTGCGTATAAATTTAATTTGCATTTTTGATGAAAACATAGCTAATGTCTATTGCTAATTGCTGGGATCTCACAAGACTGGTAGAGTGCTGGAAGGGACGCATTGTGGTCACTTTTTAAAAATTTGAATGTCATGCTAACATTCACACAGACACATTCCATTAAAAAATATAACAATAATGTGCACTGAAAATCATTTAAACTAAAGGCAACATTAAAGTCAATCTGGTTTTCATTTCTTATTTAAAAATATCAGTGCCGAGATTCATAACATGCACAATGATTGTCCACCCCAAGCTTAAGTCTAGCTCTGGAAGCATGCCACCACACATCCAAGAGAAAACATTTATACATTTTTATTATACATGTATTTGTATATAGAGAGAGTAAAGAAAAAGATTGCTATCATGTTATGCTATCAAAAAAGAAATAATTTTAAATTTATTAGATTACATTTAGATTTTGGAAGTTTTCATAAACATTATTTTTTCCTGTTGAAGGCTTTATGAGCAGGTACACTGCAAAAAAAAATGTTATTTACCAAGAGGTTTCATCTCATTTCTCGTCCAAATATCTACAAATTATTAAATCAAAAAGCATTTTCTAGACAAGTAAAAAAATTGGTCTTGTTTTGACAAATAATATGTCAAAATTGAGTGAGTTTTTCCTTAAAACAAGCAACATATTCTGCCAATCTGGAAAGAAAGATAATCTTGTCTTCTATTTAAAATAAGATTATTTTGCTTTACTCATTGGTAGATTATTTTGCTTGAATATATAGATATTTAAAAATCTAAGCAAAAAAAGAGCATTTTTTTGCAGTGTAGCAGGAGTTAACTGAAGCACTTCTTCGTGTAGGTGTGCATCATTTCAGAAAACATTTATCTTCTATTGCCAACAGTCCGTGGAATCACTCAGAAATTCCAAAAGACCTTTGCAGATTTCCGAGAAATTCAAACACCTGTAACAAAAATATGAACATCCCCTGGGCATTCTGTGTTTGACATATTTTGGCACATGCAATCACTCCTTCAGCTATTAGTAACCATATGGTTCTCTCAATTTCACACTAACCAACTATATTTAAAATCATTCCAGATAATTTCCTCCTAGTACAGTACGGATGAGATAATGCAGGGCATGGAGTTCTTAATCATTCTGTACACACCCCTCGCATTACTGTAACTCATCAGGGAGGCTCTGTATGTCCAGATGAACTGTGTGTGAGCAGTAACTGGGCATTCTGTCTCTGCGGATCTTTCTGTGACCTGAACTTGTTCTCACTGTATCTTACTTCATCAATCAGTGCTACAGTTAGTGTGTGTGCGCGTGTACTTACTGTACGTTCTGATAAACTTCCACAGAGCTGTTGAGTCCCTCCAGCTGTTCCATAAGAAGCTGTAAATCTGAGTTGACATAACTCAACTCCAGCACCACCTGCTCCCGAACTTTATTATTGGAAGTCGCCCTTGAGAGAAAGAGAAAGAAAAAAAGATAAGCGAAGATCATACCAAACTGAATCCATAACAGGACAAGTGGCACAATTTCATAATGTCTCTGGTTTAAAATTAATAATACATATATACAAAAAATGTCAAATCTGCTTGTATTACATTACATTACATTAACATTAAAGGGGAGATATTTTATAATTTTTACAAGATGTAAGCCTTTGATGTTTCCAGCATCTGTCTGTAAAGTTGCAAAACACCCATCAGATCATTTACTATAGCCTCAGAGTCTGCCCATTTTGTGTAGCTGTTTTTGTAGCCTGTGGCTTTAAATGCAAATGAGCTGCTTCTCCCCGCCCATCGCTCCCATGTGCATGTCTGCTTCTCTTGCATTACAGCAGATAAACAGCAGTCGGTGATAGAGACAAGGCACCTTTCCACTACACATGACAAACGACAGTAATTTATTTCCAATGGAGAGTAGTCCGGGATTTTAGATAGAGTAAAATCGCTATCTAACGCTATTACAAACATGCTCAGTTTTAAAACATTTTAAACTTAACATTTTTAAAAATCACTGGGATTTGGATTCTATTTTAACTTCAGGAAGTTTAAAAAAAAGACACTTGTTGGGTTTCTATCACTTCAGTATGACTGTGGACACACTATACCTACACACAGTTGTGTCCAAACAGCTTACAAAAGTTGATTATCATCATAGGTGCCCTTTAAGACTGGACCCTGTGCTGTTTTTTGTGCTTCCAGGACACATGGTAAAAATCAGTAAAAAGTGTGCAGTAAACCACGACACACACGCACACGTATACACACACAAAGTAAGGCTGTAGAACGCACTAAAACAAGACATTACATGAAGGGAGATGTATTTAAATAGCTTCTCAATTTCCTACATTAATTCTATTCAAAACTCTTTTTAGTGAAGCAAAAGCAAATTGAGCAAGTCAGTTTGGATCTGTTATCTGCCCGGACAATCAATCATTGTTTCTATTCAGATCACAAGCTTTGTAGTTCTTACAGACTCCTGGGAAAGATCACGAACTGTCCTGGAATACTATATAATAATAATGATAATGATGATGATTATTAGAACACATCACCCCTTATCTAGCTCATGGCAAAGTGAACTGCCCAATTCAGCATGCAAAATTGGCATTGGCCGTTGGTGAAAGAAAGAGCTCTGATTGGCTGTTTTGCTACAAATCAAAGTGTGAGAACAAAACTGAAGAAACAAAACTAAGCAAACAATGCAAATCAAGAGGCAACTCAAAGCAGTCAGCTGTCACCTCATCTCAAATATTTTCAAGCCATTTGGATTATCAGATAATCAGATATATTTGCATGAGACTCTCTCTATATGGTGTTCTACAAAGTACTGTGAAAATAATATGTAAATACTGCTTTGTTTTTACGGTTTATATTTGTGCAACTAGTTCTTATTTACTCTATGGAAAGATACATCCTCTCATACAGGAGCAGAAAGTACATTATCATTAATTTGATTGTAATGCAATAATCTGCACCTTTTGTAAAGCTGCTTTAAAACAGTAAATATTGTAAAAAGCACTATACAAATAAACTTGTGTTGAATCATTTCAGTTGGCTGTTGTCTGTTTGGTGTGTTCCCGTGCAGCTTTTTGGTTCAGACAGGACCCGACAAAGCTGACATGAGGCAACAGCACAGTAGGTTTTTAACTTCCGCTAGTTCTTTGACCTTAGCATGTTGTGTTCCTAGGCTTATAAAAGCAATACCAATGGGTTAAAATTTAAAATAAAACTCAAGTAAAAAAAGAAACAAAAATACACAAAAATCCATATAAATAATGATGCATGACGATGATGATGATGATATACTTTTGTGTTACATGTGAAAACATGAGTTCTTATCTTAGTTTGTCCCCAAGGCTTATCTTAATTCAATTCAGAATGTTCTTTAACATTACGGTAATAAACATAACTTGAATGAGTCATGTTCATCTTTGCTGAATACCTAACACATCTCTCACCGATGTGACGTGTGAAACTGCATGTACAGATACACCTGAATGGGAGCTGACCTAAACCTCTGCTATTCACATGTTTCTCAACCACATTCCTTGAGGATGACCAGCTCTGCACGTTTTCCAAGGCTCTAGAAAGAAAAGGTCTATTACTTGAATATGTACAACATTTGAATTTACTACACAACCATTAGAAAAGCATGTTCTATATCAGTGGTTCCCAAAATGGGGGTCGCCAGACAATAAGAATTGGGGGTGTTGTGTCGCTTGGTGAATTAAAAAAATTAGATAAAAATTGTATTCAATAGTTGCATAAAAAAAAAAAAAAAAAAAAACATACAAATAAATGTATTTTATTTGCCTTTTAATTTTTTCCCCACTGGATTGCGACCCTTTGGGATATTCTTAAACAACACAACAATAGAATTAGTTGCAGCCGATTGATTTTACGGCACAATGTTCAACTTTGCAGCACTCATGTACATTAAAAACAAACTCCACGACTGAACATAGAGGGCAATCCCTAAATGGAGGTCTCCAAAATTCAACAAAGAATAGTCTTGTGCTGTAAACAATGTGCCCACCTGCCTCAATAAGTGAGGTTAATATTAAATTGGATAAATAATGTCTATAAAATTGATATGGTCATTAGACTGTAACATTTATTTGTGTTGTCAATATGCTTGTGTTTATATAGTTCTTATTGGTGTGTGTGTGTGTGTGCAAAACTTTTAAGTTTAGAACCACCTCGAAGGATAGTGGGGGTCACAATTGGAATTGTTTTATTTGGGGTCATGAGCTGAAAAGTTTGGGAACCCCTGTTCTATATTGCATGAACACGAGTAGTATGAATGGAATTCGGACATACTACATTTGATATTTATAATAAACATGTGACCTAGCCACATCAATTGCGTCTCTGCTGATCTCTCAGTTAACGAGCTGGTGATCGAAATCAGGTGTGTTAAGTAAAGACACAAAAAATGTGCAGGGCAGGGGGTTCGGATTCAGATCATCAGCTCATAAGCAGAGACTGAAATACCTGTATAGGCTGTGACAAAGGAGACATTCAAAACATGCAGTGTTGGTGGTCCTTCAGGAGCGTGGTTGAGAAACACTGTTCCATTATAATGCAGTGGTTCAGTTTCAACAGCAGAAGAGGTCAAAAATTATCTCATAAGTGTTCTTAAAATGTACACTGCATTATTCTGTAAACAAACTCAAGAGTCACGTTGGCAGGGTGGGACCCCACAACATTAGCACTCGATGAAACCGGTCCAGTGAGCTCACTCAAGCAAACACACAAGAATGTGGACAACACTTGCTTAGATCAGAGAGAGAGAGAGAGAGAGAGAGAGGGAGAGGGAGAGAGACAGAGAAAGAGATTAAAAAATGTCATGTTTGTACAGTATATTTATTGTTGACTGATTTGGCAATACTGCACTATTTTACAGTCAAGCCAATAAAACACTTTTGAATTTAATTGAAAGAAAAAGAGAGAGAGACATTATGGCAAGCATGTGGGGAGGCAACAAGGTTAGTAAAAGCAGACGATTTCTTACAATCAATCTATTATACTGCTTTCCTTTCTCTTTTGAACCACAAGCATCTGAGAGCCATGAATGAGGGAACATTCCAGATGGGCTCTGAAGATAGAGCAGCTATGAATGGAAGGTAAAGAGACCAGAGAGCAAGCTTACAAACCCCCACCCATCACAATTTTAATGAGCTCAGGTAACGTAAAACACGCAGACATCCGGCTGTAATGAAGACCGAACTGACTCATGTATATCATTACAATACATACCAGGCCTTCTTCAGATCTGACTCACACATTAAACACAGAAGCACACAGAGTGTTCGCTAAGTATCGACAGAGAGATCCTCAGGCGTGTTTACGTGCATGTGTGAGAGACGCAATACCATCACCTCTCAAAATGCCTAATTTTAAATTTGTTTGCTGACGTGTGTTGATGCCTGCATGGACGTGTTAAACAGGCTGGTAAATAGAAGACCTCTAGGTCATTAGCACTCGCATAACAGCACTGCAATGACCTCACTAGTGTCCCTGTCATAGGATTTAATTGTTTATTTGTTCATTTCATCAGATGCATAAACAGTCATTTGTGATTACAATAATGCGTAATAATAAATTAAATCAGTAATACATTGTTATGGCAAGTAAGTGTTTTTATATTTGGCAACAGCACTCTTCACATTTGGTGCTTTATTTGTATATGAAAAACTGTTACCCACGTCACTTGGCAATTCTTACAATTGCTGATAACATGATATGGTTCAGAGTGATTATCAAGACTGCATTGTAATTATATACACATGTAATTTGATGCGCAGCACAGTGAACAGCTCATGATAACAGTGTTTTCAGTGTCTTGGAGAGGTCGGTTTGCGGTAAATGCTGCTCTAAATTAACCATCTCTGCAGATGTTTGGAGTCTGAGTCAGTTAAATTGCACATGTGAAAACATCTTCCAGGCTTATGAGAAAGCATTCTGTTGTAAATAAATATATAAGTTTTTTGAAGTAACCAGATAACCAAAATTAAAGTTAAGTAAAAGTAAAATATTTATTATTATTTTTATTTATACATTCGTTTAGAAACTGACTGAAATATTAATTAAGAGCATAATTAGATGAGATTTCTCTATTTGAGCACATTATTTTTATTCAATTAATACACGTGTGTCAGAGCCAGTGGTTAAGTGTGCCGACATATAGCACTATGGTGCTAGGCTTTTGTTTTTTTAAAGCTGTATTTTTGCATTACTTTTTTACTTAAGCCTACTTTCACTTGGCTTTGCACACAGTCACAAGAGTGACTGAAACATTCAATAACTCATTCTTGAATCTAAACGACTTAGAAAAACTTTACTATATACTCGGAAAGGGTGAAATAACTTGTCTAAACTGGCTGCAAAATATATGTACACCATTAGTCATGGTTAATCAATCCATTTGCATTTTAATAATTTACACATTTTAATCTCGTAATTATTATAATTTTTGTTTGTCATTTGATGTCATTAGGCTATATTACATAGGCTATTTTATATCTGAAATGCTTTGGTATTCAAAGTTTGCAATGAACTTGAAAGACAGACAAGCAGATTTTACCTGTCAGTGGGTGCACATGGCACCTGAATAGCTTACATGTAAAATAAATAGTGGATTTCTTTATTTCAACTTTATTTCTTTTTTTACGTTAACCCATTGAAAAGAAAGTGTATAACAGTGGCAAAATATTAAAATTGTAAAAAATTTATTAATGTTTTGTTTGTCGCAAATAGTTGACTATGTATGGGATGTAGGTAAATGGTGTTTCAATCCCCCTAGGACTACAAGTATATTTTAAACCTGTGGGAAGCCCTGCATACATGCATACATACATGCATACATGCATACATGCATACATATCAGGGCTGCTCTGTACAATAGAAAGTGATACTTGTTAACTTAGAAAGTGTTAGTTTTAGGGTCTGTTACTGGGTGCTTCTCAATTCTTATTTGCTCATCTTTGTTTTTTCTCTTTGCTTCCTGTCCTCACAGTTTGGCTACACCCCTTCAGGATTCCAAGGAAGGATGCAAAGATAATAGAATTGAGTGAAGTGAAATAATATATCCTTTCTTCCTTTAGCATCACTTCAAAGCATCTTCATTTAATGAATCCTGTACATCACTGAATTTGCTTGCACTTTCAAATTCTAGAATATTACAGATAATTAATTACACTGTAATAGTTTTAACCATCAAAAAACACCACGCTTGTCTGTATTTTTTTTTTACTTAATGAATTATTCTGATAGTGACTGCTTTTTATTTGTGCTAAAAAGTACATTACAGAAAGAACCTGTGAAAACAAACGACATTAACAAAGTTATCTTTAATACATTAACGTGTGTTTGATTTTTCAACTGTAATTAGTGAGTACTGGCGCAGTGAACGAGGAGGAAAATTTACATACACGTCACGTTTAGTCAGAAAAAACTTCCGCAAAGGATCTACCCGTGTATCCTCTCTCATGCCTGAATGGCAGCCAATGACCAATACCTTAAATTCAACAAACATGGATTATAGCACTAACATATTAACAACACATAGTGAGCAAAACAAAGGAGCCTCACTTAGGGTATCTTATTTAAAAGAGCATGTCCAAACATCATTGTTCTATTGAGATTTAAAGCCACTTTGACGTCACAGTGCCAATCAAATGCTTTGCTCCAAGGACCAACCCAGCAGGTGTGCCCTTCAAACCATGGAGACGACAGACACACTTAACGTCCCTATGGCAAACAGCTTGCCCAATGTTACAGCGTGTGCTCATCGCAAAGGGAAAAACACGAAGCTTTTGAGAGAGCTAACGTAATGTAAAAGCTGCGGTTTTCACAAAAAAACGCAAAAAGAAGTTTGGCAAACTTCACAACCACCTGCCCTTCCTGAATGCCTGCAGAGGTATGAATGTGGGTGTTTGCTGATAAGATGTCAGTCTCTCATCGGCTCAGGTTTCATTTACATAAATGGTTCCCTGAAACAAAAACTGATAGAAATCTATCAGTCTGGTAGTGCTGGTCAGTTAGAAATCAGGCAAATTATGTCCTTTCATCCAATGTACAGTAAGAGCTTCCCTGTCCTGTAAAATGATTTCTTGACAGCACCGTAGTTTTGAGCAATGACAGTTAATTCAGTCTATCACAGGAATACATTTTTTAATTAATTATAAAAAAGGAATACTATTTTCATTTTTAATTAAATAATATTTTTAAAAATTACCATTACATTAAAAGCAGACTGCCAGCCGCCTTTAAGAACAAAAGAGACTTTTTTTCTAAATGTTCATAACATGCTCAAAATAATTGTTATACAGATCCTCGCACACAAAGACAATTATGATATTTTTTAACAATTTTGTAATTAACTTAGTATCTTCAACTGCAATGGCTTAAAAAAAAAAATGTATTATATAATACATTTTTATAAAAGGGCAATCTATTTTTTTCTCCCTCTCAGTTTCAGCCATGAAAAGCAATCTCTATTCAAAACATATTGACATAGTTACAAACTGAAACAATAGAAAACATATTATGCAATTATAAACATGCTAGACAATAATTAAAATGGATATCATTTGAAGATCATGACCTTTCATCAAAGTTGAACTAGGAATATTTTGAAAACATTTATGATTTTTGAATGTTGACTACTGTGTTAGGCATGGGTCAATAACCGTTTAAGGTATACTGTGGTTTAGAAAAGTAAAGGTTTTAAAACCGCCAAAATGTTCTGTAATATCGTTCCTAAGGTATGTGGAAGATTTTTATTTACGTTTTTTAGGACAATAGTATCTCCAGCAGAAAAGATATACAAAGATACTGTTTTAAATTGTGAAGAAATCTGCTGTGTTTTCTAAACTAATGAAGACAGCAGAAGTCAACAATTCATTTGAATTAATTAGTCTGAGGTGGTTACTGTTCCAAAATATTTTAAATGTTTCTCAAATAAAATACACTGTGTTCAAAAGGGAGAGAAGTTGTTGATTTTTACCCAGAAATTAGAGTAATCACAATACCCAGAAACTGTGATATTTTTATCTAAGGTTATCATACCATCAGAATTTTAAACTGGTCCATGCCTATACTGTGTATTAGGGCTGCTCAATATATCATGTCAGCATCATTATTAAAATGTGCACATTCACAATAGTCACATCGCAAGATATACAATGTTAAGTCTGAACTACAGTTGACTAGGAGCTACAGAATTGTATTTAATTACTGTATTTACACAGAATCTATATGATTTATACAAAAAAGGTTCTCACTTAGAATTAGCCCACTAGCTGTTTTATGAAAAAAACTCTTAATTTTGACCCATTTCTTCAAAAGTTAAAAACAAAAAAATATTGTTACTTGATCTAGGTATTGTTATATATTAGAAACGAGACAAAAAGTAAAAAAAAACATGATTATTCAATTTCTGTACCTGAATACTGTTAGACCCCCCATAAAGCGTCTTGTGAACCGTTGAAAGTGCATTCAAATTGCAATATTTGAAAATCGCAGAAAAAAAATATTGCAATATCAGATTTTTTAAATATTGTACAGCCCTACTGTGTATAGAGGAGTACTCCAAAGACATGACATGAAAAATATTTGCATGTTACTTTGCATGTTTTTCAGTCAGACAGTTATTTCCTCTCTTGTCTGGATCACCTATAGTTATGCATGAATGACTAGCTGTTAATATTCAAAGTGGTGTGGGCGATACATGGTTGACAGCTGGCTGCTAGAGAACAAAAAAAAAAAAAACATACTACTTTTTTTTTTTAAAAGTACATACTAATAGATCTAAAAAAATACCTAAACAAAGCTCATTTAAATTTCAGTTGAAGATTTCATGTTTCAGCCTCTAGATGCTGATAAATCTAAATGTAACATTTAGCATCTCCAGTCTCTTTAGTCATCAGCTTTAACAAAGACACAATGTTACTGTGTCTATCATCAACTCTAAAGCTAAAGGTAAGAATGCAAAAGGCACGCCTGACTGAAGTGCACAAGCTTCAAACCCTGGTTTCTCCACATGTTCACACACAAACAGAGAAATTCTTTGGTGACAGGTTAGCAGAAAGCTTCTGACTGAAACATCACCACACAAAGAGCAAAACATTCCTCCAAAACAAGGCAGTGATTTACCCTACAGAGAAAGGAGTCCGGCTCTACGGTCCAGTGCCAGACAGATGCTGTTGTGTAACCAAAACCAAAAAAATGGAGAAAAAAAGAGCCTGGTCACTTCTTTAAATTTTTGTTTAAAAACATCTAACTCTGGGAATGATTTCCTACATGTTTGCATGTCACACAGGCCAGCACGTGAGGTGAGGATGATGAATGAGCGCTTGACTTTGTTTGTGTCCACAAATAAGGGTGCTTGACTTACTTAAGAAGGTTCTCAGCTCCAGCTCTCATCCGCATCTGCTTGATGATTTTCTGGTTCAGGACTGCTCTCTTATTCTGCAGCTTACTGCGGCCAGTCTGAGCAAATGGATTACATCCCTGTCAGAGAAGAAGATGAAAAGAAAGAGATTAACAACAGGTTTTTACAGGCCAGGGCTTCAAACTAATGTGAATTTACAGCCAGTTTCTTATACATATGCTGTGAATATTTTGACTGCCTTATAAACCACAACGGCATACATTACAATGTGCCTATAATGATAAAAACACAAGCACATGCCAGACAACACATACACTTTGTTATGTTATTAAGGTGTGGCACGAGTACATGACGTAACAAGATCAATTTCCCACCCAGACACGCCTATACAGAGAGTTTCTGTCATAAATCTGATTGCTCAGGGAGTAGGTTTGATTTATAGTAGACTGGTATCAATCTGAAATTATTAAAATACCAAAGCTCTTATTCTCTTATTCATTTACAAAAGTATGTCTATTACTTGAGCCAAAATAAATAAATAAATAAATAAAAACGCAAAATCTTTGAAGGGATTTATTTATTTTATTTTAGTCCAGTCTACCTAAAGACCAGATTAACTAATAATTTCAAATTAATACATAAAAGTTAAGGCAGGGTGATTAATCAAAAAGTAATCAATATCGACATTCAGAACCTATACTCGATCTAATTATACTAGGTCTATTTTTTTTTTATTACTTTCCCTACTGCATGTGGAGTCACTTGACCCCACTCTGATGGCCATACTTTGCAGCCACATCTGATCATCGGTCAAGTAGGATGATGGACTCATTCTTGAGCTTTACATTGCACTTCATTGATGATGATTGGAAGCTGCGCCAGAGATGCCTTGAGATGGCATATTTTCCATTACATTAAAATAACTATTTACATTAAATATTTGTTTACAGAAGATGCAAGAAATGTATTGCTTAAATATTATTTACAGGATATATAAGAGTTTTTTTTTTATTTAGAAGAGATAATGCTTATTTTCTACTTTTAATATAAAAACACTGAAAATAATTTATTTCTTGCTTCCAAAAGTGCAAGTTATTTATTTGAATTTGACTGTTGGCTTTAGGGAATGTGTGTTTTCATTTTAGTTGTTGAACGTTGATGTTCAGTAAATAATTATAGATGGTACATTTATAGATGTTTGTTTCATTTGATTATTTAATGTCAAGTAATGCACCCTTCATTCAGAAATCTCTCACTTGTAATATGCGAGCATATTTACTGTACAAAACTTATCAGTGAGCTATGAGGGCAAATAAATCAATCAATCGTTCATTAATCAAATTCAAGTTAAAATGTACAATTAATCAAAATTAATTATAGGCCATAACACCCTGCTTTAATATAAGTATAGTTGGGAGTGGAAAACAGACACATTTTTATAGTGTCATTGGAGAAACAGCTCTTGTGTGCAAATAAACAGCTTTTATTTTAGGAATCGAAAGCAAGCCCAATTTATTATTAAACATATCTGCCTTAAAATGTGTGTTTTGTATGCATCTATTCTAGAGTTATTACTGGAAAATGTGGTTTTATTAGAGAAATCATAGACAGCAGGCGACATTCAACATACTTCATTTCTGTGGACTCAACAACAAACAGTGCACGTTGCACAACTATGACAAAACAGAAGGTCACTGGGAGTCAAAACTGTAGTGCAATTGGTTATGGAAAAGACTCAACCATAATCAAAGTTACCTGTTATACGCTTTCTAAAATAAAAAAGCTGAAGCAGAAGCCTCTATCCTAAATAAACAGCACAAATACCAGTGAACTGACTACAGAAAAGCTAAGTAAATCTCATTCACTGCAAAGATCTCCAGTCTTCTCCTATACAGCATCTGAAATGCAAAGTTCTACAAATGTAAGAAGATCAGCTGCACAAATAGCTAAGTCTACGCCTTTTCATTGCTAATTACTCATGCTCAAAACTTGAATGAGAATGCAAATTAAAGATTACAACAACTTGAAACAAAAATGATTGCAATGATTATGATCAAGATTAATGATCTAATTAGTGATCTGCAATGTTTAAATGCTTTATTCATCAGAGTCAAAGGAAACAGCTCTGATGGAAGACAGATAGCGAAGTTTCAGATGACACACGGCTCATATCTCGTTCTCTTGAATTACCAGAACCCCACACAACACACGTGAGACACCGATATGTGCAGTGACGAGTGTCTCCTGTATTGACATGACAACTTACTGGCCCATATGGTTTTATTCCCATAACACAGTTTGATTCATATTTACATGAAATCATCTCAATTATATCATTTAGTTGTCTTTTTTGACCAGTCTGACTGTTAATTTAGCAACCCGAAAAAGGTGAAAATCATAGTCCGCTACTGTGTAAACAGAAGCTGTCCCAATACATGGACAGTAGATGTCAACAGGACCCAATGTGACCTTTGCACATTCTAGAGCGCTGACCAGGGCAATGTTTAGCAGAGCAGAACCAAAGAGATGCCAGTGCAACTGCACAGTCACAAACACATAGCAATTACTCCAACTAACAGCACAGACAGAGCAGAAACAAGGTCCTAATCAAACCAGGGCACGAACCAGAGCAAAAACAGGGCCTCAAGTGAATTATCTGAGAGTATTCAACTGTAATATATGGCAAGCATATTTGAGCACAAATATGAAACTTCATTAACAAATGCTTCTTTCTATTTTTAGCCCTTTTTTGTTCTCTAAATGCCAAAATGATTAACCATTCTGTCTCTGCGTTGTGGTAATGACAACATTAAGCACCAATTAATGAGTTATGCAACAGAGAATGAATATCATTAGGATGAATGATACATTTCCTTCTCACTAATAAGTAGTTAGTTGCAATATGATCACTCTGTGAGTCTGTGAGATATTCAGGAGCCATGTTATACTAATCCTACAGCTCTGAACAACTTCTCCATAGGAGCATCTGTGTTTCATTAACGTTTGTGGTTTGGCAATGCACTGTCACTGGGCAAACGTAACATTAATAGGAGGAAAACTGGAAAAACATGCCGAATCTGCAATTCCATTTCTCTAAGCCCCGCAGCCCAAGCAGGATCAGCTCGGGCGGAACTGGACCAAAACCACATCTCCACTCTGAACCACCCCCACCTGGGAACAGGCCTGAAACCTTTCTAGTGCGACCACACTTCTTTTCAGAGAATTAACGTAACAAATGAAAATGAGACACAGGAAATGTACTAAACAAGCGCAACCACTTACAGCAGCAAAATGCCTTTCCACTAAAATCCAGCCATCCATGCAATACCATATCCATATTAACTCTGAGAAACAGAGTGATTCTTTCTTCCCTTCGACATTGTTTCATCTGAAAGGGCCTGGAGAAAAAAGTTCTGAGAAGCTGAATGATCCAGTTTGACATCAAATACTTTAACGTCAATAAGAAGACCTAATCAACAAAGCCCAAAAAATACTCTTGACAGAAAAAAGGGTGAGCTCAGGCAAGACAATGAACCTCTTCATCTGCCTTTCACAAAAAACAGATACAACTCAAGAGGATTAAAGATCTAGGATAAATGAAAGACTAAGAATGGGTCACTCTTCCAAGATCTGTGAACACATATGCACATACTTCAATCAGTTTCAGTTATGTAAACTCCAAAACAGAGCTATAAGAATAAAAGTGTTTACTAACAAGCCAATTTAACCATGATGACCATTCAATTTAAAATAAATCGGGAATCAAAATATGACAAATACCAGACCAAATACCTATTTTCAAGGTATATCATGGTTTGGAAAAGTAAAGGTTTTAAAGCCGCCAAAGTTTCTGCTATACCATTCCTAAGGTATGTGTATGATTTTTTTTTATCTACATTTTATTAGGAGTCTTTTAAGTCATCTCCAGCAGAAAAGATATCCAAATATGCTGTTGTAAAAAGCAAAGATCAGTGTTTTTAAACTAATGAAGACAGCAGAAGTCAACGATTGATTTGAATTATTAAGTTTGACATGTTTATTGCTCCAAAATACTTTAAATGTTTCTCAAAATATAATACATTGTTTAAATTGGGAAAAATGTATTGTTTTCACACAGACATTTAAAAAGAAAATATTTTATAGTAGTATTCACAATACCGTGACATTTTTATCCAAGGTTATCATACCGCCAGAATGCTATACTGGCCATGTCTCGACACAACTGAAGGTACAGCAGGTACAAAATTCCTCACCAATACTTTTACCAAAATACAACAAAAAAATTATGTTTTCAAAAATGTTATTTATGACAGTGGCTAGCACAAGTAGCGTAAAAATAAATAATAAATCACAATGATTCAGAGTACCTACATTTACACATATACATGTCAATTATTTTTATGAGGCATTTAACTGTAAATGCTAAGCAATAGTTTTCTTTTAAATCTAAAATAACCATTTAAGAGTTAATAATTTTACTATACAAAACCTTCTGGGGGCTTTTCTGACAGAAATCATGACTGTAAAACTGGTTTTGTAAAGGACGTTGATATAAAAACTGTAAATATCAAGAAAGCATTAAGTTCAAAAAGGTCTATAAAATGGAGAAAGCAGTGGAATATATAAAACACTCAAAAGAGAAAGCCTACAGGATAGTGTACAGAGTCTAAACTGTCTCGATTGGCATTGTTTGTGGGCATCAGAGCTCGCCAGCGTCCACATGCCCCGCAGATGTGTCTAACACCAGCAGATCCTGTTACAAACATCCCATGAAGGATACAAAGGAGGCACAATACCTCGTCCTCCACTTGTCTAAATTTTAGGTTTGAAAACTCGTGAAACAACATGACAATGAGTTTTGTTTTATCTTCTTTGTATCGACAGTCTCAAAACTACAGTGACGGTAACATCTATCAAACTAACAAACTCTTGAATAACTTCAAATAAGCTCCCGAGTCATCGAAAACACAAACTCCGAAACGAGTCCCTCTTACTGTACCTTTTTGAAGTAGCCGTTTTCCACCGGTCCGTTGCTTTTGCAGCCATTGGGAATGAGAGTGTCCGTCATTTCTGAATGCTCAACCGAATGCTTCGATGAAATTCAGAGAGCACAAGTCGCGTGTGTTCCTGCAGCTCCACAGGTGAGTGTGTGTCTCTCCTGGTTCTCGGATGTCTGTTGATGCACCACCGTAGTCCAAACTCTCCTAATCACACTCAAGATTCGCTATTTGCCCTGCACTAGCACTTCCCCTGGCCACGCCTCAGATGTCACGACAGCATGAACGCCCCCTTTGGTAGGCGGAGCTTGTGTGATGTTACCTGCGCGATGGCCACGCCCCCGAATCGGCTTGCTTATAAAGGCCCAACTTCAGAGTTATATTTAGCTCGGACACGCTGGCTAGTGACTGTTTAACTAGACCGATGGGTTCCTAACTTCCTAAATACAACAGTGTAAAGACCTCGCATTCATTTCTGGGTAGAAATAACTGTATTCCAAAAATGTAAGCTGCTCTTAGATATAATTATTTTGGATTTACAAATTATTTACACGAATTGCAGTATTTTATTGCATGCCTAGTTTATTGGCTTCCTTTATTGTTTCCAATTTAATCCTTATTTGTGTCTAAAAATAAATATTAAATAAAATTGTACTGTCACCCTCTTTGGAAATCATGTTAATTTAAATAAAAGCACCTTGCATATAAAATGTAAGCTATGAGACAAAAAACTAAACACTGCAGATGTAAAAGTGACAAAAATCTTGCCATGAAAACCTGCAAGACTCTTACCATGTCATGGGTGTTTTTATACATTAATATTTGTTGATATAATAGGGGGATTTCAAAACTTTTCTCTCAGTCAAACTCATTTGACCTAAAACATTAATTAAAGTCACCCTTTGATTTAAAGTTTATATTCAATAATATATTAACAATAACGTTCATTTAATATAGTAATACAATAGTTCATTAGAATGCTCACAGTTCATTAGGTTTAATTGTCACATAAAGATGTCAAATCTGGGTGTTATTTTGTTTGATTTTAAAATCATGTATTCATTTTAATGTTACATATTTATGATTGAATTAATTATTGGCTTTTTGTCAACCCCTGTATTACTTTTTACTTCGTATTTAAATGAAAACCCAGCAATGTAATATTTAATCGAATTCCATGATGTTAATAACAAATCTTTTACAACAATAATTCCAGTCAAATCCCTGTCATATACACGTTAGGCCAAAAGTTATCCAAAGATTGGCAGAATATTTTAACAATGATTAGATAATGTTAACTAAACTTTGAAAGCAGTTTGAAAGTAATCTGCCCACTACTGAAAATACTACAAAACAAGACTACAAATATGAATACACAAATAACAGGGGTGAGTGCACATATATGGTTTACAAGGACAGGTATACTTGAGTTGAGGCAAAAGCTAAAAAATCCTTGTGCTTTGTGTTTCAGGACAGTCCTGTAGGATAAAAGCGCCCTCTACTGTTTATATGCTGAATTTTGTCAAACAAGTGACTCATTATGATTGCATGATGTGGCCTAAATTAGCCCTGCCATTGGATAAGATTTATGAAATGGATTCAATCTGCCAGACACCCCCCAGTACAAAAAAACATATTGTTATGCATCGGGGACATTTTTGTGCATGGTTTAAGGCTTTGAGGAAATAAGGTCTGAAGTAAGTTTTTTTTTTTCTTGAGTCTGGGATTATTACTTTTTTCTGGACTGTGCCCAGCAGTTACAAATCCATCTGTGTTTTTCTGTCTGATCCCAAAGCCACTTAATAATATCTGGGGGCTATTTTTGTTCTTGTCCTTTCAGAGAGTAAAACCTCTCGTAACATACTGACACACAAAGGAACACACTCATGAGTTCATGTTAACCAATGTTTCGCTCTTTGCCAACTAGATCAATGCTGTCAGACAGAGATGATAAACAGGGCCAGTGTTTTGAGGTCAAAGCTGTTGTAACTGACCTCTCACAGCACTGTAGCTCACGTGTGAACGCTTTTTTTTACTCATATTTATCGTAGCGTGTTGACAGACACTAGTTCTCTCATATTGTAGATTTGTTTTACCTCTTTTATAGGCCTAGTTTATTTATAATGCACTTACATCACGCCTTACAATATGTTGAGGGGCACAGATTGATGAAGCAATGTTTCCAGTTAAAAAAGCTTGAAAAATGTAGCGTCTTAGTGTACTTTATAAGCAAAGCTTTTCGAAAATAAATGTACTGTTTATGGTTTAATTAAGGCTTTAAGCAGCATCAATCTGATCCTTTCACTTGACTCTTCGGTAAGTTGTTCATCAGCAAACACCTTTTCCACGGCTGATCTAACAAGAATATAGTCTCACTCAAGATATAATGTCACGTAAAAACATGCAGGCTGAAATTAACCTTTGATAATAAGAACTAATAAGAGATAATTATCAGAGTATACACATGTGATTTTATTTTGACTTGATTTGACTGTTTAACATTTTCTTTTCTCTGTAAACAGGGACTGGGGTCATGGTGTTTCTTTCATTGAGATGTGTTTGTTTCTCAGAAAATGTTACTGTCTGGTTGATTTGCTAGGAGAAGTCTACCATGAAGTGTACATGTGGAAATCTGAGATACATTGTTATATTTAAATTGAGTGATTTTGAATTTGTATTTCAAAAATTGGGGGGAAAAATAAAATGACTTAATCTTTACATCAAAAATAACCTTACATCAGTGAGACTCACTGTCAAAATCAAACATCGGTAAATCTAAAGTTTTTCACTGACAATAAATATTTGAAGACAATAAACTATATATCATTCATCTGATATATTCATTCATGTTCTTTTTCAGGGGTCACCACAGCAGAATAAACCACCAACTTATCCAGCATATGTTTTACACAGAGGATGCCCTTCCAGCGGCAACACAACACTGGGAAACACTGGGAATACACTATGGCCAATTTAGTTGATCCAATTCACCTATAGCGCATGTCTTTAGACTTGTGGGGGAAACTGGAGCACTAAGAGGAAACCCATGCCAACACGGGGAGAACATGCAAACTCCACACAGAAATGCCAACTGACCCAGCCGGGGCTCAAACCTGTGACCTTCTTGCTGTGAAACAATCGTGCTACCCACTGTGCCACCGTGACACCCTATCTGATATATAATAAATTACATTTATAATAGTATACTAATCAACATAGCCACCACTGTATTGAATTCTGAACAATATTTTATGTCTCACTTTGTAACAAACCAAATAAGGAAGTGACCATATATGGTCCTCTTTTAAAGCTTTGCTAATCTTACATTCTGGCAAGCTTATCTCAGGAGTAATTTCAAAATTGTTTCTGATTTAGATTTTTCAGTAGCTTGGTGTTAAAATTACAACAGAAGTCTGTATGCATTGTTAAAAGAAGCCAACATCTCATAAGCTCAGATATCCTTTACAGAACACTCAACCTCAGGTAACCACAATAAAGCCTTTCAGGTCTTTAGCGTGATTTTCAGAGGCCGCCGTTTTCCACTCCTCAAAAATATTCATTTATTACATGCTTGCATCTTCTAAAAAAAAAAAAAAAAATTGTCTTCATTTACTGCCCCTTCACTTGATCAAAACCTCTAGAGTTCTTTTCTTCTGTTATTTATATTGAATATAGTTGGTAGCTGGCACCCATTGACTTACACAGTATTTTTTTCTTACTATGGAAGACGGTGTGTGCCAGTAACCAGCTTTCTTTAAAACATCTTCTTTTGTGTTCAACAGAAGAAACTTATATGGGTTTAAAGAAACATGGCGGAGAATTAATGATGAGGTAATTTTATTTTTGTGTGACATGTGCCTTTAATACTAGTGGTCTTTTCAGTCTGTGTGTGTGTCAAGTGGTTTCCACATTCCACAAAGTCTAGTTGAAGTGTTGTTCTTTCCATTCTACTAAAGCACACCACTAGATGGTGCAAAAAGAGTACAAAAGACTCCAGAATCACTGCAGAACCAGCGCTCATGAATTTAAACGAACATCTCCCTTTACAATAACGTCAAGCAGACATTTCTGTTAAGATTAAGAAAGGTTCTCTTAACGTAACGTGCGGTCAAATGTTAACTAAACAAACACAAAGCATGAAGAAGCAAATATGACAATCTATACTCTTAAATGAGCAGTAAAAAGAGTGTATTTGTTTGTGTGTGAGAGTGACTATCTGTCAACGTATTGTAAAGGAGGCCGGACTACTTTTACAGAGAGGAGTTCCTCCTCTGAGCCTGAATGACTTTTACAACAACAGGTTTCCGCTCATTTCTCTCCTCTATTCGGCAAGGCACAAAGCTGAGTGTGGGGCAGTGCTTTTCCTGTTCTGAATGGGCTAAGAGTGAGAAATGTCATGTACAACTGACCTTAGATCAGTGGAGACAGAGAAGAGCTCACGGCTGGTGCAGAGTTTAGTTGCTATGCAGCCATAGACCTCACCCCAAGAACTTTAGTTGCTTGCCGGACAAATTATGTTTTGTGATCCATAATGACAGACCATTCGAGGCAGTGCAATGATCTGAAGGAAATTTCAAGGATTCCTTTTTGGGCCGTTCAAATAATTGTGTAAGTGTTTTTGTTTGTGAGAATAAGGGATGAAAAGAACTGGCACTGAGAGATGTGATTGTACAAGTGTGTGTGTGTGTGTGTGTGTGTGTGGAAGTGAGCATGTATGGCTGAGAGTGTTTGTGTGAGAAAGACCACACCAGCTACATTGAACATTGGACAAAGTGATTGATGACAGAATCGTTGGGTCCACCAGTCTCCCAAACACAGATGCATTCTGTACTGGCAATCCAGACTATTAAGAGTTCAGGAAGTGTCTCAACCATTAAGCAGCCCCTGCATATTCACTCCAAACTGCCAAGAGGACTGTAGTGCGGTTGCAAAGCCAAGAGGAAAAAAAATGCATTCTACTTTTTTTTTTTTCATCTATTGGCTTACATAGTGAACCATATCTGGAGATACAGCTATTCAGTTTAGACACTTGATAAAAATTTTCCATGACGGTGGAATAAAGGTTTCCACTCTGTATGTGCGGCTCCACTGGTGACACTGCAGTCTCTACTATAGTATGTATTTCGCAAGGCAGAAGAAGGCTATCTGTTGGAAATCTGTAAATGGGAGAGATTTACCATTAATTGCTACATAACAATGAAAAATAACAATGAAAAAACAGTAAATTACACCACTATTGTGTAATTATTGTGTTATAACAAACCAGTGTTTTTATGATTGCTACACCTTAAATTTATTCTTTGGCTTAGTCCCTGTGGTCACCACAGCGGATTGAACCATTAATTACTCTGGCATATGTTCCTTTTACAAGTCATACACCCTTTCATTCACACTCATACACTATGGCCAATTTAGTTTATTTAATTCACCTATACCTGGGAGACTCCAAAAAACGGAGCACCCAGAGGAAACCCACGCAAACACGGGGAAAACATGCCAACTCCAAACAGAAATGCCAACTGACCCAGCCGAGGCTCGAACCAGCAACCTTCTTGCAGTGAGGCAACAGTGCTAACCACTGAGCCACTGTGCCGCACAAACGAAATTGATAATAAATATCAGTGTACAGTATATTAAGCAGGATAATGGGCTGCTTTCATACAGTAAAAATAACGAGAAGCAGATGACATCAGAAGCCTCATTCAATATAAAATAAGATAGATATGATGTGATAGATTTTTTTTTGTTATAATTAATTAACGATGGAACTATAAACTGTTACAAAAGATCTCAAACAGATCAGCAGGAACATTTTATAAACTCTGATAATAAGTCTAATGAACTGTAAGCAGTATAAACTCTCAGAAATAAAGGTACGCGATCTGTCACTGGGGTGGTACCTTTTCGAAAGGTACAAATTTGTACCTAAAAGGTCCATATTAATATTAGTACCTTAAAAGTACAAAAGTGTTCCTTATAAAATTTTAGGTACCATTACATACTTTTGAGGTACCGATATGGACCCAGGTACAAATGTTTACCTTTTGAAAAGCGTGCCTTTTTTTGAGGTGAATTGGATTAACCAAATTGGCCATAGTGTACAAGAGTGTGTTTGTATGAGAATGTGTATGGGGTTTTCCCAGTACAGTGCTGTGTTGTGGCCGGAAAGGCATTCACTGTGTAAAACACATGTCAGAGTAGTTGGCGGTTCATTCCAGTGTGGTGACCCCTGATAAATCAGGGACTAAGCCAAAGAAAAATAAATGAATCATTAATGCTGTGTTGGTTCTTCTGTTAGTGGTGCGCAACAGTATTGTGCTCCCTGCTTTTTTTTTTGCAGGCAAGGCTGCATGACAGGGGGTTCATTCCCAGAAGTAAACTATCTTTCACAGTGCATCTGTGAGTGCATGTCTCCACAATTGAGATGTCAACAATCTTTAATCTTTGTTCTTTGTTCACGTTCTGTGATCTCACAGTTTCACAGGCACAACACAAGCTCCAGTCTCCATCAGAGTAATTGGTTGTTCAGGTGTCAGTATACCCCACAGCAGTCCTTATCATCTTACACTCTCAGTCACAAGAGGGCCACATCCAAAATAAACAGGATCTGTTGGGATTTCTTCTGTTTTCCACTCACTGACAAAGAAAAGGTGTGTTAGCAATTTTTGAAAATTAACCAGGATCTGTTGCTCTAAAGAGCTCAGCCAAAAGTGATCTGTAGGAGAATGAGAAGGGGGAAGGTGGATTGAGCCATAAAATGCCCCAGAAAAATGGGTGCTTAAAATTCTGCAGAAAATGATGTAGCTGATTTTCAGAGAATTTAAACACACTTCATGCACATACAGTTATTATTAGACAACTATTGTCTCTCCTGTGAGATTCTATTTTGTGCTGTATAGTGAAGAAAGTTTTTTAAACATACTTATTTTTTCATTTCAATAATTTTTCATTGACTTAATGACAGTATATAGTTACTTTGTAATTTACTAGCGCAATTCAAAGGCGTAAGGTTAATTATTTTAACTAAGCAAATTAGCTTAGATAGCTGAAGGGGTTTATTCTGTGGCCAATTTAAAAAATATTAAGTGTGTTAATAATATCAATCTTAGTAGTTTTTACATTTTACAAATAATTTGTATTCTATTTATTCATTTTCCTTCCGCTTAGTTCCTTATTTATCAAGGGTTGACTCGCCACAGTGGAATGAACTGCAGGGGTGCTAATTTGTCAGCTGTATTCTACACAGCACACTCTTCTGGCCCATTTAAATATGCTCATCTTTGTTTAAGTTCTTCTTTTTAAATATCTGACATTTAATAAGCCAATAACATTTACCCCATAAACAGTGCACTTAATCACTTATATCAATTCCTTAAATGCAAAACACATAGTAAGATATGATTTAATGTGTCAAAACATCTAACAGGTAATGTAATGAAATTCACAAAAGAAAATTCTGCCTTCTGTAGTTATTTCAAACCCAAAAGATTTTTTAAAGTATGTTGGTAAAATACTGACTGTAGCCTCCATCGGCCCTTTACCAACATTTTTCACAATTTATTATTTTGTGTTAAACAGCAGAAAATGTCTCATGGGTTTAAAACAGCTTGAAGGTGAGTAGCTAAATTTTCAAAACATAACAGGCTTTCCAAATATGCTGACTTCAATGCAACTGGTTTTCATTTTTTAGATATTTCCGCAGCAGTAGGTTAAACCCATCTTAATCCAAACCAGTTAAACGAGAGGTGGCTTTGTTTGTTATTGGAGATGTCTTCATTGGGGTGAGTTTGAGTCGTAACTTGGCCACAACTTTCTCTGTGCTTCAGGAAATGTAATGATTTTATTGACAAATGTTATTTTGAGACATTTTTAAAAATCGCGTGTTTTTTAAACTCAACGATGCACTCTGGGCAAACCTATTGTTCTGTTGGTGGAGCCATTGACTTCCATTTTTTGCTGTTGATCCTTAGTTTCAGTGCAAAAGGTTTCTGGTTTGAAGTTATGGACTGTAATGTATGTGTGTGTGTGTGTGTGTGTGTGTGTGTGTGTGTGTGTGTGTGTGTGTGTGAGAGAGAGAAAGGGATTTATTGCACATCTTGATATGTCTGAGAAAATTCAAATAAGAAGTTTAGCTCTCAGAACATAGTAAACATATTAAGTGTATTTATGCACACACACTATAATCTGCTGTTTCACTCAGTAGAACTCCATATAAAAGCCAGAAACTATTATTGCACAGGCCTATCTAAAGGGTTAATGCTGCCAACTGATGATCAATAGTAAAAATGACAAATTGTACCTCTTGGCAACAGGGAAAACCCCCAACAATCAAGACAGCATGATTATTTTGTGTCATGACTTTGTAATTAAAAAATGTGGTTATAATGGAAGTCTATGGGGCAAAAACAGCCACCAACATAACAAAAGGGTAGTCAATATGAACTGTACACAAGGGTAAAGTACAGATTTCATGATTCCAATTGTCTCTTAACAGTTCACACTTTACTGCAAAGTGAAATAAAGATATAGACTGATATGCACCTGCATTTGAGACCACTCATAACACCCACAAAACCATCAAATACTTACAGAGCGGAAACAATGGGACTGTGAAAACTGAAGATCTATATTCACTTTATCAACAGCATCCAAAGGAAGAACATTCGAAAGCAGACGAGAAGTTTGTTTAAATAATCTTTTTAGTAGCTGTGGATTGTAGTGTGATGTGTTCATTTGTTAACTAATGATCATTTGAATTTTAATAAATTGAAATGTGTTGGGTACTTCTGAAAAAATGTTGGATTAACAAGATAAAATAAAATATATATAAATAAATAAAACAATGTAATTATTAAATTAACACCTGTGATTAATTTAAAGTTAAATTAAGTGAAATGTTACTAATAATGCTATTAAAATAAAATTCAATCATTTATATGACGGCTCATTGACGGCTCATTGTCACGACAAAAAAAACCTCTCTGTGTACAGCCCCTAGTTTCCAAATAGTCCTAGTAACCAGCTATGGCAATTTTAACAATGAATGCTGTGATATTGAGCAGCTTCCGTGCCACCGGTGTCCTGCTCTTTGTTCGCATGTGGTGCAGGTGAGCGCGTGCCAGCGCACAGTACAACCTGTTGATCTCTATGGAGGCAGGCAGCAGGAGTTCTGCGCATGCGTCAGCGCCCTGCGTCCTGCATCAACTCGCTATATGAGAGCGGGCGCGGATACAGATGCCGTTTTCTTGAACAGCCGCACAAATGGATGGAACCGAAACGAACCGGAGAAACTGCGCGAAGTCGGAGCAACAGAAGATGTTGGACTCCAGAGGAAACCAAAGTGGATCTAAAGACAGAGTGACTCTTAAGAAAGAAATTGGTCTTTTGAGCGCGTGCGCCATAATTATAGGTGAGATGTTTCCTTATGCTTGATGTGTCAACGCGTGCTGCGCTTTAGCTTCAACTTTCTCTGTCCGCTTGTTTCTTTGTCCTCTTCACATCTGCTTCTCTATTCGCCATTCCCATCAGTCTTTAGCCCTCACTCTTAAATAGTCTTAATGTTTCATCTGGCAACATCTGCTCTCTGAAATGCGAGTTGCTCTGTGTCGACTGTTTATGCTGAGATAAAGTATTAAAAAGCTAATGTAGCTGTCAAAGTTTATGGCCAAACTTAAATCGTCACACAGTGTGACAGTACGTACGGCTGTCTAGTATGGTTGGTCATCAGTCCAAGTGAGGGCAAACAGCGTGATTTTGGTAGAGGCTCGTGCCATGCCGCTACTTACAGTAGTGTCCAGCAGTCAGATCTGTTCATCAGAGCGCGGATTGCATCATTGAGGAAGAGAAACGGGCTGAAACTCAACTCCGCGCTTACGTGGCTACAGCAGCCCACCACACTGTGTCTGTCCTTCACGTGCCCAGAAGAAATCCACAGAATAAGAGTCTATTGCTATACGAGACAGGGAAATATATCAAATTACAGTATGCGGAAGTGTACGTTTATAGCGAGGACGTTTACATCCCTTGATGCAAACCACACAAAGATCTTGTGTTAGGGATGTTCTGTAGTAGGATTAGGATTACAGTATAGTCATTCATGAAATTGGTTCAAAAGCAAAAAATATAATGCATGTTGTCTTTGCATCCTCACATCTAAATTTAGTCAACCATTGAACCATAGGGATGAACGTATAATACATCCAATGAAGAACCCTCACTAACAAGTAGCCTAATGTAACAGTTGGAATGTGAGCTGATGACAAAATGTTTATTCATTGAATGCATTTATTGTCTTGCTCAAATGAAGGTCCTCCTGTGGATGCCATAAGTTTTAGGAGTTTTTTGTTAATGTAATTTTAAATATGTTGTGTCTGGCTTGTCAGTGATACTTGTCTCTACTCTTTTGAGCATTGTTTCAGGGCTATTGAAGAGAGTTGGTCTCCACAGCATAAACTGTTATCTTTATTTTATAAAGTCGCTTCAGTTTAAGCAATAAAAATACTAGATATGTTAAAAAAAATAGTGGATATTTCCACCAATATTTTCCACATTATTTTATATGTGCAGGACTCAAATTACTGAATTTGCTGTAGATAATGCAATGCTGCCAAAAAGCACCAGGTTCTGTGTACCAGTTGTTAGAGATATACATTTAGATGTACTCTTTAATCGTTTGAAGATTTTCATAGGTTAATAAGTAGCATATAACTGCCAAGTATATGACTAGTCTTTCTCTTTGTACTATTTCTTTTTATAAAATGTTTTTATTTATTTACTTTTTTGTTTTTTTTACAAGAAACAGTCTTAGGGCGATCAAGATATAACCGATCTTAACTGAATGTTTACCTTTTTTCCAAAACCCATGGCTGTAGTAAGATCAAGCTATTCATTGAGAAGAGTGGTTCATTGTTTTGATGTTGTTGATCAGCATACAGGTGCAGGTGTGCATTTCAGTTATGTTTATGGTTTAGTCAGTGGCTTTATGGGTAATAAGGAAGAGACAACAGGTTTTTGAAACCGTCGTTCACCATTTGAAATGTTTGGCATCAATCTGACCACACCTTTTAGAGGAGTATATAATTGGAGATTACTTAAAGGATTTCCCAGAGGCAAAGTAACAGCTGCATTTTAACCGGGGCTTATTTACTGTCTGATCATGGGAAAGTTTTTCTGTGCTAGAATGTCCTCCTGATATTACTCAAGGTCACAGACAAGTCTTATAATCACTTTTACAGTTTTATCAGTTACTCTACTCTACTCTTTTTTTTTCTCAACTAGTACTATTATTTTTATTGGTTTGATCTTCTTTACATAATATGCACATAATGGGAAATGTCTTCATTGTTAAATTACCTTAATTATCGTCTGGTATGGTGGTTAAACCAGATGGTTCACCATAAAGTATTAAATTGACTCACCCTTAAGTTGTTTAAAACGTTTAACACATTCATTCATTCATTCATTCATTCATTTTCTTTTTGGCTTAGTCCCTTTATTAATTCGAGGTCGCCACAGCAGAATGAACCGCCAACTTATCCAGCACATGTTTTACTCAGCGGATGCCCTTCCAGCTGCAACCCATCTCTGGGGAACACCTATAAACACTCATTCACACTCACACACTGCAGACAATTTAGCCTACCCAATTTACCTGCACAGCATGTCTTTGGACTGTGGGGGAAACAAAGCACCCGGAGGAAACCCACGGGAACGTAGGGAGAACATGCAAACTCCACACAGAAATGCCAACTGACCCAGCCGAGGCTCGAACCAGCGACCTTTTTGCTGTGAGGCGACAGCACTACCTAATGTGCCACTGCATCGCCCAAAGTTAAACACAAAATAAGATAATTTTATCAATGTGAAGTAACAAACACAGTTGATGGTAGCCAATGCCATTTATAGGGGAAAAAACAAAGTGGAACTCAATGTCCACCATCAAAATTAGTTTATTTACATTTTTTAATGCGTCTTCTGTTGTCACATAACATTACATTACTGTTTAATTTAAAGGTCACGTGAAGTCCTTTGAAATGCACATTTTTTATTAAGTGTTTGTTGTGATCTCAACTGAAACATGAAGAGAGGGTGGGACATAGTGTAGCCTCTTCCCCTTTTAAAAATTATTTGGAAAGAATATATAATTTTAGACTGGGGTGATTCTTTAGGAGAGTACATTTGTATAAAATATGTGAAACAATCTAGAAGCAAAGATAAATTAAATAAAGAGCATTTTATTGTTTTCAGAGGAGTCGAGTAAAATGAATCGTTATTAAGTTCGTTTTATATTTTGTTGTTATTCATTTACAAATGCTACATTTTCTTATGCCTGAATGTATTTAAAACCCTCACACAGTCACGGACCTGAAAAAAACACTTGCAAAAAGGTTACTTATAATCTAGATTCAACATTGCAAATACTCGCGATGTGACTTTTGTGAATAATCATGTTGCGATATCGATTATGAAACGATATTTTGTGCAGCTCTATGTCAGATACTAGAGAGCATTTGATCGGTTAGAAAATTTGATGTAAAGGTGATTGATGTAAATAAAACCATTGATTCATTTTGGCGGAAGTGATAAACTATAAGCTTTACATGTTAAATCAGCTTTATATCTTCTAGACGCAAATTGTCTCTGTTTGGAGCAAACTAGCTTATAGACATCCTTAAAACTATGAAATGAACCCTTTATTTATTTCAAAAAATGGCATTATAACCCATTGGAATCATTGTTGGTAAAATTCTGAGCTAATACAAGGAGTTAATATTTCTGCTAATCAGCCAAGCAGACATTGTTTTGGTGTGTTGTGCGACCATTCAAGTGTGGTGTTGTGTGACTCCACGAACTTCAATCAGGAACTTTGAGCCTCATTTGTCTGAGTGTTTTTGAGATGCGCTGGACCCTGTCGTATCAACTTCACTGCTTTGTACTTTGTGTAGGTCCAAGGCGCTAGGAGCAAACATTCACATCCACTCATGATGCTACCAAATTATATTTCATGTGAGCACCCGCAGACAAAGAGAGCACCCAAACCCTTACATAACGCTTGGGCCCATAACTCTGGCTGAGCCTCCTATAATTGAACCTCTTTGTTTAAGTTTTCTGAGGCATAATCATTCACACACTACACATGCTCCGAGCGCTTTGACTGAATGCTGAATACTAGGCCCTTATCTCGATTTCACAACCGATGTTGACTGTAACATTGTTGATCTTATTTATCGTGTCTGTTTGCCTGGAATGTGCAACAGGTTTTAACAGCTGTAAGTACAGTTCTTTTAGGATGTTGTTTTCAAGCAAAAAAGATTGCACAAACATAATCTTTTTACATCAAGTAAGCAACTAATTAATATCAATATTTGATTCATACCATCCTCCTAACACGAATAAACACTTTCAGATACTAATAATATTTAGTGCTGATGGATTTTAGATCAGATGCTAAACTCAGTCCAGCTACGTAGTTTATTTTAAATATGAAATAATAAAATGTATATATAAAAAACTAAACAACCCATTGCTGTTTCTCTTGTTTTTTTCAGGCAACATCATTGGCTCAGGGATCTTCATCTCTCCAAAGGGGGTTCTGGATCATGCTGGCAGTGTGGGGTTCTCACTCATCGTGTGGGTCCTGGGAGGCGGAATCTGTGCCCTGGGATCTCTTTGTTATGCTGAGCTGGGCGTCACCATCCCCAAATCAGGTGGAGACTACTCATATGTGACAGAGATCTTCGGGGGACTGGTGGGGTAGGTGTATTGCTGCTCTCCAGAGTGTTACTCTGTAATACGAGTAATAGGTTCAATTCCCCTATAGGTTCAAATGCATGAACCGATGCAGCATTAATTGCTTTGGGTGAAAATGTCCACCAAATGCATAAATGTCAATGTGAACATCTCAGTTTGTGTTTGAAGACACTGTCTCTTCCTCGGGGAGATTCACATGTGTTTACTTGCTGACTCAGTTATAACACTGACACTCAGAAGTCTGTGTGTATGTGTGAAGATAAAGATGGCCAATTGTTGTTTTCACAGCTTCTTGTTGCTGTGGAGTGCAGTGTTGATCATGTACCCAACGACTCTGGCTGTGATTGCGCTCACCTTTTCCAACTATGTTCTGCAGCCTGCCTTCCCAAACTGCCTGCCTCCATACATCGCCACCCGACTCCTCTCAACCACCTGTGTCTGTAAGTAAAGCACACAGTATCTTTGATTAGGCCACTTTTGGTTGATTCAACTCAATTCATGTTTATTTCTAAAGCGATTTTACAATGTAGATTGTTTCAAAGCAGCTTAACATAGAAGTTTTAGTAAACTGAAAGTGTGTCAGTCCAGTTTTCAGAGTTGAAGTTCAGTTTAGTTCAGTTCAGTGTGGTTTAATTTTTAATGCTGAAAGTCCAAACACTTAGAAGCAAATCCATCGATGCGCAGCTTCATAAGTCGCAAACCAAGCAAGCTAGTGGCGACAGTGGCAACAAACTTTACCAATTGATGAAAGTAAAGGAAAAAACCTAGAGATAAAAACAGGCTCAGTTGGGCACTCAGTTGGGTTAAGTAAGGTGACCTAATCATTTTAGTTTTTAAGATACAGCGAATCACTTTTTAGTGCATGATAGGTATGTTTCTTATATTTATATAAACATTCAGAATGAATTTTGTTCAAACAAATGAAAAAACGGGGGCAGCATGGTGGTGCATTGGGTATAGGTCTTGCCTCACAGCAAGAAGGTCGCTGGTTCGAGCTTCGGCTGGGTCCGTTGGCATTTCTGTGTGGAGTTTGCATGTTCTCCTGTGTTCGCGTGGGTTTCCCCCGGGTGCTCCGGTTTCACCCACAGTCCAAAGACATGCGCTATAGGTGAAAGGGGTGTAAGTGTGTGAATGAGAGTATATCTGTGTTTCCCAGTGATGGGTTGCAGCTGGAAGGGCATCTGCTGTATAAAACATATGCTCTAAAAGTTGGCGGTTCATTCCACTGTGGCAACCCCAGATTAAGAAAGGGACTACGCCAAAACGAATAAGAATGAATGAATTAGAAACAACAAAACCATTAAATTAAAAATATAGTGGATTTAACACAAAAATTTAAGACTAAAAGTCTGACATTTTGACCGTTTTTAAATTCTGTAATTAAAACCCATTTAACTTCAGTACACTGACTTTTCTTTAATGTATATGCATATTTCATTCTTACATTGTTATTTTATCAAAATTGCTAAATGCAAAAGAGTTCAGAGTATTTTTACCCTGAATGACCATAAAGGTCAAATTGACACATGCATTCCAGCATTCGCTACTTTTTTCTCTGGTTTTTAAAATGCATGGCTCTATTGCCTACAGTAGTAAAACAACAACAACAATATAACATTATGATAGCAAAAACCCAATTTTAATTCAGACATGTCCTTCAGACTTTCAAAAACAACAATTTCATATGCTGTGAAAAAACTACTTGCTGGACAAAGTGAGGTTCAGGGTCAGGCTAGTAACTTTGTAAGTTTCTAAGTTTGTATTTTTAGGGGAAAGACTTCATTAAATGTGACACAATGTAATTCTAAAATCTCAATTGAAGCTTTGAATGTGAATGTGACGTGACAAATTAAATCTGGCCGTATATGAATTGTGAGAATGAGAATTCTGGTTCCTGTGTTACATTAATAATTATCATTAATATGAAGATTTGCTAAACATAAATCCAGGCTGCTTGTTCTCTGTAGGGTCATGAGATTAATTACTAATTATTAGGGTTTTTAAATATTAACATTAAAGAAGCATTTGATAATCTAAATGTAAAAACAGAGTATGCATAAGTAAATATGAACAATTCATTCATACATTTTTAGTTGGCCTAGTCCATTTGTTCATCAGGGGTTGCCACAGCAGAATGAACCGCCAACTTATCCAGCATAAGTTTTACACAGCGGATGCCAGTCAAGCCACAACCCAGTACTGGGAAACATCCATACACATTCATTCACACACTCGAACTACGGCCAATTTAGTTTATTCAAGTCACCCATAGCACATGTCTTTGGACTGTGGGGGAAACCGGAGCACCTGTAGGAAACCCACGCAAACACGGGGCAAACATGCAAACTCCACACAGAAATGCCAACTGATCAGTTGGTGCTCAAATCAGTGACCTTTTTGCTGTGAGGCGACAGCGCTAACCACTGAGCCACCTGTAAAGCAGTATGAACAATTGTATTATTAAAATTTATAATTCACTAAAAGATCAAAAGTTAATTTGAATGAATCAAGTGTTTATTTGAAGTCGCTTTGTATCTAACAGATTTAGTTTGCTCTTTTATTCACATGCATAAACATTGATCAGCAAACATAACCCAAAGTTCAACCAAGCCTGCTTAATGTGCAAGAACAGACCGCACCGGTTCTTGGAGGAGCATAAACAACTCCATTCAAATCAATTAATTTTTAATTTTTTCTTTTTTTCAGTGGAGAAACAGAAGCCTCTCAGATTTGATTAAAAATATGTGTAATTGTTTTCCAAAGATGAACAAAAGTCTCATCAGATTAAAACAACACAATCATGATTTAACGTTGTTCATTTGGGGCTGATCTAACCTTTAAATTTGACTACTAGATTTAGTCGTAGACAGCACTTTGCCCTTCATCTGTCTTTCACTCTTACTCAATCACCATTCTCTTTACTGTGGTTTAATCTTGATCCCAGTTCTTAACCCTGGTAGGCGCATGGCAGGATATTTCGGGAGCTGGTAGCGATAACCCCAAATGTATGTCTATGTGTGCACGCGTCTGTGTGTTTGTTTCAGGAGTGCCCCGTGACTCAGCTGGTTTAGACCTGTCAGATCTGGACAGGGGCTCTTAGGAAGGAGCGCTGGGGGGGGTGTGTCAGTGTGGTCAGTGGTCCTAATGCTGGCCGAGCTGAGCCATCCATCCCTATTTTTGGCAGCGGTATCTGTCCTGAAGATCAGCCAACTAAAGCTTTGAGTCAGGCATACTCCAAAGAGCAGGGTGGAGAGGGTCAGTGGCTCTATTTCAGGAAGACACCTCATCTATGTGCCCTATGAAAGGATGCTAGGCCAGCATCCCAAATCACTCTGCTCTCTTTCGATTAGCCTGATATTTGGGGAGCTTATTTGATTGGGTCTTGATAGCAGAATAGGATTTGTATCGATGTTGTGATATAAGGGCACCTGACTCTCAGGCTGCGTGGCGTCAGACTCCGTAATGGTGCCAGGCTTTGAGCTGGAGGAACATGTGGGCGTGTCTTCTGTATTGTGTATTGTTTGGGGGTCTGGCGGTTGCCCGATTTACCCCAACGGCTTTTGATGGACAAGAGCAGAGAGGCGGGACTTTGTCAGTGCCACTAAAATGCCGTTAAATCTGACACATGAGGAGTGAATTATGATCTTTTGATAAGTGGATTGGAGTGTATGAGTCATGCTTAGGAAGGGCACAGTTCTAACGCGCTCCCTCCCTTCGTCTGTCATTAACCTTTAGACCTTTATGCAAATGCCCTGAAATAAGCAGTGACATTCAAAGACATCAGGAGAACATGTTTGTTCACACAGTTTCTTTTAAAAAAAAAAAAGCTTATAAAACATGTCCCTTGCATTGTAAAAGTGCATTGAATGCACTTGTTCTTCTTGATTGATGCGTGTTAATGGATTAAAGCAGAGATGGACAAAGTTCAGAATTAATGAACTGGCTCCTTCCCGAATCATGAATTTAAAAACAAGTGGCCACTGGAAAGCTTGTTGTAAGAAAAGTGACACAATAACAAAAAAAGGTGCCATCATAGTATAATATGTACCTTAAAGAACAAAACCTACAGAGTAACTGTACCTTCAGATGTCTACATTGTATTTCTTTGCCAAAAATGAGTTACAAACTGTGAATTAGAGATAAATGTATAGTTATGTGCCTTAAAGATAACATTAAATATTAATACAATAATATAGAAATAACAAAAATACATTTTTACCTAAAGATTTGTCACTTAGTGGGAAATGTTCTCCATGCTTCATAAATTTACCAATTTCGTAAAGTATTTTGTTTGCAGTATTTCAGCCAATAATTAGTAGGCGTCACAGTAGTGCAGTGGGTAGTGCTGTCGCCTCACAGCAAGAAAGTCACTGGTTCGAGTCCCAGCTAGTCAGTTGGCATTTCTGTGTGGAGTTTGCATGTTCTCCCTATGTCGGCGTGTTTTGGGTGCTCTGGTTTCTCCCACAGTCCAAAGTCAACTGGTACAGGTGAATTGGGTAAGCTAATTTGTCCATAGCGTATGTGTGTGAATGAGAATGTATGGGTGTTTCCCAGTGATGGGTTGTGGCTGGAAGGGCATCCGCTGTGTAATAACACATGCTGGATAAGTTGGCGGTTCATTCCGCTGTGGTGCCTCCTGATTAACAAAGGGACTAAGCAGAAAAGAAAATAAATGAATGAATGATGAATGAACATGTCAAGTACATCATATCTACTACCACACAACTAATTTCATTTAAATTCAGGAACATGTTGTGTTGTGAGAAACAAGATGTTTAGGTTTTGGGGCTTTTTTGCATGAACTTGTGTGATAGAGAGTGTTCTCATTTGCACTGTGTGAGAATTTGTCTATATTGCACCATGTGTTGCATTCGCCCTCCCCTTCTGAATGTTCTGAATGAATGTCACAAGCTCTGTTTGCTGCAGTCAGATTACACACACACACTGGTCTGGAAACACAAACAAACACACAGACCTTTCCGGAGACTCTTCTTATGATACAACAAAACTTTGCTTAAAAGAAATAGTTCACCCAAAAATGAAAATTGACTCACTGTTTATTCACCCTCAAGTGGTTCTAAACCTTTATGGGTTTCTTTCTTCTGTTAAAAACTAAAGCAGATATTCTGAAGAAAGCTGAAACCTGTAATCATTTACCTCCATAGTAAGAAAAACAAATACTATGGAGGTCAAGGGTTACAGGTTCTTCCAGCGTTCTTCAAAATATCCGCTTTTGTGTTTATATCAGTGGCCTCATGTATGAAAACTTGCTTTGAAATCATACTAAAACATTGTGTATGCACCAAGCTGTAAATGTGCGTACACAGTAAAAAATTTAAATGTATGAAACACTGCGTACGGCGAATCCCACGCATATTCTCTTTGTACATCCGAATAAACGTGAAACTGAGCGCACGGGCACGAGTGCAAAACCCCTCCCTGCCTCCTCCCCCGTATGAATATACTAATGACTCTACTTAAGCAAAACCAAACAAAAAAGAAATGGCAAAAGCAAGCAAGAAGAGAAACTTTGAACAGAATGTGAATTGGAGGTGCTGCTTTTGGGGGTAGACCGGAGAAAAGCGGTGTTATTTGCAAGTTTGTTCTCCGGAATTTAATAAAAAAAGAAAAAGTAGAGAGGGAGAGTTTAGCTGATGCGGTTAACACAGTTAGGTCTGAACATCGCACTGAGTGGATTAAAAAAAAAGAGTTGCCAATGGAAATAAAACAGACAAGCACAAGAAATGTGCGTACGCCAGTCATGAAGTTAGCGTGAACCTGCGCACATTCCCACATTCATTTCATTGTTAGTAAATCCAAACGTGAGCGTGGAACCTGGTGTATGCAAAGTTTTTGTGCTTACGCAGCGTTGATACATGAGGCCCCTGGTCATTATGATTTCACTCTTATTGCTCAGGTTCATGTCTGCTGATGAAACATCTGACAGCATGTCATATGGAAAACATCTATGAATTCATAATTGTATATTAACAGCCCCTGTCATTTGCGATCTACAGCAGTTTATCTTTTGTTTGCACAGACATGCTGGATTCACCTGATTGTTGACAAATGGGTTGCAGATCTATTCCTTGGCATTTCGTGGGTCCTTCACTGATCCTTTTCCCCTTAGCAAAGAAACTTTCTAAAGACGTCTTGCTCATTTGCAAGCTTTTGGGTTAAATTTTGGCACTTAAATGACTGAGGTGTAACTAATACGATCATTTTTAAAAATAAAGGATTTTTCATAATAAAATATAATTCAGACTCAGATAATAAATAAAACAAAAATTATTAATAATTTCTTGGTATGATCCACAGCCTGGGGGTTGGGGACCACTGCTACAGGAATGGAAAAAAATGATAAGACTTTAAAAAATTCCAGTGTATCTGGTTTTACTGGGGTTTTTATTAATGGGTTTGAGTTAAATGTTAATGTTATTTGATTCATTTTTAGGTCTGATAACATTTATTCCAAATGTTTTAATTAAAGTATTGTCATTAAGAGCATTTTTCCAGACGATGTCAATTGGCCAGAATATCTGGAGCACTCAACCACTGTAGACCATTTCAATGTGGTCATGTCATTGGCCCATGAACTTTTCCTGCTTGTTATTAAACTATTTCATAACTGTAACAAGAGGCAATTAAGTCATAACTTAATGTTAAAACAGCTATCATAACGTTACATTCCTCAAAATGGTCTATACAAGGCGCGTGAAAAAATGTCCAGCAACACTTTTAATAAAGAAAAAAAATCATTTTCTTTTGTCAATTTTATTACATTTTCTCCCTTATTATTACAAATGTTGCTGTAGTTCCCTATATTTTTTTTTTTACTATAATTGGTTAGAATAACAAATGTTTTAAGTTATTGTCAGCATTATTTCTCCAGATATTGATTTCTTAACTTGTCTGTTAACTATTTACTCTTCTCTTTCTTAAAACTCTGTTATTGTGTTGTTGAAAAAGGATTTAAACATGTCTAAAAACCATACACATTTTTTTCAAAATACACAAAAATGCTCTAAACGACCAGATTTTTATAAGTTTGGAAGAAATGTCATCAGCAGTTTACAGCATCTTTAAAGTGGTCACTTAATCATTTTTTCCATAACACTGATTAAACAAAGAAAAAATATAGCACTTATTTCAGGGTTTGGCCACGGATTGTTGTAGTATTTTGCACATTTTGGTGTATCTAGTGCGTCTTTTGTTGCCTTTATCGGTCAATTAGCTGCAGAGGGATGTCCCTCTCTGGGTTTAAAGTGAGTAATTGTATTTTGGCAGATTTAAAGGCTGTTAGCACTTCATTAGAATTCTCCTCTCATTAGCGTTGTGTTCATTTAACTTCATTTGGCCACCCTTAGTCACTTCTGCACTGTGATACAAAACAGAAGGAGCTGGAGTCAGATCCGTTCAAGCCAAACAAGTAGAAACAAAACCACAGCAAACACTCCACTGAACTCTGAAAACTAGATCATAAAATGAATGAAGACCTGCTATCGCAAATTCTGGATTAATGTGTATTATTGATATGAGGCCATGTTAAAGGGAGAGTTCACTCAAATATGAAAATTCTGCCGTACCTCATTTACTCTCACGTTATGTCAAACCTGCAGACATTGTTTTTTTCTACCTTTTTTTAATATGTCAGTGGATTTTGAATTCATTCAGAGGAAATCAATATTATTTAGTTACCTAAAAGTTTTTATTTTGCACAGAAAAGAGAACAAAGATATACAGGAAAACAATAAACAATAGATAAAAATGCTTTATTCAGTGAAATATCTTCTATATAACATAGGTCAAAATTATTTGTACAATAAATAAATGTTAATGCCATCAATAAAAGATGCCTGAGAACACCTAATATCATGTGACCCTCCTGCTTTACTGCTGTAATAACAGTAAACTAATCACTATTGTTAGATAAGCTTTGAACCATTGTTCTTAATTAAAATACTACACAAATACTGTAGATTTGAGTTCACTGTATTTTATCGTTTGCTTTTACTTATCGCTGAGATTAACTAATTGAAAAGAGATCCTGATTGAACTAATTGAAATAAATCCTGCAAGCATAGAAGTGAAGGTTTACAGGTGCTGTGTGTGTGTAGCTGTGGATGGAGAAGCAGGTTAGCTGTTAGTTTGCAGGCTGTGAGCCGCACTTGTCGACTGCTCACCCTCGCCAAAAATTCAGCCGGCGTCTGGGCCGTTTTGTTGTGGGGCATCGGAAGCTGTTTGTCTAGGGGGGTCTGACAGATGCCCTCATGTGTTTGCGTGTGTGGGCGGGTAATTCCGGCCATTGATGGATGAGTGGGGGTAACCCGTCTCCCCTTTGCCCAGTGTCTCCCTCGGCATGCCTGGGTAAACTGTGCCGTCAAGCCCTGGAGACGGACCTCTGTGTACCGGATCTACACCGGAGCTGTTATACAATGCGGCTGAGCACAGAAGCCACTAACCTCAAGCACAGATGTACAGACAAGCAAAGGCCTATAACGCCTGCTCTTCCGTCCCTGAACTTTTTTAATCTGTCAACTGTAGGTTGTGTTGCATTGATGCCCCCTTGATAAACTACTCTTTTTTTGTTTACGGTCTCAATTGTAATGCATAAAGATAGACTACAAATGAATCTATGAGGCAGACAAGGTAACCATTTCACCCATTCTCTGGACTAGCACGCTCTGGTTTCAGTTAGAAAGGTTGTTGTCACCTATTTAACTCCAAAGATTCCACACTCCTGGGTTCTTTAAATTAAATTTCAAAAGTACTGGGAGATCAAAGTTTTTCCAAGGATCCCACAATTACAAAAATAGAGGTTCTTTATTAGTGGTAATGTTTTCATCCATAGAACCTTTCTCTTCAACAAACGGTTCTTTATTGTAAAAAAAGTTTCTTTAGGTTAATCAAAATGATGTTTTATAGAATTGCTGCAAAACACCATGGGAACCATTAATTCATTCATTTTCCTTTGACTCAGACCCTTATTTATCACGGGTTGCCACTGCCGAATGAACCGGCAACTATTCCAGCATATTTTTAATGTAGCGGATGCCCTTCCAGCTGCAACACAGTACTGGGAAACCATTGGAACCATTATTTATTAAAAAGTTCACAGGATACAAATTGTTAAACATATTTAAATACTAATTGAACTTGCCAAATTATTATATAGCTTCACAGGCATAATTAGAAAAATGTATATTCATAAAAAATACCATGAACATTTTAAGTAACATCACTGTTCCTTAAGCAGAGATCACACGTGTATAATAAGGATACCTCATGAAATATCTCGATTTTCCAAGGCTGTGGAAACTGTGGAAAGATACAAAATATCTTGACTTTCAAATCTTTTTGTTCTTCAGAAAAAGTTTTTTTTTTTTTTTATCAATTAGTTGTCTTGATGCTAGCTTGAACATTTGCAAAATGGGCCCCAGCCCCTTGGTTGAGAACCACTTAGCCATGAATGGGTCAGTGTTTTGCCTGCAGCAGTAAAATGAGTTACATCTGATATTTATTTCCCCTCTTTAAACTAATAAAACAGACCATGTGACCAGTTAGTGCTGCTCTGCCAACAGAACCACGCTCTCTGCTCCCTGCTTTGTGCGTAAGACACTTATGGGAGAGTTTTGTGGGGAAGCAGCTCTTTAATAAGACATCCTAAATAGGGCTAGTTGTTCTTAATATGCAGGGGCCATTATTTGAAGAGTTCATTTGCAAAAATAAGGAATGCCCATTTTTATTTATTTTCATAAATCATGCTTTACTTCTGCATTGAAGAGATAAAAAAATTTGAAAAATTACAAAAATGTTGGTTATCTGTTTTTGCAGACTTTTTGTTTATAATAATATTACATTGCATCTAACACTTTTTTCCATCTAGTAACTAGTTTATTAATGATCTTGAAATATATGAATGAACATCTGTGTGTTTTGTTTTCAGTGTTTCTGACTTGGGTGAACTGCTCTAGTGTGCGCTGGGGGACACGGATCCAGGATGTTTTCACTGTAGGGAAGCTGCTGGCCCTTGTGCTCATCATTGTAGTGGGAATGGTCCAGATTGCCAAAGGTGTGTATGTGCCCAGTAGGCACACAACCTCATTAGACGTTAATACTAGGTTAGATTTAGGTTGTGACATCAGGTGACCAAAATTGAATATCTAGCCAGCATCTAAGGACATTGGTATTTTGACGTCCAATAACGCCGTTAAATGATGTTGATATTTAGGAAAAGTGGCCAAAGTGACCTAAATCCAACGTCGAGCTAACATCTTAATCCAACATCATATAAACGTCAAATACTGACATTTATTCACCAGGTATGGCAACCAAAATCCAACATCTGATAGACGTCTTTGATATTTAGCTGATTTTAGGTTTGACGTTAACCACATTTTCATTTCCAAACAAAATGCAACGTCCTCATAGCTTTGGGGTACAACGTCAATCTGACGTCATGTTGATGTCCTTTGCCTGCTGGGTGTGTATGTGTTTGTACATGTATGTTCCTGCATTTACTAGAAACATGCTAGTCTCTTTTTGTGCTGTCTAAAGTTAAGATTGATGCAGCACAAAGCATCTTGAAAGTCTATAAGTGTACAGTCACATTAATTATTAAACATTACGGATATCATAGTTCTACACTGTATTGATTTTCCCTTACTCAAAGTTGTTAGGCTAACCTGCAGTTCCAGAACTAATAATGCCTGGCTTCATAGGCATTCAGTCCAAAATATACAGTAACTGAAAAAGAAAGCATTAATTTGGTCAAACTGTACATATTCACAAATTGTACATAATCACAGATTTTGCTGACAGTGTAAAGCAGAGAAAGAGATGTATAGAGCTATTTATAGAGAGAGAGGGTGAGTGAAAGAGCATTATAAACTCACATCTGTGAATAATTCCTTAAATGTTAAAATGGCATGAATCATCAAGCACAATAAAGCCAGTTGCCGCCAGCCCAAACAATCCAGTTGCATATCTTCTACTGAATAAAAGCAGAAGATTTGCCTTGAGTGCATGCAGCCAACTGAACTAATCCGATAAAGATAAACAAATAAAGGAGGGATCTGAAAACAACAGAGGAACTCATGTAAAGGTATCGCTTCTAAAGCATGTTCACTGTTGAAATATGCTATAGATATTTCTCACCAGAAATAAAATTTATCTACTATTAACTCACCTTCATGTTGTTATTTCTTCTGTGAATTTTAAGCATAACTATTCCTCCAACTGTGTTTTATCAATAGTGACATCTAGTGGCAGGTATTAAGAGCTACTTAGCAGACACACTCTTGTTTAACGTGATTTACATGTACTACTTAGAAGCCCCCCTTGTAACAACCTGGGGTCAAGTGCTTTAGTTTACATGATGACAAAGGGACAAATTTGCTCGTAAATCACTAAAGACATTTAAAATCTGAATAGATTTTAAAGCAAACGGCATCATACACTTGTCGCTTTTGTAAATGAAGAAAAATGGGGGATCAAACATTAAAGACTGACACACTACTAGACTTTCACATTAGTCTGAATACAATAAATGCACAGAGAAGGTCCTAGGCTTAGACTTTCAGGTATTGTCTGCTAACCATTATGTGACCTGACTTTTTTTTAGTTGATCATTTTCTTAGCGTGCTTGTCTGGAGGCGTTCCCTGAACTGACAAGAGGATGAATTGTGTAAACGAGAGAGCAAAGAAGAGTAGACTCACCCTTGGGTGAACGAGAGCGAAAGGCTTTTTGGAGGCTATCTAGTGGAATAATGAAATCAAACTGAAGGCAGTAGAGTGTCAGGATGAATGTGAACTATTTGAGCATGTGAAATTTACAGTACAGGATTCTTTTTATTCTGAAAACAACAACAAAACAAAACACTTGGTGACTATCCTTGTATCTTAAACAGTAAATGCCTGTTTATTAATTAATGTATAACTTAAACATGTTTTCTGTTTATATATTGGTTTCTGTAGGACACTATGATGCACTGGAGCCTCAGGCAGCATTTGAGTTCATAAAGGATCCGTCAGTGGGACAGATTGCTTTGGCGTTCCTGCAGGCGTCATTTGCCTACAGTGGTTGGAACTTCTTGAACTACGTCACAGAGGAGGTGGTTGAGCCTCGCAAGTGAGTCTTATAGTCTGTGTTACAGCCATGGCCAGGCCATCCTACATTTGATACACAATGCATGTGGTTGGTGGTACTTGTGGGGAGATGTAGGTTTAAAATAGGCTACTGCAGAGTAAATATAGATTTGCCCGCTCTGTTAACAAAATGCTGTCAGAAATGGCTGATGCAAATACATATGGGCCTCCTTTAAAGGAAACTCCACTTTTTGAGGGCTCATTTTACAACTAGTTACAGTTAAAATGTTGCGTTTTTCATTCTTGAATCCATTTAGTTAGTCTCCAGGGTCTTTTAGAACACTTTTAGCTTAGCTTAGCATAAATCATTGAACCAGATTAATCAGATTGAATCAGACCGTTAGCATCTCACTCAATAAATTAACAATACGTAACTCAAAGGGGGTTAGAGTTAGGACCTATTTCCAAAAATAAAAAAAAAATAAAAATCAAGTGTTAATTAACAGTGGTAGTAATAAGCCTAGACTGCAAATAGCTTTTTTTTACTTTGATTTGTTGGTCTTTTTTTCTAGTCCAAATATTTACAAATTCTTAAATCAACAGAATCAAGTTTTTTTTATGTTTTAAGATATAATGTGCCAAATTTATTGAGGTTGTTTGTTGATTCAATGTTTATGGATTTAATAATTTTTAGATATTTGGACTAGAAACAAGACAAAAATCAAAGTAAGAAAAGCATTTTTTGCAGAGTACTAAACTATTTGCAGTGTAATAACTTTCACAGTCTAATAAACCCCAAGCATAAGCTTTCAGATAATAAATGATTAATTAGTGAATATTTGAAAAATATAAAACTAATTTCTGTTAGGGGTTGGTTTAGCAGTGTCAAAAATGGCACACTGTTTAAATCAAATTTGACTGAAAATCAGCACAGCTCTCTTACAACGTATATAGTACGGCATGTTAAAGGTTTTTCTCTCTCTCTCTGTCCAGAAACCTTCCACGTGCGATCTACATCTCTATCCCTCTGGTGACGCTCGTCTACACTCTCACCAACATTGCCTACTTCTCCTCCATGTCTCCTCAAGAGCTGCTGGAGTCGAATGCTGTGGCTGTGGTGAGTTTATCTGACCTCTTCTGCTTGAACGCCCGATCATCTCATAAGTTCTTTAATGGATCTGCATCTGTATTTGTGTGTTGTGTTGCAGACGTTCGGAGAGAAGCTGCTAGGGATGTTCTCCTGGGTGATGCCCATCTCTGTTGCACTTTCTACATTCGGAGGGATTAACGGATACCTGTTTACCTCTTCTAGGTAAACTAAATGACTACTGTAAAACTGGCTTAATTTAGCAGCCATTAATAGTGCCATTGTTTCCTTTTCCTCATGCAAATCCTGTGAGTTTAAAATCTCAGTTAAAACAGGACAAGTAGGCTGCAATGCGTGACCATGCATCTTCTGTTCACATCATTTTATAATACAAAATGTGGGATGTACAGATTATACATTAGTCATTGCCATGCTGAAGAGCCATAAGATTTGTCAATTTAAACTTTAAATCAGGGTATCTGCGGGGTCTTAAAAAGTTTTAAAATGTCTTAAATTTCAAAAGCAAAATCTTAGGCCTTAAAAAGTCTTAAATTCACGGAAATAATGTGTTGTAGGTCTTAAATAATTTTAAGCAGGTCTTAATTTTCCTATGTCAATGTAAAGCTATACCCAGTTGGGCCCGCACCCATCCAATCACTAACAATATATTTCAATAAAAGTTTCAAGAAAAGTTTATTTATTAACTCTATTTACTTATTAATATGGTTTAATTATCTTCCTTACAATAACATTTGCTTTTAATGTTTTTTAAGGTTTTGACTTTGCTATTAAAAAATCTTTAGCATTTAGCCTTGTGTAAGTCTAAAATTTCATTCATTATGCTCTTAAAAGTCTTACAAAGTCTTAAAGTTGACTTGATGAAACCTGAAGAAACCCTGTTAAATATAAGTTTTGTTAGTTTAATGTTTATGTTTGAAAAGAGGCAAAAAAAGTGGCTGAAAATAAGCATTCAATGAACGTTTATGCATTGTGTCATATCACTTGCCTCTTACTGTGATTTTTCGGGAGTGAAAGGATGCTAATCAACTTCAAAAATTCATCTGCTAATGAAGAGGATAATATTAAGTCCTAACGTGTTTTCATATATGTTATAACCACAAAATACAACTCTAAATACATTTCTGTCAGCCTCGTTTTGTCGAGTATAATTATAATTTAGCCTATATTTTAACCTCAACACAATTCTGGTGGCATTAAGATAGCTCAATCACTCTTGTTAGCTAAAATAAACCTCTCTACCACTTTACTTGAAACGGTTGCCATTTGATAAGGAATCTACTCAAATTGTTAAAATATTTTTTGACTGCTTAAGTAGGATTATTTTGCACGTGTGCATTTTAGAGTACATCACGCTGTCTCTGTGTATGTGTGCATGAAGCACTGACATGATTGTCAGAGCATGAGTTCATTAATATTCACAACCCTTCCAAATATGGTCAATAACCAACCAGATCATATTAGGGCCAATTAATAGGGTTGGAAATGGACGTGTAAAAACATTTCTGTAGAATTTGTTCACTTACCTAAGCCACATACCCTTTAAAGTATTGTATCAATACGTTTTATGGAACCTTTAAAACACAGTATTTACAGCATCAATGTTTATCATCCACAGGTTATGTTTCTCAGGGGCCAGAGAGGGCCACCTGCCGTACCTACTGGCCATGATCCACCTGAAGAGCTGCACACCCATCCCTGCCCTGATCGTTTGTGTGAGATTCACACACACAGCACATGCAACACTACACTGCTTTCATTCTACATGATTCGGTTGATCCTATTCGGGATTAAAGGGGGTCCAGAATGTTTTATGAGCTGAACACTGAAACCACATTCAGAGGTAATGGAAAACTCATGTGATCACATTGCATTTGTTGTATAAACACCAGCTAATCTTTCCTGATGTGGTCTGGACAGCAGCAAAACACTGCCTACTCGCCTGTCAGTCAACCACTGCTCTAAAACAGGGCTTTAACTTTTACAAGATAACATTAAACATAAAAACAATAGGCTGAAATATCCTGTTTATATATAAACAAAAATACTTCCCAGAACTAGATCTATATGCTTGAACATTCATTTAAACAGATCATGCACCTGTAAAATAAAGTTGAATGTCTTTTTCTGTTCTTCTTAGTGTACAGCAACCATAGTGATCCTGTGCATCGGGGACACACATAACCTGATAAACTACGTGTCTTTCATAAACTACCTCTCATATGGAGTCACTATAGCCGGGCTACTTTACTACAGATGGAAGAAACCCAACATGTTTAGACCCATTAAGGTACTTGACATCATCAGATGAATCTAGATTGACTGGTCACTGCTTTGCTTTTATTCACCTTCCTCGTATTCTTTCAATTTGCGCAGGTAAACCTGTTGGTGCCGTGCAGCTATCTGGTGTTCTGGGCTGTGCTGCTGGGCTTCAGTCTGTACTCGGAGCCAGTGGTGTGTGGGATGGGGCTGGTGATCATGCTCACTGGAGTCCCCATCTATTTCATTGGAGTGCAGTGGAAGAACAAACCACAGTGGATATACAGCGCAATTGGTAAGTGAGGCCAAGTTTTCTCCTGCTATTAAATCTTGTTTTAAGTCACATGTGTCAAATCCAGGTCCTGGAGGGCCGCAGCTCCGCACAGTTTAGCTTTGACCCTAATTAAATACACCTGATCCGACTAATTTAGTCCTTCGGGATTGTTTGGAATCTATAGGTAATGCAGAGTTCAGACTGCATGATTTTCAAATTAGTCGTGTCACGGATGTTTTCACACTGCATGACTATCTGGGCTAGCGTTTTGTCGCTGCTTTGTTTACACTGCAAGATGGATTGGCGAAAGGGGCTTTCACGTTGCATGTCTTTACAGTAGAAAGAATCGTCGACAACTTTGTCCAAACTACGTCCCACAGCCAAACACACGTAGTATATCTTTTATTATTAACTACATAATGGTAGTTTAATGGTGTAGAAAATTTACATATTTGCTCACCTGGGTTTGAAGGGAATTAGCAATTTCTCCTCAACTTTCTTTTTTAACTTTCTGTTTGAAACGTCAAAGAAACACAGGTACTCCTGTCAAACCTCCACTAATTTTTCCTCCATTTCTTGGGTCCAAATAAACCGAAAATGAGCGCTCCCCCAACCTCCCGCTGGCCTGCAGGTACACACACACACACACAAGTGAATGCTGCTCTCTTATTGGCTGTAGGCGATCGTCAATGTTATTTTCAGTCAAAACACATTTCAATGGGCATGATTCAAATCGCCAACAGCTCCAGATATTTAGCACGCCAAGATCTCACAGGCATCGGCGACTCATCAACGATTCTCTCAGATCGCATCTTTGATAGTTCATACTGTGTGATTGTCCATTACCTGCAGGAGCACCGATTTGGCAGTGATTTCAGGCATTTGTCTGCGATTTCTCAAAACCTGTCAGCGAGTCAAAATCGGTGCTAAAATCATGCAGTCTGAACTAGGCATAAGTGTGTTGAAGCATGGTTGCAACTAAACTGTGCAGAGCTGCGGCCCTCCAGGAACTGAGTTTGACACCTGTGTTTTAAGTGATCTGATCTCAGGTACATCTTTTGTGGTCTTGTGTTTAGATTTCATTCAGCCACTTCGCTCATTTCGTCACGCTTTACTTTTGCAGGAGTGCTCAGTCCAAAGTATCAAAACTTTGTTTTAATGAGTATTAACACATAAAGGATTAGGTATTGTTTGGTTTTTTTATGATATTGGTGCCAAATCGATAGTAAATAATAATAATATTAATAATCATTTTATTTATAAACGGAACCTTTCTGGTCAACCAAGATCACCTAACAAGCATCACCAAACAGACCAAAACAACTGAATAAAACAATTAATAAAAAATAAAAGAATGGCAGACAAAATTTTAAATACATGAGAGGAGTTGAAGTACAAACATATCAAAGTATAAAGTAACATGGTAAAGTATAGTCATAGGAAAGCCTGCTTAAAAAAAATGGGTCTTAAGATGAGATTTAAAAATGTGAAGACTATTACTCCTTATGTCCAGGGGATGAAAGTTCCATAGCTGAGGAACCGTAGAGCTAAAAGATCAGTCTCCTATTGTGCTTAATTAAGTGCGAGGTGGCACCAGGGAGAAGGTGTGAGAAGGTGAAAAGAAAGAGAGAAGTCATATTTTTAAGTCAATACAATACCGGAAGCCCAGTGAAGCTGATTGAGAAGTGGTATGACATGCTCGTGAGATGAAGTCCTAGAAATTACATGAGCTGCATGAATCTGAACTAGGGTTGGGTTGATAGATGAAGCCATGGTCCATCGGCGATGGCCGATAAACATCATGGTCAAGTTGAGACCGCATCGCAATCCTCCGCTCCACCCCCGTCCCAGCAGCAACCCGCTTGTGAAAATACACAATTAGGCCCCGTTTACACTAATACGTCTTAGTTTTAAAATAATATGACCTAAAAGATCCACATTCACACTGGCATATCAGCTAGCATTTCTGAAAAGCCCTCCTTCCACACTATACCGCTGAAAATGCACATCACGTGACCACACACAAGCACACAGAGGCTTGCGCTGCAGCAAATATGTGCACGTCTGAGCTTCAGGCAGTCAGAGGGTGCTTTGAGCACAAAACCCCAGAGAGCAGTGCACGTCAGACAGTTTGTCAAGGATGTACTGCTGGATCTCGGCTCACTATAGTCGTTGAAAGTAATATTTAATTTGTCTCTATTTAAAAGTAATTGACCGGTGGTAATTTGTGTGTTACTTATCTTTATTTATGATTTGGTTATGGATAAAACAAAGACCATGCGGGTCAGGTAGTTAAAACGGTAGGCTACAAATAATTAATTTGTTATGAATTAATTAATTATTCATAAATAATTAATTTACCGCCGCCTATGACGACAATGCCATCGTCCATCGCCCTGTTTCACATTAGACATCGTATGATGCCAAGTTGGTCAACATCCCCCAACCCTACTCTGAACCAGCTGGAGTTCATGGAGAAGTTTAGAGGGAAGCCCAGCGACAAGTGCATTACAGCGTTTAAGACGTGAAGTAACTAATGCATGATAGAATTGTCATAAGCTTGATTTCATACATTGTAAATTACAATAACTTGCCGTGTCTGTGCTTTCACAAAAGTTCTGATCAATAAAGATGTCTTTTTACTTATTTAAAGCAGATAGTGATTAACTAAGAACCAGCACGAACCATCAGACATGCTTAAAAAAATACCTAATCAACATTTCTTTGAACATTTTTTTTTCAACATTACTATCTTTTCTGGCTGTGAAACAAAAAATAGCCTGGTTTAGCGTTTGCATCTTGTGGACAATATGTGCAAAAACAAAATGCAGATGAAAGCTGAGAAAATTGGGATGCACGCATCCAGTATGGAGGTTAAACAATATACAAGTTTTGGTTATATTACTTACAAGCTACTGAAAAGCCGTCCTTCCACACTATACTGCTGAAAATACACATCACGTAACCATACACATACACACACAAAGAGAGGCATGCGCTGCAGCATGTGCACGTCTGAGCTTCAAGCAGTCAGAGGGTGCTTTGAGTACAAAACCCCAGAGAGCAGTGCACGTCGGACAGTTTATCAAGGATGTACTGCTGGATCTCGTCTCACTATAGTTCTTAAACGTAATATTTAATTTTTGTAAAATCAGCCCAAACCTCTGCTGTTTTGCTAGCCCTCTGCAACAAAATCCCATCTGACATCTGTAAATGTGTGTGTTTCAGAGAGAGTCACCTACCTGGGGCAGAAGATGTGTTACGTGGTCTTCCCTCAGGACGATCCTTCTGAAATCCAGCCTCTCACAGAGAAATCGGAGCTGTGAGCTTTAGCCAAGGACTCCTCACACTCCTATTTTGCAATAGCAAAGACCTGTTTCCATCCGTTATAGAGTGTTTTTTGATGCTGTACTTGAGGAGACTCTCCTCCGAGACTCAGCCATCACAGCAAAAGAAACTGAAGTTTTACATTTATCTCAGACATCACATTTCTTAGTTCTCCCCTCGCATACATTTGTCTGGACATCAGCTTGTGTCTGAACGCACCCTCCTCTGTTCCTGTTTGAGATGAATTCCTGTTTTCTCTGGGAGTTGTTTTTGAGAACTGTTGGTGTATTCTCATGTGCCTTACAGGATCTCACTCCGTTATTGAAGTTTTTATTGTCAAGTAGACAGTTTTTTTTTAATTAGCAATCTCCTGTGAGTAAACAAAGGGGACTTGTTGAAGCTTCATAACCCAGAAATCTAAACACCATCTGTGAGTCTGAACTTTCTCACTTTATCCTTTTAATATTATTGACTTAAGCCCTCTTAAGTGCAATGCAATAACTTCTAGCTATGCTCAAAAAGTCTATGCAAGTATAGTTTAGGCACTTTAATGTAGTTGCGTACAGTACTTTTAGCTTATATTGCACAATAATTTTATTGCCATGCTTTCTGAATGAGCTCCAATCCTCAGCCACTGTTTAACAGAGGCTCTGCCCCAACAAACATTAGCACTGCCAGTGTCTTAGCCTTATGCTAATGACAGGAACAACAGGAGGTTCCTTCTTTTTAGGTAATGTTATTGACATAAAAGGTGCTTTAAATTTGAAAGAGTCCTCTTAGGTAGATACCTTCAACTGTTGTCCAAAAGAAGATGTGTTTCTTCAGCCATTTAGCGTCTTTTTTATATTAAATGCCGTCCATTTTGACAGGGATGCATTTATTTTATTTTGGGCACTGATCTTGGACATTCCTCTGAGCTATGCAACAGCGATGATCTCAATCTCTTCATTTCAAACTGATCACTCGTGTCCATCCAAACACATTCGGAGATACTAGACTCGTGATTAGCAGCTAATGCACTTACACGCCACTTGAGCGCCCTCTCCTGGTGCAATCTTTCTATAAACGATAATACGCTCAGTACAGCCAGTGCTGCTCATCTCTTCCCATGGGTCCAGCTCAGTCATGTCCGTCAGACTAGCAGTGTTCAAGCTCTCACTGCCCATAGTGGCAAAGCACAGTACAGTGAAATCTTAATGTAAATACTGCATAAAGTTTCAAATACATCAGGGATTCATTGTGAGATTGCATTCCTGACATTAGTGAAGCGTGAGGCGTTTGTATTAAATATTCATTCGTTCCTATTGTATGCACTATAGATATGTATGCTGATATACTTGTGTTTTGTAAAAAAAAAAAGGTTAAAATATGTTTATCAATAACAATATTAGCACATTAAATTTAATTCTGGAAATGATGGATTGTATTTGTGTGTTATTGCAGTATGTGTGTGTGTGTGTGTGTGTGTTTGAGAAAAAACAATAACAACTCTAAAATCTGTTCAAATGAAATTTTGCATCTTTAGACTTTTTGCTTATGTAATATTACCCCTGGTCTATCTGCTAAAGGGTAAATTGCTCACATAAAGGAAGATTTTGTTATATAACAATGATTTAATCTGATCATAATAAAGAAATGTGCGTTTAATGCAAGGTACAAGTAAAAACAGGGGTAGCTTTTATACTTCCAGCAAATGAAATACATCAAAACCATTTCAAACATGATAGACATATTTACACCATGTTAAACGCAACCACAAATTACAATAAACAAACAAGATAGAGGTCAAAATGGGTGTTTTTCAGTGTCACAAAATTATGATGAAACACAAATAAAATATGATTTATGGTTTCAAGCTTGCTGATTAATCGCTAAAACTGGACATATTTGCCTTTACGTTGTGAATTTTAAAGGGTGGATTTCAGCAATAGAAATCTGGAGTTTTGCATGAGTGCAGAAAAGGTTCAAGCGTTTTCACTCATGCTGAAGATGAATCGCCACATCAATCATCAGAAAATAGCTTCTTTTAAAAATAGCTTCTCTATAAGCAATGCTTTGTGCACTGAAAAAATGGATTTTAGTTTGCCTAAACTGGGTTAAGATGTCCAAAAGATGTAATGAAGATTTTTAGTTTTATTTACCCTCAGGACATCCAAGATGTAAGGGATTTTTTTTCTTTCAAGACATTTTTGCTCAAACTGTGATCCTTGGGGATTAATGAAATACCAGTTAATGGTGACCAGCACTTTGGGCTCAAAACACACAGAAAAAAAAAGATCTCTGCAAAACTGTTGCAAACAATTTATATGGGATGAATTTAAACAAATGAAATTTAGGAATTTTCAACTTAATTTGTCTGTTTAAATTCAGCCCAAATTAATTGTTTACACGCAGTCAACAAAAAAAAAAAAAAAAAAAATCCAAAAGGAATAAAAAAATCCAAGGAGAATCATCTTTGAATTGTTTTTTTTTTCAGCGCATATACAGGCATAACAAAACTATTCCCCATGGCCCCTGAGATCTTATGAAACATACCAATCACTCTTTCCAAAAACTACATGAGCTGATGCAGTTTACTTCTCACCCTTTTTGTTCAGAAGAGCCCTATTTTAACATTTATAATTCACAATACCCCTCTCTTAAAAAACCACCAGACAACAATTAAAAACATGTTGTTTTTAATAATCACTAATAAAACAATGGCTAGTCTTTAAATGAAAGGTGCTTTATGTAATTTCTTCACTCTTCTTAAAATTCCATTAAATGCAGAAATCATGCTAAGTGAACATTTGTTTATCCTTGTTATTTTAATGTAGTGTTTTTTTAGTTTGAAATGTGCAATAGTGTATAAAAGCTCAGTCAAACATTCACTTTTAAGTGAACAAAACTGCAGACAGCCTGAATGAAAATGTAAATTCACTTTTAGCCAGCAGGTGGCGCTTACAGAAAGGCAGAAATGCATGATGAAATAAGCTGGCAGGTAATTACCTCAGGTATTTCAATCATTCATTTTCCTTAGGCTTAGTCCCTTATTTATCAGGGGTCACCACAGTGCAGTGAACCAACAACTATTCCTTCATATGTGTTACGCAGCGGATGCCCTTCCAGCCACAACCCACTACTCGTAAACACCCATACATATTCACACACTCACTGTGCCGCCTCAGGTATTTCAAGTAGCTTTAATTAAATAGACTTTTAATGATTAAATGAAACTGTAAAATTAACTGTTGACATGTTTTATCGTCAAATCGGTATCGGTTCTGTTTGTTAATGCATCAAGCTATAGTGTCTACTCGTGGATGCATTTGTTGTACTCTTCATCAAAATGAAAATTTTTCATGTTGTTGTTCAGGAATCATTCATTCATTCATTTTCTTTTCAGCTTAGTCCCTTTATTAATCCAGGGTCGCTGCAGTGAAATGAACCGCCAACTTATCCAGCACAGCGGATGCCCTTCTATCTGCAACCCATCTCTGGGAAACATCCATTCACACTCATACACTATGGACAATTTAGCATACCCAATTCACCTATTCCGCATGTCTTTGGACTGTGGGGGAAACTGGAGCTCCTGGAGGAAACCCACGCAAATGCAGGGAGAACAAGCAAACTCCACACAGAAACGCCAACTGACCCAGCCGAGGCTCGAACCAGCGACTTCCTTGCTGTGAGTCGACAGCACTACCTACTGCGCCACTGTGACGCCTGTTCAGGAATCTGTCATACAAAAACAAACATTAGTTATCTGTGAATTTTCCAAACTTGCATGATAATAATTATCAAGGACCACTTCCTCAGCTATTTAATGTTCTTCTTAATATTGTCTGAGGGTAAATAAGCTGCAAATTTTCATTTCAGATTGATCTAAAAAAATGTATTCGTAATACATGTAAAATATAAAGAAAAATTATGTAATCTTCAGCCATTTCAGTTTAATTCCAAAACTGAGAAAACAGAAAGACTTTTCTATTGGCACTGAATCGAAATGCTTCACACCGTATTGGCAATTCTTTCAAATCTCTAAAATGGCACGTTTGTTGAACCTACAGGATTCTGCAGTCTGAAGAGGAGAATGAGGACGTGTGAACTAACAGGCAGACGGCCAGCAGACACAATGAGATGCAGGAACACACTGACCCTTCAGAGACGGGACCGGCTTTTTTTTTTTGATTACTTATTTTCAAGCTTGGAACTGGACAAAATGTGCTAAAGCCATGGGTATGAGCTACAGCACAGAACATACTGTCCATACATTCATGGAAATGAGAATAACATAATCTTACTGGCAAAAAAAATTAAAAAATCCCTCAGGTGTCAAAGAAATCTGTGTTGGCTGATATGACGGAACATACACGCCAGCAGGTATGAGCTCAAAAACAAATGTGATATTAAGTTATTTTCCTATGAAGTGAGACAACAGCACTGCTAGCAGCTGTTAACTAGAACATCCAGGTTAACCGCTTCATTAAACAATCCCTGAGTTCTGCTTCCCTCAAAAAAGACCCGCTATATCTTTGTAATAGGGGAAAGCTTAAATTAGTCTGGTAGCCATTCACAGACTAGTATGTTAATTTTTTTTAATTCCAAAGGAGCTGCTTTTCCTGTTCTTTTATGTGCTCTAGATCGACACATTTGACCAATGCATTTTCACACAGATTATGATCTAACAATGCAACAAAAGCAAGCAGTTTAATGTTTTTTAAAGGGCACCTATTTTGCCGCTTTTCAAAGATTTAAGATGTGTCTTTTGTGTCTCCAGAATGTGTCTGTAAAGTTTCATCTCAACACACATCAGATTATTTATTAGACCTTTCAGAATATTGGCATTTTCAGCTCTGAGCACAATGTAGCTGATTTTGTGGCCTGTGCCTTTAATGCAAATAAGCTAGTTTTTTCCCTCCCACCATTCCCACATGACTGTCAGAGCCACAGAGATCTCTCCCTATGGCTATGATGTGTGTCTCTGCGTCTGCATCAGATAAACAGCACAGTGACAGACATGAAGGAAGCAGATCTCACGTAACGTTTGCGAGAAATCCCACAGTAAGAACTACTAAATAAATCTAATTTAACGTCCACAAACTGGGATTAAAGCGTCTTCTTTTATAATTATACTGACATAAGGCTGTGGTGATAAAGAAAAGACGGTAAAATCGCTGTAATTCATTACAAACATGCACTGTTCTAAAATCATTTTAAACTTGTAAAACTCATTCTTGAACACATTTGATGATGACTGATAATCCCAGAGAGCTGAACAGAGCTTTTAATCCCAGTTGCTTTGTGCATGTTCTGTCTTGTTGATATGATTATACGCGTTACTACGGAGACATGTTAATACGCGGCTGTCAATCAATTCAGTGGGTTGGGAAACCGCACTACAACGTCACGTTGCGGTGGGCATCAAAATGGGAGGGATTTGGATCCTATTTTAAATCAGAGAATTAAAGAGACTTATTGTCTTTATATCGCTCCAATATGACTGTGGACACTATACCTACACATAGTTCTGTCCCATAAGCTTACAAAAGCTGATTTTCATCATAGGTGCCCTTTAAACTACAAATGCGTATCTAGACTGTGTTTTTTCCTTCCATTGCCTTGTATCTGACTTTAACCACAAAAACACAATCTTTGTGAATCAACCTTAAAAAAAACTCTTTTGTTACAAAAACAATCGTCAATCAAAGAGCTCCAGTTGTCTATGGATATAAAATTGCACATGACCATTCAAAGGCATCGGGTCAGTATGATTGATGAAGTGACAGAGAAAAATAATCATTTATGGAAATAAAGCTGTTTTGAACCTTCTATTCGTTTAAAAATATCTTAAATAACAATGTTTTCAACATTAAAAAAATGAAACATTTGCAGCAGCCAATCAGCAAGAAGAGAATGATTTCTGAAGGTATGCGTGACATCCATGACTAGAGGAATGATGCTGACTAATCAGCTTATCCATTTACTAAATTACATTGTACAATATTTTAATTATTATCATAAATAATATAACCAATTTTACTGTATTATTGATCAAAAAATAAATGCAGCATGTGTGCGCAAAAGAGACTTCTTTAAAAAAACACTAAAATCCTTTCCTGACCCCAAACATTTGAATAGTAGTGCACCCAAATGAAAAAACTTTTTATAGTTTTCATTTATAGTAAATACTATAGTGATTTTGAACCATAACGTGTTTTACACTGTATATATTACAGAATTTATAACACTTTGGCAATGGAGGCTTATATCGTGCTGTAGTATAAACCAGTGGTTCCCAACCTTGTTTTGCCAGAGACCCCCTTTCCCCAGAAAATATTGTAAGGCCCCCCTCAATATCTAATGATTTTATTACTCATAAGTTTGCATTAAGGATGACAAAACATGTTGTTTTCAAACAAATGGTATGTTTTTACTATATCGAAAAATGTTAATGCACAAATAATAGCTTAATGTAAAATATAAAAGCAAAAAGCTTGCTGGGTCTAGTATGCTTGGGTTATCTGCTGAAGGCGAATCAGTGAGACTGTCATTTTTGTGGGGGACGAATTACAAATTTGTCTATTTTTTAGGTCAGCTAAGGGACAAAATGAACTAGGGCAACATGATCATTCTCTTAATTGTCCACTGCTAAAAACTTTTTAAAATATGACGTGACCCCCCAAAAAGCTCGCTGAGGCCCCTTTAAGGGGCCGGGACCCCCTGTTGGGAACCACTGGTATAAACTACACTGTAATAAAAAAAAAAAGTATTATTATTTTTACAAATTGAAGTGGATTGTATCTAAAACAATTAAGTTGTTTCAGCTCATTTTAAATAAGTAGTTTGAACAAACAGCAAGCATCAATTTTGGAGTGTATAATGAACTGACAAAGTGTAATAAATACTGTAGAAGGCTATAGGATTTATTTTGCTTTTACTGTAGTTTACCCTATAGTTGTATGCCAGTATTGGGTAATGTGTTTACATTGCTATACTACAGCAACTATAGAATTGCCGCAGCAGATTGATTCAAGTATGTTACTGGATCAAAACAGTATAGTATTATAGTAAATGAGTTACTGCAATGTTTTGTTATGTGGTTAGGTACATTTTAACAGCCAAAAACTCAATAACGCAGACTAAAGTGAAGCACAACCGACATCCAATCAGCCAGAACTGATTGGGTAAAGAATAAATCTGAAACAACAGGGTGGTTCAGATAAAAATGACTTGAGCACAGGAACATTTCCCTCTGCAGGCGACATGTGAATCTCTTATAAGGCATAAGGGAGGTGAGAAGAGCAGATCTCTGAAGTCTAGCAAACCTTCTGAAGCTCATGACAGAACGAGATGGATGAGAAGTAGAGATTCAGGCAAGATGAACCTGTGTGATATACATTCTGTGAAAGAAAATGCTTTTGTTCACTGCTAGTTCGTTCTGTATGCAGTACAGGTGCTGTAGCCACATTCTTGAGGTTTTTGGTGATTTCTAGCATGTGAACAATCACTGTGAGATTATCTGTTCCGGTACGGAAAGTGTCTGAGCTGAGGTCAAAAAATTGCATGAAAAGTCCCAATAACTCTGCAAGCACACAACAGTCCAAACGTTTGGGGTTAGTAAGATTTTTAGTTTCTTAAAGAAGCAACCTTCAGCTCACCAAGACTAAATTACTTGATTAAAAATGCATGACAATGAGTACTATCAAATTGATTTTATTTGTTATTTGAAAATCTTTTCAAATGTTATTTATTCCAGTGATGTCAAAGCTGATTGTTTAGTAGCCATTAATGCTGTATTTAGTTACACATCTTTTAGAATTCATTAATATCAAAGTCCCATTAAAGGGATAGTTCATCCAAAAATGTAAATTTACTATTACTCTCACTTGAGAGCATTCCAACCTTTTTGACTGTATTTCTTTTGCTAAACACAAAAGAAAATCAACTGAAGAAAGATGAAAACCTGTAACCAATAGTTACAGGATTCAGCTTTCTTCAAAATATCTGCTTTTGTCTTTAGATTTGGAACAAGTGAAGGGTGAAGACAAGTAATTTTGTTTATTGGCCATCTTTGAGAAATCTCTCCATCGACTATTTCAGTCATGCAAAACCAGCTAAAAAACTTCAAAGCTGTTCACCAAGTTTATGATGAATTATTTAGAAAGTGAGATGGTAAAACCATCTCGCATGTTGCAATTTCTGCCATTCGCAACTAATATGAGTGCACAGACTTTATATATTTGAAGCCGAGGTATAACTATGACTTGATGCTCAAGAACCATTATTAATTAATTTTTTCATGCAATATTTTTATGAAAATAAGGCTTTAAAATCAATGCAATGCATCCTTTTTCAGTGAAAAAAGCTTAATGAAAATAAGAATCGCTTTAACCCCAGACTTTTGAACGTTTGTGTACATGCCCTTTAAAAGATCAATTTCTGTCTGTCTGAATCAATAATCTGCCTTTTAAAACTCTAGCTTCATCCAGCATCAGCGCTCTGACATTCCCCAAAAATAAACCCAAAAAACAAAAGTGATGCGATGCTTAAAAAGTACTAAATAAATACTTCAAATGTTCCTGTACACACTGAGCCAAGTACACTTGAAAAGACAGATGGCTGAACTGAATAATAACTGCACATGTGAACAGAACTCCTGACTCTGGATGGAAGGCTGTTGGCTGAACCTGCTATGGCTCACTGTGTTGGCACAAAACAGGGAAGGTCAAAAAGGCTTCTCAGTGCACTAACAGAGCATCATCATCCTCCTCTTCCTCGCTAGCTGTGAGTCCGCAGAGCCTGACAGAGTCACCAGGAACATCTTCCACTCCTGAAGATTCCCTGCTGTGCCCACGATCATCCTTGTCCTTGTGTGCTTTTCTGAAAGCAGGACAGCTTCTCTGTTCCTCAGACTGACCGCTGGAGGACGTGGGCGACTCTGGAGAAGAAAGCGGTGAAATGCCCACAGACGTGTAGCGTAGGAGAGAGACTCCTCTGAGCTCCGCAGCCAGTTCTTGCACCAGCCGTCTTGACGACCTTGAGCGGCTTGCACTGCGTTTGGGTCTTTCTGAGGGTCCTGGAGAACTGTCAGCGTCTTTATGTTTTGCCAAAATGCCCTGTTTGCCCGCTGAACTCCTGTCGTCTTCATCATCTTCGTCCTCCAGGGTGTCAGAGGTGGAGTGGAGGGAGTTTGGTGAAGGCAGAGAGAGAGGAGACGCTGGAGACTCTCTGTCAGGCAGGCATAAGGCATCATTTTGGGCTTGTAATGCCAAACCCAGCGCCACCGCTGAACAAGATGGCGGAGTCTGTCCCGTGGTCTCTGGTGACTCTCGAACACTGTTGTCTGCTGTGTTGTAGCTGTGGAGGTTTAGCTCGGGGTATGTGTTTGCGTGTGTGTGACCAGGCGGTGTGAGGAGAGGGATTTGACCCCGTACTCGAGAGCCGCGGTGAAACAGTCGATTCCATAGGCGCCCAAGCCGACGGCGTGAAGAGGAGCGACGGGATGAGTGACGGCGAATCTGCCTCCGCATAGCCGAACGGAGATTCTGCAGAACAGATGCCTGAGAGAGAAAGAGAGAAAGAAAGAGAGAGAGAGAGAGAGACAGAGAGAGAGAGAGAAATAACACTTATTTAAGCCAGTTTTAGGCCAGTTTATCCATCATTCAGCCCTCCATATATATATATATATATATATATATATATATATATATATATATATATATATATATATATATATATATATATATATATATATAAATCAGTCATTAGAAATGAGTTATTAAAACTATTATGTTTAGAAATGTGTTGACAAAATCTTCTTTCCGTTAAACAGAAATTGGGGGAAAAAATAAACAGAGGGGCTAATAATTTTGACTTCAACTGTGTGTATGTATATATATATATATTTTTTTTTCTTTTTTTTTTGTATATTACTGTGTCTAATAATATTTGAATTATGTTGATATGACTTGACGATGAGTAAATTAAAAGCAAATATGATTTCTGTTGGGGGGTGAAGTATTGCTTGAAGTTCACAAGATGAAATCTAATAAGGCCACAATACACAGTAATTAGATGAAGATTTAAAAAAGGTATTAAACGTAGGCCTATCATGATATCTATTTTTGTCATACGATATATTGCACCAAAATATAACACGATAAATGTTATTATTGACATTTAAATGTCACTAATTATGTGATGCCAGAATGACAATATAATAGCATCACAATGCAAGTACACTCTTCCAAAGGACACATATTATTTATTCTACGGAATATTTAATTTAATTATAGACATTTTTACAATTTAATAATTAAACACCGAAATCAGAATGTGAAAACACACATCCTAAATACATAATATTAAATGTTAACAAAAAAAGTGCAAGGTAAAAAAGTACTAGAGGCTGTGATATCTGCTACCAGATCTATTTAGTTAAGTTATAATAGTTATAGTTATTGGAACAAAATATCACGATATTGTTTCTGTATATATATATATTTATATACATACATACATACATACATATGTATATATATATATATAAAAAATATAAAAATTATAATATATAAATATATATAATATATATAAAATAATAAAAATTTATACAAAAACTACTATTTTGCATAATTATTCAGCTGTCAGGCACCCACATGAGAATATACTAAAGTAATTTATCGCAAATAATATAGTGTTTTTAAACCATGACACTGACACCTCCTATAGATAGAGTTGTCGCACAATCAGCTAAAATGTTGGTAGAATTGGTTATGTATGGGCAGTTTATATTGTATCATCAAAAAAGATTGAGGTCGTGTCCATGTGTTGTGTGATAAGTCAATATATTAATTATTGTGACAGGCCTAATTACAAGTAACCTAGTTTTACCCTGGTCTATAAATGCCTTAAATATTATAATAAAAGATACAATGGCCAAAATAAAGGTATTAAATATAAAGAAAAGAGTAAGAATCTGTATTTATTATTACCCGGAAAGATCCAAAACATATAAATTTTCTCTGAACTTTTTAAACTATTATTCAACATTTGCCATCCTTGTAAAAAAATAAAAACACTTTACGCAGTTATAAAAGTTTTTATTCATTCATTCATTTTCTTTTCAACTTAGTCCCTTTATTAATCCAGGGTCGCCACAGTGGAATGAACCACCAACTTATCCAGCACATGTTTTATGCAGCGGATGCCCTTCCAGCTGCAACCCATCTCTGGGAAACATTCATACACACTCACACACTACAAACAATTTAGCCTACCCAATTCACCTGTACCGCATGTCTTTGGACTGTCTGGGAAACTCAAGCACCTGAAGGAAACCCACGCAAATGCAGGGAGAACATGCAAACTCCACACAGAGCCACTGCGTCGCTGTTATAAGAGTTTTTTTATTTTAATTTCTTTTAATTGTACTTAAACTAGGGGCGGCACAGTGACTCAGTAGCTAGCACTGTCGCCTCACAGCAAGAAGGTTGCGGGTTCAAGTCCAGGCGCTATAAGTAAATTGAATAAACTAAATTGGCAGTAGTGTATGTGTGTGATAGAGTGTGTTCTCCAGTATTTCCAGGGTTGCAGATGGAAGGGAATGTGTAAAACTTATGCTGGATAAGTTGCCGGTTCATTCTGCTGTGGTGACCCCTGATGAATAAAGGGACTTTGTCAAAGGAAAATAAAAGAATTAATGAATGAACGTACTTTATCTAGAACCTGAACTGCGATCCTGTTTGCTAGCTCAGCTGTAAACCAATGACACACCTGTGTGGGGTTGTAGACTGGGAAGTCGTCCACTGGAGGAATGAGACCTTGAGCAATTAGCTGACCATATGAGGGTGGAGCTTCCCTCTGAACAAATTCCGCCTCTAGCCTGGTCATCTGGGTTTCAAAAGCTCTATGAGAAAGAGGAAGATAACAAGAGCTGTTTTATGAAGATGCTGACTGCTCTTGTTTAAAGCTGTAACAGAAACTGTGACTTTGTATGAAATTAAAGCGATTCACAGGCAGTCTCTCTAGAGCATTCCAGTAGCTGTTACTTATCCAGCACATCTCTGACAGTTTGATGAAGTGCAGGTATTTCGGGTCCTGCTGTGTCTTTACAAGGCTAACTGGAGGAAAACTGTGCGTCACCACTTGAGCATCATGTGGGTCATTACTGCACATCCATTTACGCTTAAAGAGATATGAGAGAGTGAATCATCCCTCCACTTTCTTTCTTTTTCTCTTGGAGAACTTACGCTTTTCTATCTTTGAGCAATAGGTTTCAAGATAAAGCACTCTGTCGTTTCTCACTGACTATATGTGTCTGTCTAAATAGGAGACAAAATCAAGACTCATGTATGTATTTTTTGGTAAATAGCATATGAACACTACTACACTACTCATTTTTTATATATTTTCTTTAAAAGTATTCTGAAAAGTGTCAGATGGTTTCCACAAAAATATTACATTAACATATTTTAAATGTCTGATGATTCATGTGAAGTGGATGACTGGAGGGATGATGCTGGAAATGCAGCCGATAGTTAATAGTTATAATATAGTATAATAACAGTTATAATAGTTATAGTTATTGAAAATTATTGAAAAAGTATGAAAAATTAATACAAAAAGTATTTTGCATGTTTGTGACTGTCAGATAAATATCAAAAAACCAAAGAATCATTAAAGCAATGACCAAGAATGGATTGTATTCGGCAAACGGATTTTTGTTTTGTGCCAAAAACCACTTGAATATGAAGTAAAGATCATGTTACAAGAACATATTTTGCAAATTTCCTTTGGTAAAAATATCAAAACTCAATAGTAATATTATCACTAGTAATGTACATTGCTAAGCACTTCATATAGAGAATTTATAGATGATTTTCTCAGTTTTTAGAATTTTTTTTTTTAGCCTTCAGATTGCAGATTTTCAAATATTGTCAAATCTAAACACAGGGAAGTTTACTTATTTAGTTTTCAAGTGATGTATAAAATTAAATAAAAAAACAACCAATGACTGGTTTTGTGGTCACATATATATCAATTTATTAAGACAACAATTAAGATATAACAATAATAATAATAACAGTGATTAACAATGAAAAAAGTAGAATTAAAAAATAATTAAAAAGACAAATGATTAAAGTAAAGCATCCTATGAAGTAAAAAAAACATTTCCTCATTTGATCTGGCTTTGGGTTTTCACATATATATTAATTTATTAAGATAACAATTCAGATATAATAATAACAATAATAATAGTGATGCTTCGGGTGCTCCGGTTTCCCCCACAGTAAAAAAAGCAATGTGGTAGAGGTGAATTGAAAAAACTAAATTAGCCGTAGTGTATGTGTGTGAGTGAGAGTTTATGGATGTTTCCCAGTACTGTGTTGCAGCTGGAAGGGCATCCACTGTGTAAAACATATGCTGGATAAGTTGTCATTATCCTGTGGTGAATAAAGGGTCTAAACCGGAGGAAAATGAATGAATGAGTAAAACAATGAAAATAATGACAAATAATTGGTATAAAGCATCTTATGAAGTAAAAAAGTGATTATTCCACAGTTCCTGATTTGATCTGGCTGGTTGATGGAATGATGGAAAAGTCCTCACCTGTACTCTCTTGTCCTGAGCGAGTAGAGTTTAAAGGCACAACCCAGTGCAATGACCAGCAGCAGCCCACAGACCAAACTGCCAATCAGAGCCGCTGTGATGACCTTCCTGGGCACAGAAGCCAGACAATCTCTTTCGTCACTGCCGTCCATACAGTCCTCCTGCCCGTCGCAGCGCCACGTCTCAAAGATGCACAGGTTGGTTCCGCAGTGGAAGTTTCCAGGCTGGCAGTCAAAGCAGTTCTTCTCATCGGAGCCGTCGGGACACTTCTTCTGATTGTTACACCTCTCAGAAGCGGAGTAACATGCCCCGCTGCCACCCTCGCATGGGTACTCACCCGGCTGGCACAGCGGGCAGGCCTCCTCATCTCGACCACCAGGACAATGCCAGTATCCGTCACAGCGCTGCAGATCAGAGTAGCAGCCCTCATCTGTGCCACACGGATGCTCACCGGGAAAACAGTAGCCCTTCACCTGCAGACAGAGCATCAACTTGATCAGTGGCACAGTGTGTGTTAGCTGACTTTTGATGGCGTGGGTTTTCTGATGGATGTCCGCTCCAGGAAGGAGTAACACATATAAATACCTATATCTTTATGATTATTAATAAAGTTGAATGTTTAAGAGACTAGATAATATGATCAATTCAGTGTCTTCCCACTTCAGAGTAAAGCTGGAATAATATTTGTCATTGCTTTTTCTGTATGCCAAATGATTTGTTTAATCAGGATCTACGCAGCCAGGTTAGAGGTCATATAGAGACCTCTTAAGTGGACCTGGAATCTTGAAGAATCGGAAACAACTTTTTTCTGAGTTGTTTACCATTTTATGTGTTAAATCATTTAACGTTAATTCTTTTGTATGTCAGCTGCCAGTTGCTGTACACTCAGCCTTGGGTAAGAAACAGGTTGCACTTTATGTGTGTTATATTCATTTGTGGATCATTTCACAAGTCTGGGGTCAGCTTTTAACATTTATATGCTTGTCTGACGTTTATATGCATGAGGTATTGTTCAGAATTGTATGCATGCACCCACGTGGACATTTTCTTAGTCTATCTGTGCTTTAACCAATCAGGTTAAAACACCTATATGTGTGATGCAGTTAATGACGTTATGTAAGAGTATAAATGTTGCTGTTTTGAGATTGTAAGTGGAGCGACCTACTAACTAGTGTTGAAGTAGACTTCTGCTGCTGAAACTGCAAACTATCTTCAGTAAACCTGATTTTTAATTGAATCTGGTCGTTTTGGGTTCAAACTGTACAGTATGCCAACAGTTTCAGCAAATCCAGAATTTGGTAAGAATAAAAAAAGCCTCTTATGCTTACTAAAGCTGTTATCTTTGGGAAAATCTTTTTTTTATTCTCACAAATATTATTTCAAATATTATTATTTCACTCAAATATTATTAATTTCTGTTTTATCTATTTGCTTAAGATGTCAATCTACTACAGTATATAAACAACCTGTTATTTTTGCAACTCAAACCTTCATCATCATTTAAAAACAACAGACGGACCTCAAACCTTTGAATAGCACTTTTACATGCACTTTAAAACCACTCAAAGCAAGAATTTGACTTTTTACAACGTCAAGCAATAGTGAAGAAAATCTAAATAACCCAGGTGTGAGTAAAAACCTACATTTGATCAGTACTTAAATATTATTTAAAACAAAAGCCTTTTGTAAAATAAAAAAGTAAAAGTTTATACTAACACTTCAGTTTAATTTGTACTTTGGGTGAAAAATGTACTATAAAATGAATGAAATGCATCATTCTCTGTGCATTCTCATATGTTTTTTTTTACTTTAAAACTTGTATGCACTATTGTTGTTGTTTGTACTGTAGATCAGCCTGACGGTGAGGATCAGTCATCTGCTCTGTATGTTTTTTTTGTTATATTATACTATTTATTGTTTAGGATTATTTTTATTGAAACTGTAGAGCCAATGCTACGAAATTTTGTTCTGTGTATACAGTTGAAGTGAGAATTATTAGCCCCTGAATTATTAGCCCCCCCTGTTTATTTTTCCCCAATTTCTGTTTAACGGAGAGCAGATTTTTTTCAACACATTTCTAAACATAACAATTTCAATAACTCATCTCTAATAACTGATTTATTTTATCTTTGCCATGATGACAGTAAAGAATATTTGACTAGATATTTGCAAGATATATTTTCAAAATATTTTTATAGATATATTTCAAGACACTTCTATACAGCTTAAAGTGACATTTAAAGGCTTAACTAGGTTAATGAGGTTAACTAGGCAGGTTAGGGTAATTAGGCAAATTATTGTATTACAGTGGTTTGTTCTGTAGACAGTCAAAAAGTATAGCTAATAAGGGGGTTAATAAATTCGCCCTTAAAATGTAAAAAAAAAAAAAAATTAAACGGCTTTTATTCTAGCCCAAATAAAACAAACATTGGAGGCTAATAATTCTGATGTACTGTACGTACATGTGAATGACAATAAAGTACTTGGAATCATTTTACAATGCAGTTAAAAAAAGTTTTTAGGTGGAAACCTCTATTCCCCTATAATCACATTGCACACAGTCAACCAATGATATTAGAAATGAAAGTGAAAGTGTTTTCTAGTTTATTGTAAAGTTCATGCAAGCATATACATACAGAAAGACCTTCATAATATCTTCAAACTGGGCCTAAAAAAAATAAGCTTGTATAGTACTGGAGGAAAATACAATGCAGATTTTAAAACTGGAGCAAGTAAGGTATAGTTCACACCAAATCAAAGTTCTGCCATCATCCAATCCTGTATGAGTTTCAGTAGAAGTCTGAAGTAGAACTGTGAAAGTCAAAGCCTACTGTCAACTGGCTGGTTACAGATGTTCTCCAAACTTTTCTCTTTTAAATCTCATCCAGTTTTGGAACCACTTTAGTGCGAGTTAACTTTTCATTTTCTTAACCCCAGAAAGCATATGAGAATGAGATACCTGATAGGTGGCATTGAATCCATGTCCGGGGCTGTGTGGTTTAGCGTGGTAGAAGATGCTCATCTGGCCCTGGGAAGACTCCAGCAGGGCTCGTCTGTGGTTATTATGGTGAGAAAGACTCTGCAGCAGCCGTTCTGCCTGCTCTCCCAAACCATCATAAACTCGTACAGAGTCTCCAACACCCAGCTGTAGATCCACCTGCAGCACCAGCGGCTTTGGGTCCTGAAGCAAGCAGAACACTCTTTAATTAATTCAGACATACTTTAATTATTAAACTTCAGGCCAGAATCTGTTTAAATTAAAACAGAACTAAGTGTATTTTAAAGTGAATTAAAACTGTTACAATGGTGCAATTTCTTTTTTAATTCTAAAGAGACCAAAATTAGCCATGTGCAAGTAAACGCTCATTGTATTTGTTTATGTTCTGTGATTCCACCCATAGCATGACAGTTGCTTTGTGTGCTTGTGCCTTTCTTTGTAGCTGTCATTTTATTATTTTATCATTTTGCACAACAACAAAGGACATATCTGTATCTATGTCTTTTGTGTGTTTTTTTCTGAAAAAAATGGTCATCTTTGAGCAAATCTCAATTAGACATCTCTGCAGCAGGTTAACCCACAATTCGTTCTGAGAGACTAAACTGTTTTTTTTTTTTCATGGAATGTACGTAGTAACATCCTATACTGCAATAAAGCCTGGTCGGTAGTATCAGATTGCTTCTTGTGACATGCAAAATTTTCAAGCAGGCTGAGACCACCTCATTTCAGCAATCGCACACTGACAACTGTACATGAACATCAGTAATCAAATGATTTGCCTTAATCTGAATAAGACAATAGTATGATTAAGGTGTTTACATGAGTTGCTTTTTGAATGTTCCTTTCATGATCCCGGTTTACATGTTATAGCACAAAATTCCATTAACATCATTGCGTCACCATGCTATCCACATTTACTCTGGAGTTTCATGTAATTTCGGGTGTTTTACATTTAATTTGTTGACTTTAACTGCAGTTTGGCACTTTCACTTTTATTCAGCACCATTTCATGCATGCCCCTCGTGACAAACGAGATATTGGATACAAGCATGACCAGCTGAAGAGTGTTGTTTTAATGGTGTTTGATACCACACGCCGTATGGGAAACGACATCTGCATTTCATGATGCAGGTGTCTGTGGTTTTCACTGACTACAGCTTATGACAGAATTTCAGCTAACTTATATTCTGAGTATTAGCAACAATATATATATATTATAAATTATTATATATATAGAAATAATAATAATAATAATAATAATAATAATAATGACAAACAAAAACATCTAAAAAACATTAACTGCAGTATGATTAGATATTAATAATTAATTTTCCTATGCATTCCTCAATAAGATAGTTTTTCAGAAATTAAATGCTAAAGTTTCACACTCTCCAAAACAAATATGTAACTTAAATCTACAGCAGAATAACATCAATATGTTTGAAGTAAATGGCATAAATATCAATTGTCAAAAAAACAGACATCACTTTTGACCATTACGGTAATAATTTTGTTATTACACATGGTGGCTCTGTGGTTAGCACAGTCACCTTATAGCAGGAAGGTCACTGGTTTGAGTACCGGCTGGTTAAGTGGCATTTCTGGGGTTTCTAGGTTTCCTCAGGGTGTTTCAATTTCCCCCACAGCCCAAAGAGATGTGCTATAGGTGAATTGAATAAACTAAATTTGCTGTATTGTACGTGTGTGAACGAATGTGTATGGATGTTTCCCAGTACCAGGTTGCAGCTGGAAGGGCATCTGCAGTGTAAAACATATGCTGGATAAGTTGGCGGTTCATTCCGCTGTGGCGACCCCTGATGAATAATGGGACTAAGCCGAAGGAAAATGAATAAATGAATGAATGAAAAAACTGCAATAATTCAGTGTCTGGAAAAATTATTCAACCGAAAGCTTTTAACTTTACAGATATGTGTAAAATGTGATTGACTGAGGTTCTCGTCATACTTTTGTGTCCAGGAACCACGTGCAGTGAAGATCTGTGCCGGTGCTCCTGTTCGGACGGAAGAAATCAGGGGAAGCAAATGTCCCATAGAAGTTGACCAAGCGTTTTCCACAGGATGTGTCCGGGCAGCGGGCCTCATCAGATCCGTCAGGACAGTCCCGGGCCCCGTTACAGCGCAGAGACCCTGGCAGGCAGCGGGTAGACTGCACATCAGAGCATTGTAAGGTGCCTGGTGGACACAGGCTCGCCCGGGCGGGCGTTGGTGGGGCGACACAGTTCCTCTCATCTGTATTATCTCCACATTCATCCAATCCATTACAGCGCCAGGAACGTGGAACACACTTGCCGTTTCCACATAAATATTCATCCTTCTCACAGCTACTCTGACCCAGACGACCTAACAAGAAAAAAAAACACAAAGAGAGAAATGAGTGAGTCTGTTGCACACATAAACACTGACACTTTGCTGAGACACACCAATCAAATCTCGCCACTCTGCAGATGGTGTTTGCCTGCTGACAGCTTAACAAACACAGCCGTTCAGAATTATTGATTCAACTGCACCTCTGAGGAAAAGGCACAAACACAGCATTTCACCCCTCTCTCTCTCTCACTCACACACGCACACATACCCCGTGGAGTTGAGTAATAACAGCTAATTTTCTCCTTCATCTTCATTAGCTACAGATCAGATCTAACTAAATAATTAACAGCGGAGATCTGTCAAACTCACACTGATGCTAGTGCAATCCAAATACGCACATCGGTTTTGTGGCATATTATGTAACAAGTGCTGCAGAGCATTAGTGTTTCATCATGGCTCTATGGCCATATGCTATTGATCCGCTAAGACTGCATTTGCCTGGTCAATCTGTGCTCACAGTAAATCTATATGCCTCTGCGTGATTTAGTTGCTTTCTAATGTAAGAGCTAAACTGAATGCGATGAAACACAGTCATGTAGTTGGAATAGAGGACAGTTTTATGTATGTTAATAAAAGTTGTATTTTATAAAAATTCAAAATTAGGACTGAATAAATGAATGATGTTTTAAAAATCATTCTTTTCATACAAGTCCAACTTTTCTGCATTCAGATCACTAGACACACACAAGCAGTGCTATTTGGTATACTGCCAGGAATCAGTTATAAATGTGCACAAGCATACAAAAACCTCTTTTTCCTTGTTTTATTTCACAACAGCACAATGTGAAAAAAGCACTTTGTCAGCACTTTCCTCTCTTACACTCTTAACCCCACTTCTGTCTGCATGAGGGTCACATATTAAAGGATATTTCACCCTAAATTCACCATACTCACCATTAAAAGGATAGTTGACCCAAAACTGAAGATTCTGTCACCATTACCTCACCTTTTACTTGTTTCAAACCTGTTTTACCTTTTTTTCTGAGGTTGAACGATACACAGTAACTTGTAGGGTAATGTCTTTGGTTGTTGTAAACTTGAAAAGTAAATGCTGAAAAATTATTTAGACTTCTTTTGTATATTTATTTATATTGTAAGACAGCTGAACCGTTTTACAAAAGGTGTTAAATCAGCTGCACAAAGGGAGTGTCATGCTGAAAATCCTTTAAAAATTATAGATATAAAGATTTGACATTTATCGTGATAATTATCGCTATCGACTGGTATGAATAAAGTTATCATGAATTTTTTTTTGCCATATCGCACAGCCCTAGTCACAGCATAAATTCAATTTGAGAGCAATGGTAGAAGTAAAAAAAGAACATATTTTTACACACTTATCAAGACTTTAAGTTCAAAGTGAACATACGGGGCAGTAATTACAGCAGGTATTAACCCTGAACCAACCCTTAACTGGTGCAGTTACCTTAAATAACCCAGTACTGTCTTAGATAAGAGCTATTACTGTAGACAAAATTGCAACTGATATCCTATTAAAAAACTGGAATATCACACGATTTATTAAGTACTTTTAATAACACATGTTAGTTTAAGTGGGCCTATTATCCCCTTTTTACAAGATGTAAAAAAGTCTGTGATGTCAAAAAGAGTGTGTATGTGAAGTTTCAGTCCAAAATACCCCACAAATAATGTTTTATAACTCATTAAAACTGTCCATTTTAGACTTTGATCTAAATTGTGTCATTTTGGATACTGCCACTTTAAATTCAAATGAGATTGTGCTCTTTTTAAAAGAGGGCGGAGCTACAAAAAAGCCTGTGCATCAGCATAGTGTCAGATTCAAAACAGGACTAAAGTTATCTGTGCGGCAAAAACTCAAAATAAGAAAAGAAGCGTCTCAGAAAAAGGCAGTACAGTGGTCGCGGTGGTATTCGCGGGAGTTATATTCTAACAATTATTATAGATGTTGTAAGGCTGTGAAAGCCCTCACTACACACTTTATACACTTTTCTTGGACAGGCATTAACATTTTCACATTTTTCTCTCTTGTTTAAACGCTCTCAAAGTTCAAACCTTCCTAGAAAAATAAGTCTAGTATTATAGAATTAAGCCAAAGATTAAAACCGGTTGTCAGGTGCAAACATTCATCGCCGTCAGCAAAAGGTTTATAAAGCTTTTTAGCTTTGGCATCCAGCCAGTATAATGTTCTTTTTTCCTGCAGTCACTGATCCACAAAGCTAAAGCAGACTAAAGCACTGTTATTTAAAATAAAATGATTTAGATGGCGCAGCAGAAATAGAAACAGTGTCCTGAGTTGTAGCTGGGCACCACAGACAGCCGCTGACTTGCGTAGGAACTCACACTGCTAGCGATCAACGATTTAAGTTAAATTGGGATGCTGAACATATTCTGTACTGTACAGGAGACACGGAGGAGATTAATTGACAATGGTCTATAGCCAATCAGGACGCAGAACACAATGCGCTGTAAAAAAAAAACATTAAGTAAAAATAAGCATGTCAAATTGCACATAAACCAAATCCACGAACCTGCGAGGCCACGAAAAGTGAACTGTTTTACATAGAATGACCAATGTAGGCTATATTGAGACTACGGTGTTCATTTGTGTTTGCTAAATCTCCACATTTACAATCCTCTTAGTTGCTGGCATTATCTTCAGCAGGTCAAAACTCTAATAGCGGCTGCTTCTCACTCAGGGCTGTTTATGCTAATGAGTGAGAGATTGCCACTAATGGGCGGGACTTTCCTCTTCTGATAACATGTACAAAGAGAGAATGTCAATCAAAGTGTTTCTGCATACTGTTTTAATGAGGTGTGATTATCAAAAATAAAATAAATTAATGTTTACTATTAGAGGCTGGCCAATATTTTCATACACTGTTGCCACAAAACCGTATTTAAACACCATATAAAAGTGATTTTTGCATAATAGGCATAATTTTGCATAATTGTTGCATAACTTTTGCATGATTTTTAAACAAAAAAAATCAGCATAAACATTTTAGAAAAATGACAAATTACAGGAGAAACATGTTTTAAACTTGAGAATGAATAAAAAGTCACTTTAAACTGGCAAATATCAGTTAATAATGACATTTATTGGTGGACTCTAAAGGAAGATATCCCCATCTGAACTCTCACCTCGTATGTAGGACATTCTGAAGCCCTGTGCCTGACCGGAGCTGTTGGCGTGAGAGTGGAAGTAAACCCAAACTCTTCCTCTGGAGGAGATGAAGGGAGGAGGAAGAACAGACCCACAGAGGCGATACTCAGCTTTCCATGTGGGGCCGAGCAGCAGCCAGTCCCCCCTGCAGTCCCCTGTCTCCTCCAGGTCAAAACTGTGAAAACTGGACACAGCAAACAATGCTGGTTAATGCACAGGCTGGAGCTCTTACACTTAAGAAAACCTTTAGAATAGCATCATCAAATGAAAACAGACATGTCAAATCAGTTAGCGAATAGAACAATTAATGAAAATGAGAAATGAATGAGATCATTGACCACTGAAAATCTATCATCATTTACTCGCCATTTGCTTTCTTTTTTCTGTTTAAAACAAAAGAAGATACTTTGAAGAATGTTGGTAACCTCTGACTTACACAGAAGGGGAAAAAATATGGAAGTCAACAGCTCAACACACCTTTTTTGCTGTGAATTATGCCTTTATAAGTAAAAAACAAACAAACAAACAAAACGACTTTTATCCATAAAGAGCTTTGTTTACTTTTCTTACACTCATGTGATTCTTTTATGTGTTTTCCATTGCAGGGTTAAAGATAAACATCTTTAACAATAATTGTACTTTTATTTGTCGATTTTTTGATGTTAATAAAAAAAAACAAAAAAACATAAAACATACTTTAATAACACACACAGATTTTCCTTTAATGTGTTTTGTTTCCACGCAACAGAAATACACACGCACGCACGCACGCACGCACACACACACACACACACACGCACACACACAAACACGCACACACACTTACGAACAAGAGATAAAATCTTCGTCCAGTAGCATTACAGTAGAATGGTCTTTTTGCAGGCAATAACTTAACAACATTATATATCCACTGGACTGTTGTCTTTCTTATCTCTTCTTATCGCTCGCGGCTTGCTATATTCCCTCCAAATCTCACTTCTTATTCAGAGTCTCCTCTACTGTTTGTTTTACTGGAAGTTGTTTTATGATCATTTTAGTGGGCAGATGCAGACATGCTCATGACTTATTAGTACTTCAACATGACAATTTTGTGCTTGATTGGGTGATTTAATGCTTATTTGGGTGCTTAATTTATACCAAAAATATTTTACCTTATGTCTTATATTTTGTTACAGACATACAGTAATACCCTACAACTGTTTTGCAGCATATGAAATGTCCCAAATACTATTTTAACTGTCCAAAATGGGCAAAAAATGTTTTTACTGATAGTCAAAGCATGTTAAAATATGTGTGTATGTGTTATTAATGCATTAAAAGACAATCAGGAAAAAACTGCTGTGTTCAAAGCAGAAAAAAAGAGTTTTTCATTCTATTATACAAAGGTGACTTTATTGTGTTTTATGTAAATTCAGACAATGAGTGCAAATATATGGACATCATTTTTTCTCTAAAAGGGCATCATATCAAAAGATGACACTTAGGTCTTATTCTAATTAGGTTCCAATAAGGCCAAATAGCAAAGAGAAATAAAAAATGCATGTAAAAAACAGCTTGGACCTTAAGAGGTTAAAGCTAAATATAAAAAGAAAAAAATGGTAAAGCTAACTTTTATAAAGGGCAGAGTTCTGGTCTGTTATTGTGTAAATGCATGACTTTTTGAATTGTCAATGCAAATGCAAACCCAATACATAAACGGCAATCAAGCCAAAATTCTTTTTAATTTATATTAAAAAAAAAACTCACACATGCCTGGTCTGATGTTCTGTCATTTGGTTTGTCGTTATGTGTAATGTCATTAAAATACTGTTATTCAAATCTTGTTTGGCTGTCAATGAAACACACACATATAGACACAAACATTATGCAAAGCTTCTGAATATTTCAGACTGGGCTCAACAATCAGAATGACCCAATGGCCTGAGGCCAGTGTCAGAGACTTTTAGGCCAACTGGCAGAACTGTCACTTCACCTATCACCCAGTGCTGCACTGTCACAGAGTTTAATATTCAGTGACCACACAAGTGTTTTTATCCAGCTTCATTTAAATGCTTATTTTATATTTTGCTGATTTAAATGCACCTCCAATCTAACACAATCTGGCTGGCTGGCTGATACAGATGAGATTTTGATACAGCAATAATGACATCATGAATAAATCACTGGTTAACATCAAATTTCAGAAAGAAAAAAAAAACATATTTATGAGTCTACGGGCCAGATTTATCAGCTGCCTAGGCTAGTGCAAACCCTGTTCTGACACCTAGTGACATATTAACAGTATGGCTGACCTTATTTGCATGCATATTTGTTGAGTTTTACTTTCTGGCACAATATTTATGGAAGAGTATTTAAATGAATTATACATGGTAGCCACAGCCATGTCACCCTGCAGCCCAAGACCGGTTACTCACTGAAGCCAAGCAGGGCTGAGCCTGGTCAGTACCTGGATGGGAGACCACTAGGGAACACTAGGTTGCTGTTGGAAGTGGTGTTAGTGAGGCCAGCAGGGGGCGCTCAACCTGTGGTCTGTGTGAGTCCTAATGCCCCAGTAAAAGTGAAGGGGACACTACACTGTCAGTGGGCACCGTCTTTCGGATGAGACGTTAAACGGAGGTCCTGACTCTCTGTGGTCATTAAAAATCCCATGGCACTTCTCGTGAATGAGCAGGGGTGTAACCCTGGTGTCCTGGCCAAAGTCCCTCTATTGGCCCTTACGATCATGGCCTCCCAATCATCCCCTTCCACCGAATTGGCTCTATCACTGTCTCTCCACTCCACCAATAGCTGGTGTGTGGTGAGCGCACTGGCGCCGTTGTCCTGTGGCAGCCGTCGCATCATCCAAGTGGATGCTGCACACTGGTGGTTTGTGTTTATTCATTTATTTGTTTGTTTCTTTGCATCATAATTTGATCCTCAAAAAAGCGTCTTATTCCATTGTGCACTTTTGTTAATACAGTACATGCATAATTGTTGATATATGATCATTTCTAAATAACATCAATCTTATTAATTATTTTATTAATTTTGTAGATAATTCTTTTATAATTGATGTTTAATTGTGAAATATTGGAAGTGGAAACACCTTATATTCAGATGGGAGCCATTAATAGTCAGATTCTCTAAAATACAAGACTTGCACTGAAAACTCAACAATGATTAAAGCCAATGAGAAAGAAGTAAGAAAACCATGGTATTGCAAATATTTACCAAAACTTGCATGATTTGCCACCCAGGTCCATTCTGCCAAACTCAATACTACCAAGACAAAATTAACAGCTCTTTAGACACTTGCAAACTAATCAGAACATTCCAATCCCAGCTCTGTCCTCCTCTGCCACCTCCCACTTATCAGCTGATTATTTTCACTGACAAAACTGCAAAAAATTAAAGGTCCCAATCTATCTAAAATCAAACCACACCTTCAGAAGGAAAAACATTTTCCTCCTTCTTCCTCCTCACAGTGCAAGAAGCATCCAATTCTTTCTGGACATCCCACAACTTGCTTACTAGTCCCTATCCCTTATTAAATTCTGCAGGACATTTCCTAAGTCCCAGTGCCAGTGCAATCACATAAATTACAATTCTCTTTAACTGAACTATTATCCTCTTCAGCCTTGCGGTTTCCACTAACAACAGATCCCTGTGGAGATGATGTCATGCTTTTAGATAATTTCATTAAAGCAGTGACGAAACTCACCTCACACGCACACACACACATGCACACACACACACACACACACACACACACACACACACACACACACACACACACACACACACACACACACACACACACACACACACACACACACACACACACACACACACACACACACACACAAGAACACACACACAGGAGAGGTGAAAAACATTGCATTATAAAATCCCTGCAGTCAGCTATACAGTCTAAGCGCTTCATATGGAAGACTGCACAGTCCAATATACACTTACACGCTCATAAACACTGAAATACACAAAAGAGTTAATTAGTTTGAGAAATGCCTACATCAACTTTTGACCTGAAAATATCATCAATTCATTCTGTTTATTAGTAAAAGCTGTTGCGGACCTTAACAAAGTAAAAGCTGCAAAGTGTTGTTTAGAAAACAGCAGCATTTCTTGCTTTAAGAGAGGAGAAAAAGACATTAGGAAGGCATTTATTTCTTATGTAAGAATCCCATGAACAGAACGGCTGCTGAATAGGCATTATACAGTGCCCTCCACTAATACTGGCACACTTGGTAAAAATGGGAAAAGGCAGATGTGAATTTTTTTATAATTATTTACTCTTTTGATTCTGCAATCTTGAAAATACAAAAAAAATTACAAAGGACAGCAGTCAAGAAAACAAATGCTTTTATTAAATATTCACAGGAGCATTTTGAAGTATATTTCCATTGATATATATATTTGTACACCTGGTTGAAAAGGAAAAGGCAAGTGTTCAACCAAGGTTTCCTGTTTACTAGGATTGTATATGCTAGCACATTGGCAAAACTCACTTACGCTGAAATCACCCCTATACCCTTATTCACTATTCCCTACATTAGTCCACTAATATACAGTGGTCCAGTTAAAGAAGTAAATGAAAATGAGCGAGTGAATTTGAGTACTGAGTGCATCAATAGTTGTGGTTTTGTTTGTGCTTTGATGGTCAATAAATTAAAAAAAAGCTTTAAACTTCTTGGTCAGCCCCTATGATAGCTATTTAACACTAAGCAAGCTGTCTATTAGTAATCAAACAAACTAATTAGATTTTTGGCATGTATAAGTAACCCACCGATCCTACTGCCTCAACCCTGTCTGAACTGGGATCAAACCGGCGATTCTCCCGTATTTCAGACCCATCTCCAGCCAACCACCCATTTCGTTAGTTATCCTGGAAAACACCCATAATTTCTTTCCCCAACACTTCCAATAATATCCAGCTGAGCACAGCGTGACTTGATTCAACCGGCGTCTGCTACAGTGTGTCTAGCCTCTTCTTCTTTGCTACTGTGCTAGTGGACTGTGCCGCAGGTTTAAAATTTTCTCGAGTTTGTGTGCGCAACAACTGGGCGGGGCTTAAGTTACGTATCGATGTCACGCCAAAACGGCTAAATACTCGTTATCAAGACAATTCATTTGAAGTACTAGGAGTCAACTCTTTTACAAATAAATCAATAGTTTTAAACAATGTCATCATTCAGATTTAAGCCTTGAAATGGCTGCTTTCTCAAATTAGTTTCTCTTTTTAAGGGTATAGAGGGGCGGTTTTGGATACAGCCTTTGTAATTCATCACACTGGATTACATTAAAGAAGAAAGTTGTGATTTGAGACAAGGTTGTTGAGTTTCATAAATAGATAGAAAAAAATACTGAAATGGCCATTTCCACCATTGGGATAATAACTCCTGTAAACTGGACATGTTAAGAATCAGCTTGGAAAAGGTTTTTTTGTGTCCCAATGCACTGTTAGAAAAATGGTGTGAATGGCCAAAAAAAAGAATCACAGCTGGAGAACTGCAGGATTTAGTTTGCTCTTGGGGTCAGAAAGGCTCCAAAACTACATTTCAATGTCACCTACATCACCGCAAATTGTCTGAGAGGGATTGAAGAAAAAAATTCTACCAGGATTCACACTTTAAGCCAAATACACTAAACAGATGAATTTGAATTTGATTAAAAGACATTTAGTGAGTTGATAAATGGGGCGTTGCTGTGCGTATATATTAAAGAGCTCATTGATTCATTAAGTTAAATCACTCTCTGATTTCTCCATAGTAAGTATGAGGTAAGTTACAAGGTCCTTCAGAAAAATGTTTTGCTCTAAACTATATTCCTTTTTAAATGTCTGGGTAAAAAAAACAAAAACCCTTTTCCCCCCTATTGAAAACAATATATTTTATTTTGAAAAACATTTTTTATATTTTGGAATGTTAAACATGTCAGGCTAAATAATTAAAATAAATCATTGACTTCTTCTCTCTTCATTAGTTTTAAAAACACAGATTTCTTCACAACACATATAAAAAAACATAAAAAAGCCCTTACATATACCTTGGGAACGGTATAACAAAAAATTTTGGCAAGGTTTTAAAACCTTGACTTTTCCAAACCATGGTAAACCTTGAAACCTGTTATCGTCCCATGGCTAATATACATTATATAGAAATAGTAAATATATAGTATAGTATAGTATAGTATATAGTATACGCCCACATATAATAACGCCCACCCAAGTATATTTTTATATATATTTTTTTTTACTATTATTATCATCCATTTACCAAACATCCGCGATCGATCAACCTGTGGAAAATTTTCCCTTGTTTACACATTTCCTTCTGCTGATTCTGTGTGCATGAGAACTGTCACCGCTACCTCAAACAATCTCACATGCTCTGCAGATCCACAATGACGTGCCTTTTTGGGACTTAAAACTGAATCCAGCCCAGGTTTCTAATGTACGGGATTTGGCTTTTGGTTTTGCTTCCTAAAGTTGTTGTTAATTGTATGCATCTTTGCATTACCTTTTTATTTAAGCCTACTTTAGCTTGGCTTCGCAGCTGATAGCCAGCGCACAGTTTGAGTGCAAAAGATACATTAAATGATTAATTATTTAATCTAAACGACTCAGAAAATCTTTAAAAATATAGTCAGAAAGGATGAAATGACATCCAAACTGGCTGCAAAATAACTGTACACCATTAGAAATGGTTAATCAACTCACTTGCCTTATTTAAATCTACACTTTCTTGTAATTATTATATATTTTTAAGGATACTGTGTTTTTATGTTCCTTTTATGTCATTTATTTCTCACTTGCTGTATACAGTATGATGATGATGAAGCCTTTTATTATATTTCCATACACTGTGTGGCGAGTATACTGATGCCACGTCGCCTTGGTCCCAGATTCAACCCAGCTGTCACCTCATCACCGCAGATCGGTCACAGCTGGCGCTCATCAAAAGGCACAGATATAAGCCACCACCAAAACTGAGGAGAACGAGCTTTATTTGACCGACTGACTCCCTGTGCAAACATCTATGTGTCTCTCTCTTCCCTAGCGGACTCAAGCAGCTGACCGATCCCTCACCTCAACTCTCACTTAACCTCACCTTCTCCCCGGAGCATTGGGCACCACTTCATGTTTGAAGAGCACCGTATCCGTCTCATGCACTGTTTTGCACTCTGTAAATAAATCACCCTCCGGGGAATTGTTTGTACACTAACTCTGGAGTGTGCGTTTTCCCACTATCTCGCCACAACTGTTACACGCCGCAAATTTTTACCCCTCCAACAATACAAAAACATCACACATTTCAGGGGAAGACAGGTCAGACGAGAGGTTGCTTTAGAAAGAAGAAATAAGATAAATTAGGAAATATTGTATTAATTTGATGTTAATATATAACATATTTTATGCATATCTAAAATGCTTTGGCAATAAAATGTGAGCAGATTTTACATGTCAGTGGGTGCATATGGATTCTGACTAGCATAAAAGTAAAAATATAGTTGATTTTTTTATTTCAACAGTTTTAAAAACTTTATCCCATTGAAAAGAAATATTTATCAGTGTCATAATAAATTAAAAAATTTTGTTAAAAATGACATTTGTAATGTAACTTACATTGTTTGTCGTATGTAGTATCCATTTATGTGCTGTGTGTTACAATGTGGCTACCACCTCAAGTACTGTAAGTTTCAAACCTATATATTTATATATATATATATATATATATATATATATATATATATATATATATATATATATATATATTAGCGCTGTCAAAATTAGAGCGTTAACGCATTCGATTAATTTTAAATAATTAACACGTTAAAAAAAATTAACGCAATTAACGCAGTTGCAGGTTTCTTTTTACTTCCTGTTGTGGTGGACGTGTTCAACATGCAAGAAATGTGGATAAGACCAAGGAAGCACTTTTTGAATGCAAGTTTAAGTATAAAACAATTAGTTGCATCACAGATTATCCAGAGTTTCAAGCAATTTCGGGTGTTTCATTTTTAACTTTCGACTTCTGTTGTAAGTTGATACCGCATGGCGAACAGAAAGACAATCCTCCGCATTTCATGACTCGGTGTTGCTTTAAGGTAATAAAATTCGCTGCTTACACGGTAGAATTTTAATAAGAGTATTATCTTAATCACATTAAAATCGGAGTATTGGTGTCTTATGTAAATGTACTCAGAAAGTCTCTGGTGAAGTCGCGAGCTGTCAAAGACAGGGCATTACTCTGCCTTTCAGCATGAGCCTCCAAGTTTAGCGTGTTTCCTCATTAAACACAACGAAAGCGTATGCTTGTGTCAGAATCCTTGTGAAATACAGTAATACTTTAGAAAGCTTAGTTTAAGCAAATTTGATGAACGTGATCATGCGTGTTGAATCTGAAGGAGGGAGTTGCTCCAGCGCGTTGTGTGTGTCTGTGTGTGTGTCTGTGTCAGGCTCGTTGAAGGGTATCAGGGGTGGAGTGAGCGACGTATCTGAGTAGGGGCGTGTGCACGCGAGACGTACCTGAAGGACGGTGGGGGTGAGTTGCGCGCGACATACCTGAAGAGCTAGGAGGGATGCAGTGAAGAGGGGTGTGCAATGTATTTAAGGACCGGTTTGCGAGAGATTATCATTCATTTGCGGGCATCCGGGAGTCTCTGTGCACTTGCGGGATACTCCTAGTCTTAGCAGCTAGATGAATGTAAAGGAGGATTAAGCAAAATTGTTTCTACTTTATAATTAAGGTTTTCAACTCACAGCAATAAAACTTTACAATGAGTGCAACAGTTTGTATTCAATAGTTTATTATTATAATTTTCCATTTTCCATATCTGTAATGCCTGTATTTAGGCATTTTTTGCCGTCCACTTAGAATCCAACATTGAAATCAATGTTTGTCGTTATTGGCATTGATTGCTTTAAAACTGAAATGTCATTAACATGCCTGTGTTTTAATTTCTGTAATAAATATGGCTGTTAAGCCAGGATCTTGATGGTTTATTGTGGGTTTATTGTTTACATGAAGAAATCTGTGTTACAAGTTAAATAAAAATTCTAATAACAATTATATTTTGAATTTAAATTATTTTTGTCTTGCGTTTACATTAATTTTACATTTGAATAGCCAAAATTACAAGTTTCAGTATTTTAAATGCGATTAATCGCGATTAATTTTTTTTCAAAAGGTGCAATTAGTTAATTTTTTTAATCGATTGACAGCACTAATATATATATATATATATATATATATATATATATATATATATATATTTTTTTTTTTTTTTTTTTTTTAAATTAAAAATTGGAAACTAATAGTCTAGATATTCCATGACTTGGGTAAAAACTAAATCAATGTTATGATTTTGCAAGATTTCTATGACCTTTAAGAACCCAGCTATACTCTCATCCAAATACTTCAAGTGTCTTCAGAAGGGTAAAACAAGAAAGATATTTTCTTCACTGCCTTCTTATGCTCATATTTACCAAAAGTGCCAGTATAGTAGAGGGCACTATAAATGGTAAAACATCTTGTTACGGATCATGGTAACAGGAATTAATAAGTCAGCACTCATTTAATAAGAGCTGTGAGTGTGCATCTACCTGATTGTGATCACATCTCCACGGCTGCCCTGTATATTCCAGCTGCAGTTGACTCCGGCCGGGTAATTGAGGGGCCATAATGGGCTGTAAATCACTCCTCTCCTCTCCGTGTGTAGCTCCACCTTACCACCACAGGCAGCTGAGAAACACACGCATGCACACACGCACGCACGCACGCACGCACACAAACACACACACACACACGCACACACACACACACACACGAAATGCGCATTGGGTGAGTCATAAGTGACCACAGCTGTCAGATTGTGATTGAAATGACATCAACATCTCACATAAGGCTTTATGGATTTCTGAGTGCAGGCCAGGTATTTATGATGGCCGGAATTTGATCCACTCACTCAAGAAGGATTAGAGAGATACGCAATACTCAATTTAGCGTGTGAGAGTGTGCGCTAACGATTATGCATCTGAACAGAAACACAATAAGACAGGGAAGAAATGTGTCTGCGAGGCGACAGAAATAGTCCAGGCAGTGCGAGTGGGTGTATGATCTATTCAGTTTGTTATATTTAAGAATTCAGGTGGCTAATCTTCATTATAATGTTCCTCTTTCATCTTCATAATGAATCATTGGTCTTGAAAAAAAGACAGTACTTAACTGTTTCTATTAATGCATGTAAAAAATTAAACACCTGTAGAGAAAAGACGTGAGAAGTCAGTGCGTTTCAGAGGCAGGTTTAAGAAAGCTGTGTGTCCTTGTTTCATGCATAATATAGCCACATTTATTGATTTAAAAATATACAACAATAATCATCCTTGAACTTTTATAGATATTTTTGTATTTGTCACTTATATAAATACATGAAATACATAAAACCTCCTGAAGTTCAATGATCTTATTAAACATTTTATATATAGAATTAATTAAAGTGCCACTCATTATACACTCATCGGCCACTTTATTAGGTACACCTGTCCAACTGCTCATTAACGCAAATTTCTTATCAGCCAATCACATGGCAGCAAATCAATGCATTTAGGCATGTAGACATGGTCAAGACAATCTACTGCAGTTCATACTGGGCATCAGAATGAGGAAGAAAGGTGATTTGAGTGACTTTGAATGTGGAATGGTTTTTAGTGCCAGACAGGTTGGTCTGAGTATTTCAGAAAATGCTGTTCTACTGAGATTTTCATGCACAACCATCTCTAGGGTTTACAAAGAATGGTCAGAAAAAGAGGAAATATCTAATGAGCGGCAGTTCTGTGGGCGCAAAAGCCTTGTTGATACCATAGGTTAGAGCAGAATGGCCAGACTTGAGGCGGATGGGCTACAGCAGCAGAAGACCACACTAGGTGCCGCTCCTGTCCGCTAAAACAGAAAACTAAGGCTACAATTTGCACAGGCTCACGAATTGGACAATAGAAGATTGAAAAAACGTTGCCTGGTCTGATGAGTCTAAAGTTCTGCTGCGACATTCGGATGGTAAGGTCAAAATTTGGCATCAACAACATGAAAGCATGGATCCATCCTGCCTTGTATAAACGGTTCAGGCTGGTGGTGGTGGTGTAATGGTGTGGGGGATATTTTCTTGGCACACTTTGGGCCCATTAGTACCAACTGAGCATCATGTCAACACCACAGCCAACCTGAGTATTGTTGCTGACCATGTCCATCCCTTTATGATCACAGTGTATGACTCTTTTTATGGCTACTTCCAGCCAGATAACGTCATAAAGCGTGAATCATCTCAGACTGGTTTCTTGAACATGACAATGAGTTCACTGTACTCAAATGGCCTCCACAGTCACCAGATCTCAATCCAATAAAGCAATTTTGGGATGTAGTGGAACAGGAAAATTGCATAATGGATGTTTAGCAGACAAATCCGCAGACTGTGTGATGTTATCATGTCAATATGGACCAAAATTTCTAAGGAATATTTCCAGTACCTTGTTGACTCTATGCCACGAAGGATTAAAGCAGTACTTAAGGCAAAAGGGGGTCCAACCCGGTACCAGTAAGGTGTACCTAATAAAGAGGCTGGTGTTGCTTTTTTAGTATTGGTTTGGGATGCACAAGTTCTGCTAAGGTTTTAAAGGCAATATTCCAACTGGCAAAATAAACAAAACTAGCACAGAAACAATGTAGCACTTGTTTCAGTTTTGATATTCCCTGTGTAATATTACATAAATATGAGAGAAAAACTTGAACATTTGTACCCAGTGTCTTAAATAATAGGTTAATGTAACTGCATTCTAAAGACTAGAATACATCCATAAAGGGACTTTGATTCTACTCAACTACCATGCAATATGTTGTTAGTGTTGTAGGACAAGTGCAAATAAACAAACAAGCAAAACAAAATAAAATAAAATAAACAGCCTTCGGCTATAGCAGTTTACTAAAGAATATTACATTTTATTGTCAATGGAAGCTCTGTTTTTTTTTTATATACCAGCAGTATGGCGAAGCAGTGAGGGTCTGTTTTACGTGAAGTGAAATTAAATGTGCTGACGGTTCAAGAAGCACTGGCATTTGCAGTTTTGCAAAAACGTTTCGGTGGACATGCGCCTTCATAATTTTTACTTTTAAAATAAAAAATTATCCTTACCTGTGACTTTTACAGACATTTATGATTTGTGACACTTATACTTTAAAAAACGTAGTTCACACCAAAAATGAAAATTCTGTCATCATTTACTCATTCTTCGCTTATACTAAACGTTTAAAGAAAGCTGGAAACCAGTAGCATAGACAATATTATTTATTTTCCTACTATAAAAGTTAATGGTTTCCACAGCAGAATGAACCACCAATAACTCTGGCATTTGTTTTATGCGTGGATATCCTTCCAGCCACAACCCAAAATTTGGAAACACTCATACTTACACATTTCATTCATAATTTTGTTTACTCAATTCACCTGTACCATTGGAGCACCCAGATGAAACCTACACAAACACAGGACTTCTTGCTGTAAGGCGAAAGTGCTAACCAACCGCCAAGCCACTGTGCCACCCCTGAGAGATTTCCAACATTCTTAAAAATATATATTTTTGTGTTCAACAGGAAAACGAAGCACAAAAGATTTGAAGCCACATGAGGTAGAGTGTAAATTGTCTGTAAATTTTGGGGTGAACTATCCCATAAATCAGGCTTTCTGATGGATGAAATTTGAACATATCATGGCAGAATTGTTGTGGTTATTATTGGGATATTTGTCAATGTCAGTTTAGGACTACGGCAAATTAAAACAGTTGAACACAAAGAGCTTCCTCATTGTGCTCATTTACCTGATGGAAAGTACCCTCTAAAAGCAAATGTTTTGTCAATATATTGGACACACATCACATTTAGCAGGGAAAATATACCTTGAAATAGTATACCAGTAAGGAAAAAAAAGCTTTCATGTGTGTGTGTGTGTGTATGTGTGAGTGATAGAAAATGAGTCTCTTTGTCTGTCTGTGGGTGAGAGAAAGAGCTCTAGGTGTCACTGGCACTATCAACAAGCCCCCACCCCCAACCAAACCCTCTTTAGTCACCACCCCTTCACAAGATACCACCTCCACCACCACACAACAAAACACAGCCGTTCCTTCTCCATCTGCGCCTCTGTCTCTGATATCTGCTTGAGCACACAAAAGCACACTTCTTTCTCACACATATTCACTATCTTCTCGCTGTGGCTGTTTGTTGAGCATTTAGCTGACCTCCACAGATCATGTGTTACTCAGACAAGCCCAGAGAGCTGTCTAGGAATAGACTGTGGGTGAGATCAGATCCTCCTGCCTGACAGACTGTGAATTTGTTGCTTTAGCTTTACTTTTAATGCCTTCTAGTTGCTGTGAACGTAGATTTAATCTGCAAACATGATGCTCAGAGAATGCTGAGGACGATGAATATATGAAGAGTTCAGATGTAAAAACTTGAAATCTTCTAAAATGAGCATTTTTATCAGCCAGCGTATGTAATTTCGCTTAACTAATTAACTAAAATTACTTAACTAAAAAAAGAGACACTGTTATTTTATTTATTTATGTTATTAGCAAAACTGATGAGACTGATTAAATTAAAGAAATTAACAAAATGTATTGCTTCATTAGTATTTTAATTTAATATGTTTATTTATAATGTGTTGTATAATGTTTATTGAAATGTTTATTATATTTTAATCTTTAAATTCATTCATTCATTTTCTTGTCGGCTTAGTCCCTTTATTAATCCGGAGTCGCCACAGCGGAATGAACCGCCAACTTATCCAGCAAGTTTTTACGCAACGGATGCCCTTCCAGCCGCAACCCATCACTGGGAAAGTAATCTTTATATGTTATATTATAATCATACTTTAAGAAAAGTCATAGGTCTTCAAAGAAGAAAAAACATCCTACACTAGTGATCTAAAAAATAATTAATTGACAGAATCTAAAATATATATTAAGTGAAATATAAAAACACAATGTATAATAATTAGAAAAATCTAAATTATATCCAAAAGACAAAGTGAAAATTCCAATAAATTAAGTCATATCACCCAAAATGATTTTACAATCCTATAAGGCAAAGTAAAAATCCAAGTAAAAATTTTGTGTTCATTAGAATTTTAAAATCCTACAGGATTCTGAATGTCCATTAGAATTTTAGGAATCCATAAGATCCTATAGAATCCTAAAGGATAAACTGAATTTACAATAGGATTTTTTGACAAGGTTTTTATGTCAAATAAGTTCTTTTCCTGGTCTTCAAAGTGAATCAACTCAACATACACAAAAGGATGCTGAGAATAATGCAATTTTTTCAAATGGAAATTTCAGAGGTGGTAGAGGTTTTTGCATCTGAACTCATATATAAACACATTATCTGATCATAAATTAAGTCTAAACATTCTTACAGGACTGTGTGCTTCAAATTTAAACCAGCAAGTGGTGTTTAGCAGTCTTACATTGTCTGAAAGGATAGTTCACATACAATTTGCTGTTAATTTTTAATCTCAAGCCGTGTGAAAAGCTCTGCTTTCAGATAAAACATAGCCTAGGTCCTTGGTGATAATTAAAACCAATGACAACCTGCACTTTGGGAGTACATAAACAAACATACAGGTGAAACAAGATTAATATCTCTGGCTCATGATGTTTCATTCAAGCATTTTGGATAAAAAAAACGCTATTGTGTGAACTCTACCTAATTTGATCTCATAACATAACCAACCCATTTACCCTAGCTGACACTTGGTTGAAGGCATATGGATGTTTACATTTTGACTACAAGTTGGACGGGGGCAGAATAGTTTTAACAAACTGAACTAACTAACTAAACAAACTGACAAGCTGCCAATCTGTGCTGGAGATCATACTGACAGATCATCACTGAGTCGTGTTTATAACTGTCATGGCAACAAGCCAAGAGCGGATATCCCTGTATGGATGCTGCCGCTGCGCCGCCGCTTAACCTTTCTTTGTCATCTGATAATCTTTAACCTGCCTTTACACACTCTCACCGAGAATGAAATGATATGTCGTATATATTTATGTGGAACAATGGAGATAATAAAAAAGTGAGAGCTTGACTTCTAATGCACCTCGCACTTCATTTTTGTTGTTCAATTGAATTAACGTCAGTGATAATAACATCACACACTATGAAGTCTACTTACCCACACAAACCCAAGCCCACCGCAGGCAAATCCATTTCATGAGGTAAAGCCGAATAGTCCCGATTCTCTCCATCATCGCCGTCATCTCCTGTTGTTCGCGGCTCAGGTCATTTCCTCATAATCCAAACCGATTTTCAACTCGTCTCATGTCGGTTTCAGGTTTTCTCTCGATTCAACTTCTTGCATGAGCTTCAAAAGCGGCGTGTGTGCCTCCGTGTGTCCCGCGGCTCATCGCGCTGTCTGTCTGGAGGGAAAAGCAGAAAGACCTTCAGGCAGGAGAGAGAGACGGGATTGGAGGTTCAGTGGGAACAACAGGACACATCCTTCATCCAGGAATTGACTTTCTTGGTTACTTGCTTATTACGTTTTTGTTTCTTTTCAATACATCCCATCGAGTAGCCTAATGATATCGTCCACTACTTGACAGTATGTGTCAGTTATGTAATAATCTGTGGTTTACTAATCTGGGCACTGCAGATCAGTGAAGTGCTGTCCATCTGCTGGAGCGCATCTCACACAAAATAACACTCGGATCAATTTTCAACACAGCTACATATACAATATACTGCTCATGTAAATGACTGACTGCTCCCCTGAATAGCCAGTATAACACACAAGACTGAGGGCTCTCATTTGATGCGTGTGTATTTGACAGTATCATAAATAGACATTTATATATGAATTTTGCTTGGGTTTGTTTTCATCATTTGTCTGATGGAGACTTACCAGCTGTCGGGACTGTGGAAGTGAAAGCCTGCACTCTTGTGGACGGAGGGTTGCATCGGTGGAAGGAAGCCATGACGTGTGGGCCACATTCCTTTATTTACATGCTAAACAATACCTCCTACCGAGCCTTTTGAAGCAAACAAAAAATTCTGCGTGGTTTCAAAATATACTGCCTAATTTCAACAATGTAAACTACCTACGACTAGACTGTTCTTCACGACATATTTCCGGTTGCATTAGTACTTTTGAATTAATTTTTTACTGCTTAAATCAATCTAATCTTATGTACCTAAACGTGGCTTTGGATCTTCAGGGCATAAAAGGCACCGCTGGGATTCGAACCCAGGATCTCCTGTTTACTAGACAGGCGCTTTAACCAACTAAGCCACGGCGCCGCTGCGTGATTGGTCATCGGTTTTCCTATACGTACGTCATACAACAGTCCGACACACGTTTAGTTACACACTTGAAAGAAATTATTCGTTATTATACTCAGAATCTTCCCATGAATCGAATACATTTATTTTAAACTTTTTAATCTTGTTTAGAACATTTTTTAAACATAAGCAAAAATACATGGTCCCTACTTTTCGACAATTTATGATTGAAGTTGACTCACTGCTCAAATCTTTCCGTAACAAGTCATGTGTAACAACGTGTCAGATTCTTGGTTCTATATGAAGAATTGTTGTCTATTGATTCTGATTTGAGTTAGATAGCTTTTTTAATGCTCTTAATTTATTTCCATACACTTTAATACTTCACTTACCCCTTCCTTTGTTTTGTTGTTCTTTTTCTTTCTGCAGCTAATGTAGTTTGTATTTTTCCCTTTTTGTATCTCTCTTATATTGATCTCCTGATTGTGGTTTTATATTTTCACTCTTTAATTAAAACAATACGCACGCTGTAAACGAGGGCGCTAATGTTTTTAGATAACACCGGACGCTCAAATATAATCGGGCTTTTGTGAAGTTCCCAGATCCTGTAACAATCTCTCCCCTTTAAAAATAAAACTAATATCAATTTTTTACATAATTAGATTTTCCCTAAATACTATTGTACAATACTTATTTATATGCTTTTATATTCACCAAATTTGTGTTCATTTGAATATATTTATTTTAAACATTTATTTTGCACTTTTAACATTTTATCTTTTATTTATATAAACATTGTTTAATCTTATAAATGGCTAATTGTATTAGATAAAATAATGATTTTGAGGTGTATTTATTTTTCATTTATTATTTTATTAATTAATGATTTGATATGAATGCTTGTTCCCCAAACATTTGCATCAACTCCCTAGGACTTCCACCTTAACAAGATCTGAACTACTGTTAGGTTATTTTACAGTTGTGACAACAAAAACACAACATATAAATTTTGTAATCTATATAAACAAGCTGAAAAACATTTTGTAGATGTGTTTTGCATTTATCTACTTGTACAGTGTAAGCAGGTTTGATAGCAGGTTTAAATGGAGTCTAATGTCAGGTGGGACACTTCAAAATCAATTAATTTATTGAGAGAGAATAAACCCCCTCGATTAACTGTTTTAAATTTCACTTGAGCTTTCCTACTTTGATTCATTTCAGGTATGTGGGACATTTACAACTCAAGTAATTAGAGTTAACGAATAGGACCTCATTATTTCACATTTCATTTGAAGTTTTGACTTACACTTTAATTTTCTGCACTGACATGCATCTAAAGTTGATCATGGGCAAAAAATGTATATATACATTTTTTTTTTCAATTTTATTATTTATTTATGACAAATTTCTGTAATCATAACATATTTTGAAATCAGGTACACTTATGTAAATAAATGCACCAAACATGTGGGCACACAAACACATTTGTACCCGCACACAGTCTCTCTCACACACACACAGTAGCTTCTTGACATTTCTCTAAAACAGAATCCTCACAAAGGACAGGCAGTTCTTCATACATGTTCTACCTCTTGTTCTTGAGATTTTTTAACCTAAAGTCACAGGAGAAAAGGATTGATTAGATATTAGAATAAATAAAATAGCAAAATGCTGAGTGTTATAAAATCTGAGCTCTGACCTCTGGAGCAGTTCACTGGTGGGCACATCTCTATCTACATCTTCACTGTTGGAGTCGGTGTCGTCTGAGCTGCTGTCAGACTCCTCATGCCTCTTCTTCTGCTTCCCTTTATGCTTATGCTTCTTGCTCTTTTTCTTCTAAGAAAAGAACAGTGAGAAACTTAATGTCATTTCTAGTTTTGCAAAGACATCAGACCAGGATAATATGTTCTAGGAGAACACACCTTTTTCTCTTTCTTGTGTTTTTTGCCTTTGTGCTTCTCTTTATCTTTCTTCTTCTGTTTCTTCATTTGCGGTGAGTGTGTAGATGGCACAAACCCTGGTGAAAAGAAGTACAACATTAAAATTTAACATTTTTATAAAATACAAGGCAGCAAAAAATCCCTGGATAAAAAAGGTGATCTAATATTACGGCACATACATATTCAAACATTTCAGAAAATAAATCATGACCTAAAAATTACAAATTAAATCCATTATTTCAGGATCTCGAGTGACTTTCGATTTAGATATTTATTTATCTCAAAGCATGTTGTAGTTCATTCATTCATTCATTTTCTTGTCGGCTTAGTCCCTTTATTAATCCGGGGTCGCTACAGCAGAATTAACCGGCAACTTATCCAGCAAGTTTTTTTACGCAGCGAATGCCCTTCCAGCCGCAACCCATCTCTGGGAACATCCACACACACACTCATACACTACGGACAATTTAGCCTACCCAATTCACCTGTACTGCATGTCTTTGGACTGTGGGGGAAACCGGAGCACCCGGAGGAAACCCACGCAAAGGATGTTGTAGTTATTATTTATTATTATTATTACTGGTTAAAGACATTAGTGTTAACATGAAGACTTAACAAACCCACTCAGGTGTTTCCGGTGAACTGTCATGCCATTATAAACTCGCCGTGTTTAAGATCTGCTAGGTATAAAATCATTGATCTTCACTCCCTAACTGTTTAAATATAAAGTTGGTCTCATACAGACAAGAAGCACAATGGTAAATTATTCTACGTCATGTCTTTAAAAAAACTGTAAAATCATTTTTCTAAAGGAGTTTCTGAGCTCACACGCTGTATCTTACGGACCTTGAATTTAAACCTTCATTTCATTTTACGTTTGAATAACTAAACAAGAGCTCAAGTCTATTTAATAGACTATGTTTGAACTAAGTTACATTATATATGCTGTAAAAAACCTTATGAACATCGACCTTTCACTGAGAGTTTATTGGTGGTTGAAAAACTCAAACATCTCATATAAAGCCTAATTAGGTTGTTAAGAGACTGTGGTTAACCATCTGTGGTTACAGAGACTGACCAGGAGGTGGCAGTCTGGGGCCAAACTCCTCTTCGTCCAGGCCTTGTGATTTAGCTGGAGCATTTAAGGAGGATTGGGTACTTTGGGCTGTAGTTTCAGCAGATGGCACACTCTGGACTGTGAGATGCTTCAAATCTAAAGCAAAGAAAAATGATGCAGATAATTATGCATAACAATATAGATTTTCATGGTACATCCGTATAAATAATCTGGTGCTTCTGAAAGCACTTACTTTAATACAATATAGTATACAAAAACAGTTTGTGAGCAAAGTAGTAAACCAAATTGGTAGTACCCGAGTGACCTATAACTTTAAAGCGAGATTCTGAAGTGCACACTCAATGGATGCATTACTATTCCATGAGTCCAAGGGAGAACGCAAATGAAGCGACAACAGCCACAGGTAGGTCTTATTATAATGACAACATTACAGATATAGCATGTCTGAATTCTATTCACTCATACTCTAACTACAGATAATGAATGTTTCTAACGTTCATGAATTAGGGTTTAAATCAAATGTTGTGCCTACTCAGAACATATAAATTAGGGCTGCTCGATTATGGGAAAAATCATAATCACGATTATTTTGGTCATAATTGTAATCACGATTATTCAAAACGATTAACAGTTGAAGTCAAAATTATTCATCCTCCTGTGAATTTATTTTTATAAATAAATTTTTCCCAAATGATGTTTAACAGAGGTTTTTTTTTTACAGTATTTCCTATCATTTTTTCTTCTTCTGGAGAAAGGCATATTTGCTTTATTTCAGCTAGAATAAAAGCAGGTTTGAATATTTTGAAACCTATAACAGCTCGATATTATTAGCCCCTTTAAGCAATATATGTTTGATTGTGTGCAGAAGAAACTACTGTTATACAATGACTTATCTATTTACCCAAATTAAGCCTTTGAATGTCACTGAATACTAGTATCTTGAAGAATATCTATAAATATAATGTGTAAAATATAATGTGCTGTCATTATAGCAAAGATAAAAGTAATCAGTTTTTAGAAATGAGCTATTAAATGTGCTATTTAAACTGCTTTAAGCATCTTCACTGTATTTTTGATTTTATTATTGATTAATAATAAAAACAGTCTGCAGCAGCAGGAATATCGCACGCTGTCTTTTTAAGAATAGTGCAGCTCTGATATAGTTTCTCTTTCACGTGTCTTTTGATTCTCAATTTGTGAGTTTATTACACAAGTGAGGGTTAATATGAATAATCAATAAACACCGCGCTCTAACACAAGTGTGCATGTATTTGATCAATAAAGCGCTCACATTAAGATCGCGTTAGATGTGTGTGTGCTCTGCTGTCCGAGGCTAAGCGCGCGCAAACACACACGCTACCTGTCCGAGGCCAGACACGGTGCGCACACACACAACAGCACGCGTGCTCTTTTGCGCTTTTAAAATAATGAGTGATGCGCATCCCGTGCTGCAAAAGTTACATTACAGCACATGCTTGTAGTCATTTTCACATGGAACTGAGCTTTGCAGAGGCAAAGAGTTTTCACACGTGTACAACTGGAAAGGGGGCGGTACGTGATGGAATAATCATTTATCTCGATTAATGGTTTT